TTTCTGTGGAACTCCCTTCCCTTCTCCGTTAGACTTTCACCCAATCTCCACTCATTCGAAAAATCATTGAAAACTCACTTCTTCAGGAAGGCATATCATCTAAACTGTTAGCGTGTTTTCATACCCAACTATAATAATCTACTATGTTCTCAGTGATTACTTTTCTAGCAACCTATTTCATTACCCCTAATTATACCCTTTGTGTCACTATGCCCCACTCCCTCTAGCATGTAAGCTCATTGACCAGGGCCCTCAACCCCTCTGTTCCTGTGCATCCATTTGTCTGTTTACAAATACTTGCCTGTTAGACCACCCATTGTACAGCGCTATGGAATTAGCTGGCAATATATAAATAATAAAATAATAATGAGTCTTCTTGATGATGTATGGCTGAGCGCAGGGCTGCCATCAGAACTTTTGGGGGACTTTACACAGCTCAAGGCTTGGGCCACCGCCCTTGAGTCCACCCACAGGGCTGGTCCCAGTCCACCTACAGGGCTCACCAACCATTCCACCACTATCTCACACAATCTTTGCTGTGGTATGCGTCTAGGCAATATAGTATGTATTGTAGGGGATGTAGTGGATGCAGTGTGAGTGTTTAGTGGTTACAGTGTGTGTATGGTGGATGCATTGTGTGTTTGTATAATTGATGCAGCTTGTGTGTGTGTGTTTGTGTGTGAGGGATGCAGGATGTGGGTAGTGTTTGCAGTATGTGTTTGTAGTAGATGCAGTGTGTATATGTAGTGGATGCAGTGTGTATGTCTGTGAGTTTGTGTGTTGAGATAGGGGCAGTGTTGTGGGTTTGGTGAGAGAAGCAATGTATTCCTTTTTTTAAAGATGTATTTATTATTATTGCAAACACCTCTTACCTCTGGGGGAGGAGTACTACATTCCCTGGTGGTCCTGTGGTGGCATGCTTGAAAGCTCCTGCCAGGTGCCCAGATGCTTCTTGCGAGTCTCTGCAGAGTGTAGTGTCCAAGTGTTGCCATGGTAGGAATAGTTATTTATTACAAGGAGGCAGCTGGTAGCGCTGCCGGATCCCTCCTTGTTTTTTTACGCGCATGCGCAGTGCTATTTTCTCCGTGCTGTGGGATTAATTCCCCTGCAGCATGAAGTCTATTAAACAAACAAAACGAAAAGGTAATGCATTCGGAATTTGCCCTTTTGTTTAGTTTATATTTCGTTTGCAGGGCTTTCGTTTACGTTTTAGTAAACTAATGCGGAAAAAAACGAATTTTCGGACGAAATCGTATTCGTACGAAAACGAATGCACATGTCTACTTAAAGCATATCTTTAAAGGAACCTCCCTTTTTAAGTTGATATATTGATAAAGTTGATCTATTTAGTTGATATCCCCATTGAAAACATACATTTTTCCAGTGTGTTTTCATTGGGGTATATGGTAATAAAAAAACAACTTGCAAAAGTAGTAGAGCTGCTGTCTGCAGACTTTACAAGCACTTTTCTCTTTCAGTCAGTGCCTGGAGAATTAACCGGTCTGTGCTGGAGCTGTTACCGTGTCCATGCATATCAGCGTTCCAGTGCTTCTAAATTAACTGTAGTAGGTTAGTAGGTAGTAGCTCATTGATAAGGGGGAAGACACGTACGATCTAGCTCAGTGTTCCCGCCACTTACATTGGCTTTGTGGAGCTAATGGAAGTAGAAGAAATTCTGCTTCCAGTTATAAAATGGAATATAACAGACTCCAGACTCACAACATACTTCAATAAGGTGAAATGCTTTATGTGTCCGGAGTGTCCCTTTAATGAACGTGTAATTGGTTAGTGGTTTTGTATTTTGCCCATATACTGCTGTGTTTATCTTCTTGCATGGATGGATAGGTCTTGCTTACTTGCAAACCTTGGCAAGTATAAGTTCACGACAGGAAGGGAGCAGCTGGGTGTGGAGATGGATGAAGGGCTGTGCCAACTATGTAATTATATTTACTCCATATATAGGGTGTGCTTTCCTGTCATGCATTTGTGCTTAGAAAACCAGTCACCCAGCAAGCAGCCAAGCAAAAGGGTTCCATGCACCAAATGATAATGTGTTCCTGTAAGGGGGCAAATGCACTGGAATGTTCTAATGAACTGCAAGTGTATGCCCTGGTCATGCTGCACTTTTCCAAAATGGAAGGATAGGGGGCTGAAAATCAAGTATGTTCCACTGTATTTGGGATGGTTGGAAAGTAAAGAAATGGTGACTTAAAACTGTCTGAATAATCCTCTAGAGGGCAGTATAATTTATGTTTTGTACAGTGTTCCCTTTCAAAAATATTTTTTGTTTAGATCTCATCTGTAATCACATCTTATCCAGAAAACCATCAGTAATACAGTAGTTCTCTGTACCATTTTTTTTTTTAATGAAGCCTTGGATGTGTGGCATCAAGTCCCACTATGGACAATCAAGTCTAGTATTCAAAAGTGCCTTGATGGCTTGAAGCTTCCACTATTTCTCTTCCTTGTCCTGACAAGACCAGACGAGAGGTTCCGATAGAAACCTGGTGCCATCTGACATTGTTCCAGATGTGACTCAACATGACCCCACTTCTGGAGAAAAAAAATGTCCTGAAGGTCTTCAAGAAGTCGCCCTAGCTAAAAGTCAACCCATCTCTTCTACCAAAAGTGTCCATCTTAAGGAAAGAATCCTCAGGACCCAGCCCACTGTTGCATTTTCAGCATTTGTGCAAATAAAACCCAAAACAGAATGTTCACAAAAGAAAGACACACAATTTTAAAGAAGAATGACACACGAAACTCGAAGTGCCCAAAAGAGGAATGATGCACAGCAAGGGCAGTGTGACTAAACAAATATATAAAAGCCATTTCTACCACAGTTGGGACTCTCTTTAGACCTTGACCTGGAGTGCAGCTAAATTCATTGATTTGCCTATTTATTTTTTTATTCTAGATATCCTGCTATTATTAAAGGACCATTTTCGTCCCCGTAACAACCTCAAATAAATGAATTTGTCATGGTGCCTGGAGGTCCTTGCCATTGGCTCAACTTTGAGGTTAAACCTTTCACAACTGTTTGTGAACGGTTTAACCCGAAAGTCTATATTCCAGTGCTGGATCACTCTACCCAGCGTCCTCCCGCTATCTGAAACATTAAATAATGGAAGTCTTGGACAGCATCAGGCAGGGGCATCACTAATTGTCTTAGAGTGGTCAGCTGATACGCAAAGCCAATCAATAGCTTCCCAGTCATAGAAAAAGTATGCACTTTTTTTATAAATAGGGAGCTCATGATTGGTGTACCACTCTAAGCCCATCAGCGGTGCCCCTGCCTGATGCTGTCCAAGATTTCCGTTATCTAAGCTTCCAGATAGCGGGAAGCTGGGGGGCAAAGCGATCCAACACTGGAATATATGTTTAACTCCTAAAGCTGAGCCTGCACCAGAGAAGTCCAGGCACCACAACAACTCCATTTTGATGAAGATTTTATGGTGCATGGAGTGTTCCTTTAAACTTTTTGAGACTGTCAGCTATTCAATATGGTGTGAATTGTTAGGAATTCAATGTTAATTTAAATGTTTGACTTAAATATCTGAACTGTTAACTGACTTTTACACTTTTACTCATTGAATTCATATTTTGGTCAATAATCCCCTGTGTATTTTTTCATTAAAATAAAGTACTGCTTTCCATTTACTGTTTAGTGGATTTTCTGCATGTGTGGATGAATGTTTTAAGAACTTTTCCAGGGCTCCAATAAATCCTTGGATACAGCACGCATGAAAAAGCACAGTCGTTCTCTAAAGCTGGCCTGATTCTACATCACATGACAACTTTTTTAAAACTGGTTTATTAATATAGATGCAGAGATCCACTGAAAGGCTAATACTCCCCAGATACATGTCATAATCCCGTGTGACCTTTGTTCTATTTTTCCAGTTTGCGTTTTTGTTTTGTTTTTTAATTTTATTCCTAATGCTGCACATAACACAGAATGGAACCATGACTCTTTAACAGGAGCAGAATCAGAATAACACAAGATGAAAAGCACCCTCCCCAGTCTAAAGGGCTCTATAAAAATAAAATGGAGTCAGTTTACAAGCTGGATTTGTTTTCTGCTGCCGATACTGTGTTCTTAAAGAAACACTCCATGTACCATAAACACTACAGTGCACCTGTCTACTAACATTGAGTGGACGCCAGGGCACTCCAGGCACCATAGCCACAACAGCATACTTTAGTGGTTATAGTGCTTGGAATGTGATAATTGAGAAGAACCAACAAAAATCTATGTATGCATGTGTTTTTTATATTAAATTGGCGGTTTATTTTGGCGAGAAATGATAACTTCAGTAAAGACTTTGACACATAAATTATTTGTTATTTTACTTAGAGTTTACATCCCTAAGTAAGTTAGGTAAGTTATTTGACTATTTTTTTCTGTTTTAATTTATGCTCCCCCTCGTGAATGGATTACTCTAAGTAGCATAACTACTTTACATCATCACACAGATGCAGAGAGTACACTGGTCCCTGCTTCCCCACTCAGGGAGGATTATAACTGCAGTGATTTGTAAAAAACAATATTAGATAAAGAGGAAAGAACACACTGTCCTATACAGAGATTAAGTACTAGCTAGTCCACTAGTTTCTGGGTTCCCCTTTTTTGGATTCCTTTGTAACTGTTGCTAACTACTCAGTTCAGATACTTTTAGTCTATGCTCTTCAATTGTGTTACTAGTATCTTTCAATCTTTATTGTAACATTTTGGGTTACATAGTATCCATGGTAACCAAGTATCACCTTAAATGAACACTATAATCACCTAAATTACTTTAGCTAAATAAAGCAGTTTTAGTGTATGGATCATTCCCCTGCAATTTCACTGCTCAATTCACTGTCATTTAGGGGTTAAATCACTTTGTTTCTGTTTATGCAGCCCTAGCCACACCTCCCCTGGCTATGATTAACAGATTCTGCATGAAAAAAAACTGGTTTCACTTTCAAACAGATGTAATTTACCTTAGATAATTGTATCTCAATCTCTAAATTGAACTTTAATCACATACAGTAGGCTCTTGTAGGGTCTAGCAAGCTATTAACATAGCAGGGGATAAGAAAATCTTAATTAAACAGAACTTGCAATAAAGAAAGCCTAAATAGGGCTCTCTTTACAGGAAGTGTTTATGGAAGGCTGTGCAAGTCACATGCAGGGAGGTGTGACTAGGGTTCATAAACAAAGGGATTTAACTCCAAATGGCAGAGGATTGAGCAGTGAGGCTGCAGGGGCATGTTCTATACACCAAAACTGCTTCATTAAGCTAAAGTTGTTCAGGTGACTATAGTGTCCCTTTAACAGGAAACATATACCTACTGGGAATAGTTCATATACCTAGGTCTGCTAATATTGACAATTTGTCTATTGATTTAATATCTATTGATTTAATACAAATTTTATACCTTATTATTCTCACGTTCTCTCACCACACATTTAGGTTTATTTATTTATTTAACAAGATTTTTTGTTTTCTATTTAAATAAATACTTGTATTCCATTATTTTACATATTTTATTATTAAAAGTTATGTTTTAAAGAATCTGTCTCTTGCTAGGACAATCTCTAGATAGGACAGTGTGTTCTTTCCTCCTTATCTACATTTCTCAACAAGGGTTAACCCCTTCACTGCCCTCTGATTAGTTTTTCAAACAAGCTTCCATTTTTGTTTACATTTGTAAAGTAAAAAATATTAGGACCAACAAACAATTTTTATTAACTCACCATTCTTATTACCTCCTAACTCACCATTTGTATTACCTCACCATTCTTATTACCTCCAAACTCACCATTCTTATTACCGCACCATTCTTATTACCTCCAAACTCACCATTCTTCTTAACTCCTAACTCACCATTCTTATTACCGCACCATTCTTATTACCTCCTAACTCATCATTCTTATTACCGCACCATTCTTATTACCTCCAAACTCACCATTCTTATTACCTCCTAACTCACCATTCTTATTACCGCACCATTCTTATTACCTCCTACCTCACCATTCTTATTACCTCAACATTCTTATTACCTCCTAACTCATCATTATTATTACATCACCATTCTTATTACCTCCAAACTCACCATTCTTATTACCTCGCCATTCTTATTACCTCCAAACTCACCATTCTTATTACCTCACCATTCTTGTTACCTCCTAACTTTCCAATCTTATTAACTCACCATTCTTATTACATCCAAACTCACCATTCTTATTACCTCCTAACTCACAATCCTTATTACCTCACCATTCTTATTACCTCTAAACTCACCATTCCTATTACCTCCTAACTCACCATTCTTATTACCTCCAAACTCACCATTCTTATTACCGCACCATTCTTATTACCTTCAAACTCACCATTCTTATTACCTCACCTTCTTATTACTTCCAAACTCACCATTCTTATTACCGCACCATTCTTATTTCCTCCAAACTCACCATTCTTATTACCTCACCTTCTTATTACTTCCAAACTCACCATTCTTATTACCTCACCATTCTTATTACCTCCAAACTCACCATTCTTATTACCTCACCATTCTTATTACCTCCTAACTCACCATTTTTATTAACTCACCATTCTTATTAACTCACCATTCTTATTACATCTTAACTCACCATTCTTATTACATACAAACTCACCATTCTTATTACCTCCTAACTCACCATTCTTATTACCTCACCACTCTTATTACCTCCAAACTCACCATTCTCATTACCTCATCATTCTTTTTACTTCCTAACACACCATTCTTATTACCCTCCACCACGCAAACCAAGGGCCATTTGCCAGGTAAGATAGTGTCCAGGACCAAAACAAATTGAGATGAAGTTGTTATGGTGACCACAGTGTTTTCTTTTAAAGTCAAGCTGTGATAGCACAACTCAGTAAGTTAATGCATGGTAACCCCAAAACCCACACCATTCAGACTTTGCCATGATTGACTTACATTGTAATGTAAATCAACACCAGAATTAGCTTTATATCCTTAATAGCACAATGGTAGTGAAAACAACCTAAAGTGAAACACGAAAAATATTTAAAAATGTGAATATAGAATTTAGAAATCTTGAGAACACCTTGGATTCCGGGGCTAAATTTACCAGCAGCATATTTCCCAAGTGAGCCTATTTAAGCGGGAAGGTCTCTATTTTGGGTCAATATCCCATTGACCCTCTTTTCTATCCCTCCATATTGTTTGTGTGTATAACAGAGCGCCACAGAAATAATACTCACATCAATGTGTATTTAAACTACAATAAATGTATTTGTGTACAAAAGATACATTGTTTTTGTTACTTTAAACATTTTTTTTTTTTTTAATTCTTAATTTTTATTGTGCAAGTGTTGACATACATGCTTGGTACGCCACGACAGCTGTATCAAGCCATATAAAAACAGGCAAAATATATCTGTAGCATGGTATATGTAAAAACTGCACATTTTGTATATTGGAATTACAGGCTAGGAACGGTAGCGTGTTAATAGATGTCAGTATGCAAGAAGAACATGTTGGTGTAGTAAGCAAGCTAAACTGACTGACGGGGTTAGCATTAATAATCCGTTAACAGACAGGAATATACACGGCTACATATTCACAAGCACTATAGTAGGTATAGAAATAAAGATTTGTGTGAAAGATGTATAGTGTGCAACAGATAGAGTATATAGTGCGTTAATCTGTGAACTGTGCGAGTTACTGCCTGAGTGGTATGTACGTTAAGAGAGCTATGCTTACAAATGTAGAAATAGAAGATAATAGGTCGCGCCACACAAAAAGTAAAATAAAAACAGTAAAAACAGTGAGTACTTACATTTAATGTATAAGGGAAAACAAAGTCCTGAGTAAACAAATATGGGTAAAATAGAATAGTCCAAGTTGATTGAATAAATATAGTAGATCTTATAAATTCTGAGATAGTCCAATAACCAGATGACGTAGAGGCATGTAAATGAAAAAAAGATCCAATAGTGTAAGGCTGTAGACCAAAGACGGAATATAGTAGTATATATAGTATATATAAAAGGTATAATAATCACACGCGGGTGAGCAGGATATGCTGCTCACTTTAAAAGTGTGGGTGGTATGATCCCCACCTAGGATTCTTGGGTGATTTCCAGAGTATAGAATGACCAGGAATATATAAAAAATAATAAAATAGCATAAAAAAGGTATATGGCAAGGGCAGGGTATAAAGCCAATATTCCTTTATTAATACAAATTGAAAAAAGAGAGTAAAAATAAGCCACAACGCGTTTCGCCACACGGGGCTTTCTCAAATGGCAATCAAAGCATAACTGTTTTAAATCATAAAACAGGTTAGGTAGATACAAAGGTGATAAAATAGTAATACAGAGTGTAAATATATAGATTTTTTATTCAAACGAGTGTTTTTAAGACTTTAAAAAAAAGCTTTCAAATAAAATGCAAATGAGCAGTCATGTGGTGCGCGATTGAGGTATCATGTGCTTATCCACGTGATCCGCCGAGGGGGCACATGGGGATTGTGTGCCCATACTGGGATAGTTATCGGCATATCGCCGGAGGCGGTCTGAGTTCTACGTAGGTGTATCTCATAGGTAGAGCAGACTGCAAGACGGGCGCTGCACGCATACTCGCCTGCATACAAAGGCATTCTGGGGGATGTGGTTTTAGAGGAGAAAGTATAGTATAGTATATAGCCTACCTTCAGAGCACAGAGGGGGGATATTTCCATGTAGTAATTTTGGCTCTTAGATGGTAGGATTCCCATCATAGGAGAATAGAAAGGGACACATGTGAATAAAACCATAGGGAAAAGGGAATGTACAGGGGAGGAGAAAGAAAAAAATAATATATATATATATATATATATAAAAATATAATGCTATGCTTGTCTATCTAGGGTGAGCATGCTTAACCTAACATATAAATAAATGAAAACAGGCTTTAACGAATTGTTGAGAGTCAATGGTTGCTGGGAGCCAAGGTGACTTCACCTCAAACTAAGGTGGCCTGCAGCTTTTTTGCTGAGTCCGTGGCTTGTGTCTCTCACCCCGCTGGCTGACTTTCACCCAATACCTTTGGTGACCATCTGAGTCAGGTATGGAGACAATTCGCGGATAGTCCAAGCTAGGCCATTCCACCAGCCCGAGGCAATCTCAAGCGCCTCGGTGCGGATCCCACTACTCCGGTTTCCTGTGCCACTGTGAGCATAGTCTCGTTGAGATGCTTTTGCCACTGGAGTTCGTTGTTGCTCCTGCCGAGAATGTGGGTCATGCACCAGGATTGTCCGCCTTTGGGCTCTCGGCCCTGTAAGGCAGTAGCGAGCATTCGGCCCAGGTGTGGCCTGCAGGCAAGCCTTCTTCTTTCCCGACTTCTTTGGTCTGGGAGCTGATTGAGTGCTTTGTGGCCTGCCAGTCTCGTGGCACGGACGGCTGGTAGGCGAGTTCCGCCACTTGTTGATCTTCTACCGCTTTCCCTTAGGCTGTGCCCCTCTTTGCCACAACTTCCACCAAAAATCCCTGAAGATTGCCTCCAGCCGCTGTTCAAATTTTCCTGCAGGACTTGTGTCATCGTGGTCAGCGCCACAGTCGCCATCTTGGCTCTGGCTCTGGCTGTGGTGCAGTGCAATGTGTCAGGATCAGGTGAGTTCCCTGGTTCCACTCATTGCCTTAAAGTAGAGCTTGTATGTTAAGTGATTGTGACAGGATATCTCTCACCGGCTGGGGGGGGACGGAGGTCCCAAGCGCTTCAGCATTTTCTTGCAGGACTGCTCACAGGGAGATGGTCCGCCTCTCCAATGCTTGCATCCACTGGTAGGCCGCTATTCGTTATCACTTTCAGGATACTTCTCCAAGCACAGAAATCCACCCGGTTGAGTCTCGGGGTATCACCGATGCTCTGCTGTACCAATTTAGTAATTTCGGTTTGATTTTTCAGCAATATGTCCGGGTTTCTGCTTGGAGCTCACGCTTAGTGTGACCAGTCTGATCAGCGGCTAGGCCACGCCCCCTTTTGGTTACATTTTAGTTACATAATTATTAGTAAGTTACCTAAAATTTCTCAGAAGAGCCCCACCCATGGTTGCGCCCACATTGAGATTAAAGTGTTCCTCATTGTCCATTTGGAATATTAGCAGGTATGCAGTACAATGAGTAAGCATTTGCCTACCTAATAATAATTTAATAATAATAATGTTACTTTTTAAGTCTTTCTATGAATTGTCTATCATCCTCTAGCCCAGGGGTAGTCAACCTGGACCCTACCGCCCACTAGTGGGCAGTTTGGGATTTTAGGTGGGCGGTGGTGGGTTCTGCAGAAAACGCCCGATGGGCCTCGATGGCCGTGGGCCAAGGTCAGCAGGGTAGATTCTTTTATCTCCCCTGCCGGCCATGCAGAGCCAGCTTTGCTGTAAGCCTTCTCAGGCTGGTGAGGAGATCAAACATCTCCCTCACCGGTCCCCTGGCAGTTAGTTCCAGCAGAGGGAGAGAAGCTCCTGGGAGGCTCTGTATTCCTCCCGTGAGCAGACTGGTCAGAGCGTTGCCGTGCGCTATCATGGCAACGCTTCGATACAGTGCTGTGTTCGCAGGAGGACAGGAGAGTCAGCCTGCAGCCTGAAGAGCTGCATGCTAAAGTGAACATGCCACCACTGGGCCACCAGGGCTTACAGCATTATCTCCCCTCTCTGGTAAAAAGTAAGAAGGGAGAGGAAACATTAAGATAGATTTTCACATCTCACCCACCCACACACAGCTTAGACCCTATGCACCCTTTACACATACACACACACTACACCCCACACACACACACACTGCCTCGTCACACACACTGCCCCCCCACACTCACACTGTACTCCTCACACACACACAGCCCCTCTCAGACACACATACAGACTTTCCCCACACACACACTGCCCCCTCACACACACACAGACTGGTCCCCTCACACACAGACTGCGCCCTCACACACCTGCACCTCTCAGACACACTGCCCCCTCATACACAGACTATCCTCCTCATACAAACTACACCCATTACACCTACACACACACTGCCCCCCTCACCCACACACCATGCCCTGACACACACTGTACCTCTGACACACACTGCAACCCCCACTCACACTGTACTCCTCACAGACACACTGCCTCACACTGCACCCATCACACACACTTCCCCCATGTCTCTCACACCCCCTCACACACACTGCCCCATCACACACACTCCACCCTTCACATACACATCACCTCTAACACACACACTGCACTCCTCACACACCAACACACACACACACATACAGCATCCATCAAACACAGCACCCTTCACAAACATACAGCATCCATCACACATACTGCACCCTTCACACACACTGCCCCCCTCACTGCACCTCTGTCTCTCACACACACACACACATACTACACCCTTCACACACAGCACCCTTCACACACAGCACCTCACAGACACAGATAGGAAAAAAGGAAAAAAATAGATAAATTACATATTTAAAAAAAAAACAAAAAAAATCTATAAAACTAGTTACTGCGGCACTGGTGGGTGGTAAGGACATTTTACCATCAACAAAGATACAAAAGTGGGCGGTATGTATTAAAAGGTTGACTAACCCTGCTCTAGCCTGTGAAATCCAGTGAGGTCAGAGGATACAGGACCTTGTGTTTTGGGACTGGGCTGAGCCAGATGCTGAAAAGTTGGGAATTCAGAGCAGATCCGTTTTGGAAACAAATGTCAGCTGTGTCACAGCATGAACAAGGGGAGGTTCGGGTGTCTAGCATTGTAACCTTGTAGGCTGCCTATTAGCTAGCATTGCCTCAAAGCATTCAGAGTTGAACAGAGCCTCCACAGGAGACACCTTCCTTGCCATTCACAAGACATAGCATGCTTTGTAATTCTACACTCAGCTGCTGATTGAGACCCTGCAAGTCCTAATCTGCCCCTTCATACAATCACAGGACAGAGACATGAGGGGCTATTGCTAAAGAATACAGAACAATGAGTGCACCAGCAGCCACTGGAGTATTTATCCTGTCTCTTACCTCTATCCCTGTCACTTACATCTTCAATGCTATATCTGCTAGTAATAGGTAAGTGGCGCAGACAGTGCAGAAGCTGATTATTGTAGCAGAGGGTTTCTGCTAGCAATAGGTAAGTGGGGGCAGACAGTGCAGAAGCTGATTATTGTAGCAGATTATTGTAGCAGAGGGGAACTAAAATAGAATAGAAGTATTTTAGGAACGGAACCTTTGTATATTGCTAGAGTCTAATGTTTCCAATTAGAACCTTTGAGTTTTAAAGACTTGAACAACCAAGTAGTTTAGAGTTAACACAAATTATGCAATAAACACAGCTAAACTGTAAATAGTGAAATTATGATGTTTTAAGGTTTTTTTTAAATTTTACTTTGGTGTATTATATTTATATTTTAAGCTCGCTAAATAGCAAACTGCAATGAATTGATCATTGAATTGTGAAATATAGGTCAAAATAAGTGAATTAGCTTCTTATTTCCAACTTGGATATGTGTGATAACATTTCCATTTCACTGTTTAGTAAATTGCCCCCTTCCTATTTTTATTATTAGTATTTATATAGAGCATTTACATACTCCACAGTTCTTGACAATGATAGAATGTGAATATTTGACAAGTAAGTTGACAAGAGACAAAGAAGGCTCTGCTCAAATGAGCTTACAATCTATTTTAACCTTGAAATAAAATTGCATTTTCATCTAAATTGGGATTATGTTTCTGTTAGGACTCACATGAATTTGTAACAGAGCAATCTAACATTAGAAATACAAAAGTATTTGTAAAATTGTAACATCAGAATGTCTACCTTTTTAGAGTTATGGGCCCATAAATATTGAAAACAAACTCCTTTTCAGCCGAGGTCATCATCATTGATTGTCTATAGAGAAGTTGAGGGACCTAGTACATGCTTGCAGCACATACTGCTCTGCAGCAATCAGCATCTACTTATTGTAAAGCATTATTCCAATGCGTCTTTATAGGGACTGTTCATGCTGAGAGTCAAAGGTTGCAGAACCACAATAGGAAGCACCTCTAGCGGCTTTTTGAGTGACAGTCATCAGAGGTGTTCTTAGGGTTCCCCTGTTGTGTATATTCATGCATTTGATTAACCTGGAATCTAGAGAGGCGAAAGATTTCATCAAGGCTTTGAAATTTGACAGCATGTGAGATAGACAGAATTTTGAATTAAGTTATAGGAAAGGAGATAATGACCCTGGACACTTATGCCTCAATTTAATATTGTTGGATAAGCTTTTCAAATGTTTTAATAATTTTAAATAAATTTCTAATATTATGAAAAATATTAACGTTTTTCATATATTTGTATTTTGTTTGATACAAATATTAAATAATTTGAAAGCTTATTTAAACATATTAAGTCAAAGCCTAGTAGTTTGATATTTACAGAGTTGTTCATTAAAGTGTAAATTGTCATGAATTTAAAGTGAATTCAAAGTAAATATCAAATTTAGGCCAAAACAGCTGGATTTGAAAAATTATCCGGTCAGCTATGTTTTTACTTTTTCCACTAAAACTTTAAATTTATTTTAAATTCACACTATAGTGAATAAACATGTAAAACAGTTTTATTTTTATTTTTTTCTGCAGGTCAATAAGGGAAGTCTTTACATGGATACATACAATTATTATTATAATTGTGCCAGTGATGTTTGCTAGGTTCAGGAACACTGTAACTTTTATCAATTATATATCAAGAGTACAAAGGGAACTGTTACTTTGCGCAAGAGGAACATTTTACTAGGCAATTAAACGTAACTTTTAGTTGTCCATTGGTTTATTTTTCACAGAAAATCCTTTGTTTGTTGCATTTAAATTTGCATCAAATGAAAGGGTTTGGTGGTAGAGTCCAGAATTCCATACAAGTGTAAGGAGCATGATTCTGGGAACATGCCCAGTGTCCAAATGTGCTTTCAGGGAAATGTGGGTAAATTATCTCATGGAACACGGGTTGGGTGAACTAAGGGGAGTACACAAGGTGTAGTGCAACTAGGTACCTTACATTTAAAGTCAAATTTACTTTACTATGCATCCTTTTACTTCGCTCCGTTACATATTCCTAACCTGTTACATACAGTCACCCAGTAACATACTTTGTCACATACCCTTATGCAGTCACATACAGATACCCACCTAGTAACATTCACACACCCATTCATTTACTTGTATTTATCCACTAACACAGGCAAATCCCCCTCCCCACCACAAACCATTTATTACCTACATTATTAACAAACTCATGTAGACACTTGTACACACATTATATACATGTACACATACATAAATTATATATGCAGTCACATACACCCCTATGCAAGAAATCTGCGCCTTTATGCTGGTTGAAGATGTTGAGTTTGTGAAGTGTGCTCCACAATCTGCAGTATTACAGTTAATCGTCATTACTAGTGTCCAGATTTTCATAGCAACCTATGCAGCACGAGGGTCCTTTAGACGGCATGCAAGGCTGCTGTACCCAAAGAGGCTGGGTAAATCTGATGATCTTCCCTGGAGCTGGATTCTCAGGAGGCCCGTTGGGACTTCATCATGTATCTGCTAGTTATATGCGAACATTCGCCACTAGGCTTGATTACATTAGGTGGTGAGGGGCAGTCCACAATTTACTCATTGCACGCTCGGGGATCATAGATCACTTCCTCCCAGCACTTGGGAAGGGGAATCTGCAGTGGAGCAGAGAAGGTCGCAGCAGCCTCCATAGCCAACACGGTCCCCACTGACAGTTGACCTGTACCTGGCCAACTTGGCCCCCACTGGGCCCACACAGCCATACCAACACATAGCTGTAGAAGAAGGCTCCCTAACATGCAAAAAAATACAAATAGCCCACACTTAAACACACCTACACAGCAGCAACAAACACAACACTACTAACAACTCACATAAACGCACACAAATCCACCTCCCATATGTTATACACCATGCAGCCCTCACACATACAACCAACACCATACACACACAATACATCATGCATACATTTGGCTCTCACAAACAATCCAATGAGCAACCCTAATACGCAGCCCACATTTACACATAAAACATGATACCCTGTCTACATACACATGTAACACACAAAATATCACAAACTGCTTTTGCACATACAGAACAGGCAACATACATTCATTTTTTAAAATAGGACTGGCACGCTTGTTCCATGAACCTCCTTCTCTCTCAAAGAACACTATAAGTAAACCTATACAAATGACTTTTTGAACTTGTGGAGTGATGAGTTTGTATGACGGGAGGGAACATAGCTTATCCTTGTGATGTCACTAAGTGAGGCAAATTTTGTAAGTCACGGTATCTGTAAATAACAGAATTAAGGGACGTCAGTTGTGTGGATCGTCCCTTTAACTCTCTTTTAACTCACCAGAGAGCTGTTATTCTAGAATATTTCCGTTGTTTAAGAGGAGGCAACGTTAAATTAATTTTAAGTTAAAAAACTAAAAGATTTTTTACAGCTTCTGTTGCAGTATTCTACCAACTCCTGGCATTATTCTCTATTCTGTGTTAAACAAATTTCGAGCAGTTTTACACGAAATAAGGGTTCCTGGCCACTGACACCCAGCCCTAATTGGCATTACGGCTAAGATAGAGATTACACACTTCCTTCTAACTATACCAATTCATACCAGGTATGGGCACTATGACTGACTGAGTCTGTCAACTGACTGTTTTCTGCCTATTACAGCTGCCCATTGCTGCTCAGGCTGAGGCCTTCTCATTAACCCAAGCAGCACAGCGGAGGGGGGCTGCTGGAGACTTTTGTTTAGTAAAAACATTAAAATGGTTTAACACTGAATGGAAGGATGGCGTCTGTGGATTCCAGACACTATAACCACTTCAATAAGATAAAGCAGTTACTGTGCCCACAGTGTCCATTTAATACTGGCTAATTACACAGGAGTAGGTTTTAGCTTTATGATACACTACTACAAGTGTTATTAATAATCATACAATTTTATAAGTTTTTGGATTTAACTAAAACTGATGCATTCAATTTGCACTACTTTCCAAATATGATTTTTAACATACGCTGATTGACCACAACAATAAAACCGCCTGTCAGGGTGGAGCTTGACCTGGGTCGAGGATAGACGCATGTTGTTTGTGCTCTGTACATTATTGATCTATACTTACCCATCAATTGACACAGTTACTATTAGCGCTGATTTACCAATCAGATGGGTGGAAGCAAAAAATCCAGGCATTCGTCCCCTTTGGTGTCTATCTTCTGCAACAGATCGGACAAGGCCTTCCCGTGTTCTGGTAATTTACGTAACTCCGACTCAGAGTCTGACGCCAGCAATTCCTCTCGTCTCTTCTGACAGCTTCATTAGAGCCGCAGAACTACAAGCTGTGTCGACTGCCTGGCATCACAATTGGCATGGCACCCTGTGTTGCTGCACAGCTCGCACACCACTAAGGCCACTCCTGATTGTTACAATATAATGAATGTTATTCACTACACCTGTCAGTGTTTTTTTTTTTAATGTTGTGGCTGGTCAGTGTATACTCCTTTAAAAATACATTTAAATATAAGCAGAATATTTTTCAGCTTGAAGTGTCCCAAGGTATTTGTCGACTTGGAAACAGTCTTCATTGTTAATTATCTTCTTTCCTGTCGGCAGTAGATCGTAGATAATATCAGGAAGGTTTTAATTGTCTAAGAAATTAAAGGATAGGCAATGTTTCCTGGAATCACAAATGTCTGCAATGAGTGAATGGAAAATCATATTAACGGTACAGCAATTGTCCGCTTTTCAGGGATCTGTTAATAAAATTGGGCTTAGTCTCTTTTGAGCAGTTTTTCATTGAAATACGTTATAGTATTGAGCTCATACCCCCTTCCTGGTGTCACAGCTTTGGTGAATGATTGCAGTGAACAAGAACAATAATGCCGGCAGAGCAAATATCTGGAATGTGTAATGGTCCCAGCATTGTGTTGCCAACAGACCTTCCAACAAAACAACATACCGGTACTTTAAAAGTAATAGATAATAAATCACAGTCTGATTAGTTGTTTTTTAAAAGTTTGTTTAATACAATATAGTTTTTCAGCTTAGATGTTGGAATACAAACTACAAAGGGTTGCCCGGAATTCTTTCAGGGTTTGGCAGTTGCCTTTTTCATAATGCAGTGCATGAATGCAACTAAGCCTCTTTCAAGTAACTATTTATTAACTGGAATACTAAATAGCACTAAGAATACTAGCAGGTGTAGCTTATTGGCAGTTTTATAGAATTTTACTCAATTTTCTCAGTTGGCACACCATCGAGTGGTTGATCAATGAGCATGCCATGAAATATAGTCCAGCAAAAGCCATAGTGGCAATGCTTTCCCAGCCTGTATTAATACATAGACATATGCAATATGTTATATTGGTAAACATGTATCAGTTTTTTACCCGTCTCCCTTGCTTCTCTAAGCTTCTTGAATGTGTTGCCTACAATCAGCTATCCACCTTTATTTGCTCCCATTCAATCCACCCAAATCTTGCTTCTGGCCTGCCGACTCGACTGAACCACGCTCCTTCCTGTCCTTAACTTCCTCACACAAACACAACACTCTAAACTCTTGGCTATCCTCATCCTGATGGATTTAAATGCTGCCTTTGACACTTCAGCTCACCTTTGTTAACCTTTTTATAACTGGTAAGACTCTCACCTCATCCTACCTTTCTGATTAATCCTATAAAGTTTCCTTCATCAATACATCCACTCCGCCGATCCCTCTTCAGGGTGGTGCCCTGCAGGGTATAGGGTGGTACCTATATTTTTCTCCCTCTATATGGCTCTTCTGTCTGACCTCATCTGCTCACATGGCTTCAATGCCATTTATTTGCAGAAGACATTCAGAACTTCTTTTCTTGCCCTTCATTTTTACCTGATCTTTCCTCTCTTTTTTGTGCCTTTCTGACGTTGCCCAATGGAAAACATCACGTTTTCTTCAAATGAACACAGTAAAAACTGAAGAGCTCTCCTTCTCTGCACCCTCTTTCACTCCAAACCCCACTCTCCACTTGCCCCCTTTCACTATCTCCATATCACCCACAGCTTGAAATCTTAGGGTCATCTTTGACTCCTTATAACGTTGAAAAACACATACAGTGCCTTGCAAAAGTATTCACCCCCCTTGGCATTTTTTGTGTTTTGTTGCCTCACAACCTGGAATTAACATGGATTGTTTGAGGATTTGCATCATTTCATTTACAGAACATGCCCACAACTTTGAAGATGTTTTTTTTTTTTTATTGTGAAGCAAACAACAAATAGGATAAAATAACAAAAAAAGTCAATGTGCATAACTATTCACCCACCTAAAGTCAATACTTTGTAGAATCACCTTTTGCGGCAATCACAGCTCCAAGTCCCTTTGAATAAGTCTCTATGAGCTTGCCACATCTTGCCACTGGGATTTTTGCCCATTCCTCCTTGCAAAACTGCTCCAGCTCCTTCAAGTTGCATGGTTTGCACCTGTTAACTGAAATCTTTAAGTCTGACCACAGATTTTCTATTGGATTGAGGTCTGGGCTTTGACTAGGCCATTCCAACACATTTACATGTTTCCCCTTAAACCACTCAAGTGTTGCTTTAGCAGTGTGTTTGGGGTCATTGTCCTGCTGGAAGGTGAACCTCTGTCCTAGCCTCAAATCACGCACAGAGTGGTACAGGTTTTGCTCAAGAATATCCTTGTATTTAGCACCAGCCATCTTTCCCTCAACTCTGACCAGTTTTTCGTGTTTCACTGTGGGGATGGTGTTCTTTGGGTGATTTGATGTGTTGGGTTTGAGCCAGACATAGCATTTTCTTTGATGGCCAAAAAGTTAAATTTTAGTCTCATCAGACCACCTTCCTCTATACATTTTGGGAGCCTCCCATATGCCTTTTTGAAAACTCAAAACGTGTTTTTTGCTGAAAGTAATGGCTTTCTTCTAGCCACTCTGCCATAAAGCCCAACTGAATGGAGCCTATGGCTTATTGTCGTCCTATGTACAGATACTCCAGTCTCTGCTTTGGAACTCTGCAGCTCCTCCAGGGTTATCTTAGGTCTCTGTGCTGCCTTTCTGATTAATGCCCTCCTTGCCTGGTCCATGAGTTTTGGTGGGCAGTCGTCTCTTGGCAGGTTTGCTGGTGTGCCATGTTCTTTCCATTTGGTTATGACAGATTTTATGGTCCTCCTGGGGATCATCAAAGATTTGGATATTTTTTTATAACCTAACCCTGACTTGTACTTCTCAACAACATTGTCCCTTACTTGTTTGGAGTGTTCCTTGGTCTTCATGGCAGTTCACTATTGGTTAGTGGTGTCTCTTGCTTAGGTGTTGCAGCTTCTGGGCCTTTCAGAAAAGATGTGTATATGTAATGACAGATCATGTGACACTTAGATTGCACACAGGTGGACATCATTTCACTAATTATGTGACTTCTGAAGGTAATTGGTTGCACCATAGCTTTTTATTGGCTTCATAACAAAGGGGGTGAATACATACGCACATGCCAATTTTCTGTTTTCTATTTCTAAAAAATAGTTTCATGTATATATTTTTCTAATTTCACTTCACCAATTTAGACTATTATGTTCTGATCCATCATATAAAATTCAGATTAATAAAACATAGAAATTAAGGCTATAATGTAACAAAATAGGTAAAAAGTCAAGGGGGGGTGAATACTTTTGCAAAGCACTGTAACCGCTAAAAATCTACTGACTTTCTGTTCTGCAAAACTATTTATACCCTACCTCATCTTCACCAGGTTTGATTGCTGTACCTCTCTCCTACTTGGTCTTCCTACACCCCTACAGTGTGTCCGTCACCCAGGCTTCTTCTTGTACCCTATATCCAACTTTTCTCTACAAATTCAAATTCATTTTCAGCAAATGACACAACTAGGTCAATTCTCTTCTACAATAAACACTCTTAAATATCACCTCCGCTGCAGTTCCACTTGAGCAGGCGTCCATCCTGACTTCTTGCTTTTTACCAGCTAACTCTATCAGGGCTATTTACTAAAGTGAGAATGCAAAGTGAATTTCAAATATATAACCAAACTGAAAGCACGACCAACTTTATTTTTATATTTTTCCAGTTTGGCTGTATATTTATATTAAACTTTTTTTTTTATTTGAAAGTTTTTATTGTTTCAATAAGGCAGATGGTGTACAGAAAGGAAAAAGGGGGGAGGGAGTGAGGGGGAAGGGTACCATCCATTATTATTGCACAGCATTATACAGATAGCCATTGTACATAGAACATTTCAGTTGGTTAGTGTATGTGCTACAAAAACAAGTATGGTAACGTCGTCTATCGTTCAACCATATCTCAACATGGTTCGTGACTAGAGCATAAAGCAAACCAGCTCAGAACAGCCTTAGGTATTTTATCATTTTGTCGTTACAAGGTTTTGAGGGTTATCAGATCTCCATGTGTTCCAAAGGTTCCAAGCCGCAGCATAAAGTTTGGAGGGGGAGAATATGGTTCGATAAGATTTTTTGTATGTGTTGTTTGTCCAAGGCTTTAAGCAATTTTGAGATTGTGGGTGCTAGTGGGGAGTTCCAATCTCCTGCAATCAATTGCTGTGCCATTAAAAGAATATATAGTATTATTTTCTTTTTACGTTTTGGTGGTGGTGGTTGGATACCTAACAGGAGAAACGTTTGGGGTGTAAAGGGCAGTGAGCAATCCACCACCTGCACTATTATTGTTTGCATATTTCTCCAGTAGGAGGTCAAGGCAGTGCACTGCCACCAAACATGGAGCATGTTGCCTTCTTCTTTCTCGCATCCTCAACATTTGGGAAATGTTGGGGGGTAAATGTTGTGCAGTTTGTGTTGAATTTTAAATTCACTTAGAATTCACTTTGGATTCTTATTTTAGAGAATAACCTTGTTTGTCTCTATTCTTTAATTTACCTACTGTATACGCATTGACTTCTAATCTCTCCACATGCAATGGATAGTGATTGTAAAACATTGCTTCTAGATTCTATGTTCATCACACTCGCCGTGTATGGTATAATACTTGTTAAGCAATATTCCTTATTTTTGCACAGTTGTATCTTCTCCTGCAACATTTTGCCTCAATGCACAATTTCCCTCTAGATTGTAAGCTCACTGGCAAGGTTCTCTTACCCTTTTGTTTCAATGTGCCTGAATGTTTATCTCCTGTTTGTATAATTACCATTGTTATGTTTGCATACATTGTAAAGCACTCTGGATACGAGCACTATATAAGAAATTTTAAATAAATCAAATAAATATAAAAGGTGTATCCCATGATTATATACAATATATAACATTGTTAGACTATTGTAATAGTTTTATGACCCGTAAACAAGGCTTCACTGTCTTAAAGGGACCCTATAGCGCCAGGTAAACAAACCCGTTTTCCTGTTACTATAGGCTCTTGGAATGCCCCCTCCCTCAGGGCCTCTACCTCGGCTCTGGAGGGGTTGAACCCCGCCAACGTCCAGAGGCCAGAGGGATCTTATTTGATGCTGGACTCCATGTAAATTGCGGAAGCGCCTCTTGTGGCTGTCAGGGAGACAGCCACTATCGGCTGGATTAACTCTGCAGTCTAAACCTGCCATGTTTTCAACTGCAGGGTTAAAACCTGGGGACCTGGCACCCAGACCACTTCATTGAGCTGAAGTGGTCTGGGTGCATATAGTGGTCCTTTATTGTAATGTTAGTCTGTTGCTTTGCCAAAGTCTTGCCTCCAATCTATTTTCATTTACAGGAGCCCAAAGCACAAAGTACATACAGGGATTTTCACTAAATTTAGAATTCAAAGTGACTTTAAGATTTTAGGCCAAGGTAGCTGAGCTGAACGCATAGCTGACTTAGAGGTTGTTACAGTTTGCCTATTTTGCCAAAAAATTTAAATTCACATTGAATTCTCATTTTGAATAACCCTGATAAGTTTCTAAAAATACTGACATCTCTCTCTCAGTTAATTCCAACTTTCTCAACAGTCAGTTATCTTTCAGTGTAAGAGTTACTATGTAAACAGCTAGTGTGTTAATATATTCTTTTATGTGTAATGTAGAACTGTTAATATTTTGCTGGTTTAGTTACAGTTCCTGGCATGTGGCTTTGACTGGTGCCGTGATCCTAGTGTCAATTGTTTTATTATCGCGTCTTCTGGTCTCTCAAAAGCCACCAAAGGATCCTTTATTCCATGGTACGTACGGGCAGGCGGGTACTTGAGTTCTAATACAGCAAAGCATTCATAATGCAGCTGGCTTTACTAACAGATGTGAAGAAGGACTGGTCTGGGTTATTCACTAAACTCGAAATTGAAGCTTATACAAGCAAAATTCAGCGCACAAAGTTACTAGTGCAAGGTTGGAGGGTTTTTTCTGATGTTTTGCAATTTAGATTTAATTCGCTGGTGAATAACTGAATGTAATTATTCCCTTATTAATCACACATCTTGATGTTTAACAATGTGTAATTCCTTCTTATAAGAACTATTTCTTGTCCCTGTTAGAGTTAATTTACTTGACTGATCATCTCACTATGTAGGGGTTAGTGTCACCTTGAAAGTTTATTTAAGAATTTATTGACTAAACAGTGATTTAGAGCTGAGTAACAGGGACATTATTCCCTATAACAAAGCAGTAGATGTCCTACTCCATTCAAGTCAATAGCAACAGCTGAAAGAAACATACATCTTATGCATCACAAGAGTTAGTGTACGCAGGATACTGTGGGATCCTCCGTAGATCTCAGTGTCGTACTCTCGCGCATGTATGGAGGATGAAATGCCAGAAGTTAAAGAAAGAAGATGGCGGTGTATGCAAAGGGGGAGCATCAGTCAAATATAATTACCCATAACCTCACCAATAGGCTCCTGTCAATCAAGTGGGTAATTTTACCTTCGGGGCTCTTTGCTAAATATATAAGAAACCACAAAAGTGACAGAGTTTCTGTTATTTTTATGTTTTTGTTGTGGTAAATTTCCAGCTAGCTTGTCATGTGATTTATTATTTGTTATCAAGTCACTCTAATCACCATAACAGCCAGTGTTTATTGCATAGGTCCCCTATCACCATATCACTGGGCATAGTAGTTTATACTGAAGGGATAGGCACTCCAGATGTTGTGGACTACACCCCCCATAATGCAAAGCATTATGGGAGGTGTAGTTCAAAACATCTGGAGTGCCAAAGGTTGCCTAGGCCTGTTATACTCTAACGGCAACTATCTGCAGACATATCTGTATTTTTTAAGAAATCCCTTTTCTTAAAGATGGTAGAGGAAGTTTTACTTCTTCCTTGGTGGTTCATAATGCGTCCAAACTGTGTGTACAGGATGCACACACTGGGCAAGTAAGAGCTGTGTCGCTCCCTACCTCCTCTCAGAGGCCATGCTGTGTGCATTCTCAATCAGTAGCTCGAGTGTAGAAACATTTTCACAAGTCATTGAACAGGTTTACAGATAAGATGTTACCTTCCACAATATGACTTGGGACCAAGACCCATCCCACTTTGTTGTTCAACCCACTGACCCCATCCATCCTCTAGACAGGAAATGATCCATCTGCCCTCTCCTTCCGCTTAGGCAACAATTGATCCTGCTGCCTACATTTTTATAAAGATGCTTTTTGGCTTTGAGGCCTACAGTTCGTTCCCTACAGGTTTTACCACTCTGTAGCTGATCCAAAATACCAGGGAGCAACCACTAGATAGCCCTTAGGCTCTGCCACTGGGCTTCTGGAAAGAACATGATTAGACACTATTTCAGGAATTTTATTATTAAAAATTATTTTTAAACTGGGATTAACATTTAACAATGCTACATTTAACTTATATAACGTATACAAAACAGTGCAGAAACATAAATATATATTAAAACATAGATCTAACAACTAAAATACTATAAAATATATAACAGTGACACCGGGGAGCATCAGAGTAAACAAATAAAATTCATATCCCAGTGATTCTCCAGGAATTCGACATAATGTGCAAATCAGGGCTTTACCCAATAGATAGCTATGCATCATCCATTGTCTTTGTAATCTGGGTTTCTTAAATTTTCAGATACATTATTAGGGTTTATTAGGTTACAGACTGATATTATTAACAGTTCCACTAATCAAATCTGACGAGTGCGACTGCGGCTGGGAGCTTATTAGATAACCCATAACCAACTCCTGGACAGACATTTATAAAATAAGATAAAAACTATTAGACCAGTTTGAGCAATGGTGGCTGGTGAAGTTTAAAATTGGTATAGCACTTCTCCCTGATTTGTCAGGCTCTACCCATTAAACCCCATGGGATGTCATGCCCATGAGATGTTGAGGTGAACAGTTATAATCAAGACAGACACATGTTTTTCTTCTAATACACAGCGCTATCAGTAGTAGTTCTTCCAATATCAGTAGGTTTAATTTTTCTTATTGGAACAAAAACTGGGGGGAGGGTGCTACCACATCTTCTCCTATAGACCAACCTCCACTGAGTTTGGGAGTCTTTTGATTGGCGGAGACTCTTACTGGTCTGGGTTAGGACTCTTGTGTTTGATTTACCTGTGTATGTGAAGCAGATTTATTGTATTTGCCAAACTCTGGTCTTGAAAGTGTTTAGAATGATACTGCACACAATTTATGCTATGCTAAAAAAAATCCCATTGCCTGGGTCATTGTAATGTTTAGCAGGCACCTGTTTCATGAAAATTGGCAAATCTCTTGATTGATTGATGTGTCTATGATGTGTCTTTTCATCATCTTTTTTTATCTCACGCAGTTTTCGCAGTATTTTCTTTCAGCAGTGTGGTGAGTCTCATTATAGGATTGGAGCAGGATGGATTGATTGATGGCTTCATGACATTCTATCTCAAAGAGGTAACAATAAGCCAGCTCTTGCATTTGGTAATCAGCTAGATTTTTGTTTGCTTGTTTCATTTTTATATAACAATGTTAATAATATCAATAAAAATGTAACCAGGAGGGGTGCATTTAGCAGCTGGCTATTTTCCAGAAACATCCAGCAATCTCTTTATTTCCATAGCTTTTGCCTTTTTTTTGGTTGGTGATTGTATACACAGGATTTGTCACTTTTCAGTGTTTCATAAATATATAATCTTAATGAAATACTGATTAAGGCTGCGTTGGAATTTCATTGAAATCCTTAATAGACATCAATGTTGTATTCTCACCACCCCTGCACCCTACGGCCACTGGACCCTCACTGGATCTGTTACACAGGTCTTTGAGAAATCTTCAAAGACCCTTGGAATTATTTCCTCTTTCACGCTGCGACAAATAAAGTACATGAACAATACACCACAAATACAATAACAGGAGAAACAAACATAACATAACGATGAATGCCATCCGAAATTGAAACCGTGGAACCAGTGGGTGAAGCCTTGACCTTTATCCTGTAGAGTAGTCGGATCTAAGACCTGTAGCCAAACCATTAAACTGAAACGAGATAAACAGAGTCGAAAACACTGATTAGCGAATGAAATGTACTGAGAAAACATGAATCCATCGTAAATACTAACTATAATATCACAGATAGTGAGAAAACCTGAATCCCCATCATAAAATACTGACGGTACCATATCCCAGATAAACCTCAACTCCCCCAGTTAGCCAACCTAGCCCAGGAGACCAGGTGATTAAACAACAAGTCAGTCAAACCAACAAACAAGGGGAGGGAGAAACTGGGAGGGAAATATTCGCCTCCTGTCATTAATAAAATTAAGATTATAGTTACACTAAAGCTAGTATAATCTACAATTTTATAGCAAGACAGGAGGCTTCATATTTGCTGTTTTAACGCCTGGACAGCAAAGACCAAAGAAACACGATCCGCCGTACCAACCTAAACTCTGCGAAGATAGCTCCTCGTAACCGGGAGGAAAGCGTACGATGTCTTGGAGAAAAAAAAACGCCTGCCATGTAGGTACGCCGTGTTACAGACTGAAGTGAACCGAAAAAACCTATATGCCCCGCCAATGCCAACCACAACCAAGCGGTACAAGAAGGGCGAGAAAAAGGGAAGAACCATTTACTCAAACGGTGACATCGAACACCACCTAAAGGTGGGAGCGCTACCAAAGTAAGAATATGACCCTCGGGTCCGACTAAGGCTGATAGACAACTAAGGTCCGAACCGCCAAACCCATCTGAAAGAAAAACAAGGTATAATAATGGAAATAAATCCAGAATCATTGAATGGGCAAAACCTGACAGAACCCACCATAGGAGCATGACAAAAATGCGTGTACCCCCTGGGGAGATGAATACCCGTCCTCAGGAATCGTAAAGGGAATTCTAAGCAGAGCGAGGCCCGCCGACAACAGTCGTATGCGCTACCTAATCTTATTAATATGGCAGTCCCCGGTAATAAAGTGACCGAACAATACCCGAACCCTGTAAAAGCAGTAGCAAAATTACGACAAAATTACTACGTCTGGGTCGCCATGCAGACCAAAGTCTCACAATCCCAGAGATCAAATGAGCAAGGGTCCAGGGACTCCAGGAACTAGGTTCGACTCTGCCGAAGCAGAGGGAAGCATCCATCGCTGAGCAAATGGGTCCGTCATCCAGCCAAACTGGTTGGGGCCTGATGGGTCCTCCTCCGTGGACTAAAGTGTTGACACCGGGTCCTCCCAGAGAAAACTATTCCATACGTACGAGAACTCGGACAGAGGAGAGCGTAGGGGGCACCCCATTGCGTCCAATCCGCCCTCCAGGACTCCACTCCTTGAGACGTAGAGGAGGTCGATATTTCCCTGGTTGAAAACGAAATCCAGGGTCTCGAACAAGGGAAAACGCAGGGAGCGTCTGACCTTTCGGTCTGGGAGGTACCTCGCAGGGGGTCCGGCAAGCCCGTCCAGGTAGACCGTACAGCAAGATGTCCTATATCGACGAAGAGTCGCGTCCGGGTCCCAACGTGTGGAAAATGAGAAAAATCTCTTCAGATAGTTCTGGTATTCCTGAATGTCCTCAATTCCTTCCAACCTGCCAACCAGGTTGTATTGTCGCCCAAATGACTGATGCACAAGATACCTATCTCACCAGGGAGAAAATAGAGGACATCTTACCAGAACTGGGCCCCACGGTCCCTAGAAGTTTCTTGAGGGCCGCGTCTAATTCAAAGTAACTAATGAATATACGTTCAATCGTAGACTCGTGCTGGAACTACGAGGGGCTCAGATCCCTTTATTCCAAGCACCTCCACCTCCTATCCTAAATTGCGTTTAGGATAGGGTCGTCTGCCACCGCAGACTCGGGGCCCCGTCTGGGATGTCATCCAAAAGTGGAGGCAAGTGTAAAATTCCAGGTCAAGGGTCCAATCCCCTATAAAAGGTATGGGTTGGAGCTGAGATAAGCCTCCGTCAACTATTTCCATGTAAAAAAGGACACATCTTATACTTCCTCGTATGTTCCGCTAGCACAACTCGGCTTTCCAGTGCGGACTTAATAGTATAGGCACTGCAGTGGGCCACACTCAGGATCTCCTGAATACGTTCAATCGTAGATTCGTGCTGGGACTACGAGGGGCTCAGATCCCTTTATCCCAAGCACCTCCATCTCCTATCCTAAATTGCGTTTAGGATAGGGTCGTCTGCCACCGCAGACTCGGGGCCCCTCCTGGGATGTCATCCAAAAGTGGAGGCAAGTGTAAAATTCCAGGTCAAGGGTCCAATCCCCTATAAAAGGTACGGGTTGGAGCTGAGATAAGCCTCCGTCAACTATTTCCATGTAAAAAAGGACACATCTTATACTTCCTCGTATGTTCCGCTAGCACAACTCGGCTTTCCAGTGCGGACTTAATAGTATAGGAACTGCAGTGGGCAGAGACCATTCCAAAGAAACCAGGTGAGCAATGGATCGAGGGTCAAACAGGGGTTCGTTTAAGGCGATCCACGAGACGACCTCTTCTTCCACGGTCGTCGGGGCCCCTGTAGTGGACTTTGTTCTACATCTCATGGTGCCACTAGGGGCCGTCATCATAATCCACACCCCCATCGTCCTCTCCCTCCGAGGGGAACCAGTCCGCCCGCCATTCAGCTAGGGCGGCCATGGTGGTGGTGGTTTACGGGGACCTTCACCCCTGCGCCACATAGGCAGTGTCGTCTGGCCGTCAAGGCCGATCGTATCGGATCGGGTGGGGGGTGGAAGCAGAGGATCTCGCTCGGCGGACGGAGCCGGCGGGCGGGATCCAACACGTGGGAGCCGGCGGTCGGCAACGGAAATCAGTCGGAGGTCCGCTTTCCGGCGCCCGCAAAACGGACGAAAAGTGAAGGGGGCAAAGCCACCTGGAAAAGGTAGAGGAAGGGAAAAAAGGAACCCCCCCAAACCTGAGAAAAAAACGATCCCCAGACAGGGGGGCCCAAAACAGGAAAATGCAGAAAAGTCATAAGAGAAAATACATCCCTACAGCAAAAAAGTAGGGACAGAAAAATACAATCTAAATAAATAAATCATAACGGCAGTAGGAAGGTAAACACATTCTAAACGAATAAATACTTGCAGCCATAAGAAGGTAGATGCAGAAAAACAGAGTAAATAAATCAATCAATCACTAGAGCACTAAGCAGGTAGGTGTAGAAAATACAATATAGCTAAATAAATCAATCCCTACAGCACTAAGTAGGTAGATGCAAAAATACCCTCTAAACAAATAAATCAATACAGTAATAAACATATAAATACAGTAAAATATCCACAACCACCCATATATAAGCAGGAGGCAGTGGTACTCTGACCTGTACTGACTGCAGAGCAGCAAAGAAAGAGGAAATAGTTATTTGGGGGAAGCCTTTTATAGATTCCTGAATTATTATTTTTTTGTCTCTGGTGTTTTTCTCTGTGCTGCTGTGGAGTTCTAGTTAAGAGAGACTTAAGCAAATATGAAGCCTCCTGTCATGCTATAAAATTATAATTACTACATACATACCAGAGAAAAAGTATGCAATTTCAGTGCGGTTGCTGGTTTTTGAAACAAGTTCTAATAGAGTAGGAAGTTGCCTTCTAATAGAGTAGGAAATGAGCATTAGCACAACCAAACAAGGAATAGGGAGGTCAAAATGATACCCTTCTTTTCTGAATTCACAATAAGTTTGTCGAAACAGGACATGAAAAATCATGGGAGCCAGGAAACAGTGAATTCTTCTAATATTAGTCTTACAATATTAGATCAGTGCAAATCACTCTGTAGGGGCCCGGAGAACATCCCTGCAATCTTTTGTTTAAATTACTTAGCAGACCGACAAGCTAGGACTTTAAATGGAAGCTTGTAGCTTCCCCTACCAGTTCGTTCAGTCCTACTCTTTCTAATTCTCAGCACACTTTACGTAGCACCAATCTTCAGAGACACCCTTTGGACCTTAAAACCATAATTTCTGGCATGCAGATCCTAAAATTCCTTCTACATCAGCAATGACTTACCAACTAGTTGGAATGAGTTGGAATAAAAGCTGAAAAGGTGTAATACTCGTATGCTTTCGTCGATGGAGTAGGGCGACCCGTTGTTTCAGCGGTGTTCGGCAGAAAAAGTGTCCGTTTTTAGTTCCATGAAATCAGTGCCGAACACCGCTGGTCTTTCGTGTGTTTTAAAATGGCCGCTGCCTCGTGGTTGACATACGAACGACGGCCACCCTGAATTCGGTTTAATTGAGAAGTGTCTGCAGTTAACCACAACGTTCTAATTGGGATCAAAAGGTTAACCAGCAGCACACTTCTATCCTGGGTGGCCATCCGTTCGGTAGATTTGTTCGGTAAAAAAGAGTAATTCGTATGGCTGGGCTATGGAAACAGCCATTTACACGAACGAGGGCAGAAATAACCGAATCCACCACAATAAACAGACAGATGGTTCTGTCACAACCCAGTTGGCTTTATTGACAGAGCAAGATTTCTGTCTGAAACGTTGTGTAATAAATACCGTAAGAAACATGGATAGGGAGCACATTTATGTTATTAAATCACTGAGAAAAAATGGGTTAATTACCCCGTTAAATGTAAATGTTAGAAGGTTGTCCATCAAGAGTATAAAATTAATGAAGTAAAAAAAACGGTGTCCTGTAAATCACTGGGGTATCTGGTTGTGATATAAATAGCATTTAAAGGAGCACTATAAGATCAAGAACACAAACATGAATTCCTGACCCTATAGTGTTTAAACCACTATCTAGCCCCCTTGGCCCCCTTTGCCTCCCTAAATATAGTAAAATCTTACTTGTATTCAAGTCTGAAGCTGCCCGTGAACTTCCTCTGACCTCTGACATCATCAAAAGTGGTGGCCTGATCCAATCACAATGCTTCCCCATAGGATTGGCGGAGACTGACAAAGAGGCAGATCAGGGGCAGAGCCAGCACAATTCAAACACAGCCCTGGCCAATCAGCCTCTCCTCATATAAATTAATTGAATCAATGAATCTCTATGGGGAAAGTTCAGTGTCTGCATGCAGAGGGAGGAGACACTGAATGTTTGGATGCATTTTAGGCAGCCATGACCCAGGAAGGATCTCTAACAGCCATCTGAGGAGTGTCCAGTGAAGTTATCACTAGGCTGTAATGTAAACACTGCATTTTCTCTGAAAAGACAGTGTTTACAGCAAAAAAGCCTGAAGGTAATGATTCTACTCACCAGAACAAATTCAATAAGCTGTAGTTGTTCTGGTGACTATAGTGTCCCTTTAACATTTGCTTTTTAGGCGCTAATGTGTACTCATATAACACGTATATGTCTGCACCATTGACTCTTAATGCTTACATCAACATATATATTTATCAAGTATATATAACACCTCCACAAGGGTGGTATGCAGACACTACTCCCGCCATATAACCACAGTCAGAGCTAGTGCAAGGACTTTGGTTACTCAGGAAAACACGCAATTCTCCCACACACTATTCCTGTTCTTTATATTCCTTATACTACTCACCCTCTTCACCCCCTTTATTGTATGGCTCCTCACGAACTTATTGTAAGAATGCTGCTACAGATGTCTACTATGCCTTGTTGGAAACCCCCTAATTGGGGGGTGGGGTTACCCCCCCCCCCCCCCTGGGGCCCCCTAAGGCTGCTGTTTGGGCTGCCATGCACTTGTGTCGGACCAGATTTCAGTACAAGCAAGAAATATGTTTTATAAAACATATAAATAAAAATCATATGCTTTGTTTAAGTACAACTTTTATATGATGCATATGATATTGTCGTATATAACAGTTTGCAAAGTCAAACTGTAACAAATAAATTGTGAAAAGGCTGTTAGTGAACACAAAATATTGCTGGGCAGCTGTGTGAAAAGCAGGATTGTGGATTTATAGAACTAAGTTCCACGGAGCTGGTTTTAAACAGTGTGTATCAGTTTTCTTCTTTCCTTGTAGAGGAAAATATTTTAATCCACCTCCCAGCTTTCACTGTTGAGCCCTTTGTGATCCAGAAAATAAATCTTACAATCTCTTGTATTTATTTCACAATGGAAAGTATTTTACATCTAGTGCAGATTATGGATTAATGATGTTATTCTTAACATTATTACAAAAGAGCAGGGAGATTCCAATCTAACATGGCGGGTTCTGTATAATAAATCTAAATCTTAAACACAACACAATATTGTATTCACAATTTCCAAATCCCCAATACTGGACAACTCCAATGAGAAGACAAACCAGGATACTGACACCAACCACGTTCCTATCTTATTTGTCCTTCAATCACACTGTGTTCCTTCTTAAAGGAATACCATAACATTAGAAATTCACATATGTATTCCTAATGCTATAGTGTCTTATGCACTATTTAGGTGACCAGCCTCCTCTAGAAGCGTAAAATAGGTGCTTTGGTTACCAAAAGCATTAGAAGGCTATTGCGCATACACAGCAAAACGCCGCATACTGACAATCAAGTAGTCTCTATGTAGCCATCTGATTTAAATAGTCAAGTTTCACTTAGCTATTTTGATAGTTCTTGTACTATGTCAATGTTTTCAGTTGCAGAATTAAAGCTACAGGGACATGGCACCAAAAGCAGCCCTGGAAAAAAAAACTACACCAGCCCAATAATGCGTTGCGCCAGCATAGTGTGCTGATAAAGAGGCGGAAATATAAATTAAAATTGAAAACAAAAAAACTATTACTCCAACGTGAAAGAAAGCACTCATAGATCTTCAAAATAAACAAAAGAGCCAATTTATTTTAAGCAGATATACATTTGCATATGATCAATGTTTCAGTCCAACTACCTTGGAAAGTTTGGTAATGGGACTGAAATTGTGAATGTATGCTGTTGCACAGCTGTAAAAATAAAATTACGTTATTGTGTTTATTTTGACGTCCTATGAGTGTGCTCTTCACTTTGACTGAGATCACCTAGGAAAGCATTGAGAGACCATTGTGCATGTGTGGCAAAATGTTGCGCCACGCCACACCATGCCAATTAGCATCTTCTGGTAGAGATGCAATTAATCAATGCATCTCTATGGTTGAGTGTTCAACATAGGTGCTGTACACTGTGCAGCACTGGATTAGGAAGTACCTCTAGTGGCCGCCAGAGTGACTGCCACTAGAGGAGTTTCTAGGCAGCAATGTAAACACCGCCTTTTCTCTGAAAAGGTAGTATTTACAGTGCTCAGCCTGCATGGACAGACTATAGACACCAGAACCACTACATTAAACTGTAGTGGTTCTGGTGACTACAGTGTGCCTTTAATAAGACATCTTTCTCTTACCTGTTAATCAACTCTTTGGCATAGAGTCCTTTGCTGAAGAACTGAGTTACAGGGACAGCAGGAGACACAGGTGAAGATGCATTCCCTCCCACCACAAAAAAATGCATCTTCAACTATTTCTCTCAACCGCCCTTCTGAATTACCTGCCCCCTTTTGTGTTTCTTATCCACTGTTTTGATCGTCTTAACCAGCTTTAGTATATCTTATCTCCCATTTCCCCCCTTTGTGTGTGTTACACCCCTCTTATGCGCCTCTTACAACACCCTTTGTGAAGATTTTGCTTCCTCGCAGCCTCTTTGTGTCTCTTTTCCCCTTCTCCAGCTCCTCTGTATGTCTCTTTCCCCCAGTCTTTTTTGTGTGTCTTTCTCCATGTGCCTCATACTCCCTCAGCCTCTCCATGTTCTCATTTCCCCTTCCGTCTCCTTTGTGTGTCTCCTAGTCCCAGCCTCTTTGTCTCTTTCTCACCTTCCCTAGCACTTCTGTGTGTCTTTCTCCCCTTCCCAGCCACTCTGTGTGTCTATTATTCCCATTTCCCAGCCACTCTGTGTGTCTCTTTCTCCAAGAAGCATCTTTGTGTGCCCCCCATCCCTCTGTGTCTCCCCCCTACCCCTCTGTGTGTCTTTTTCTCCCCCTCAGCACCTATTTGTGTCTATGTGTCGTTTTCTATCCCCAGCCCCTTGATGTGTCTCATCCCCCCCACCAACCCTATATTTGCCTTATTTATATATTATTCCACCCTAGTCCCTCCATGAATCTCATACCGAAGTATGCTTTATACGGAAGCATGCACCATATATATACTGTTCAAAATGTGCATTCAGCCTCCAGAGGGGGATTAACTGAAAAGAGAGTTTACTCCTTGGCCCCTGGTCTAGGGCTGATAACAGACTCTTTGAGCCCCTTCCTGCTATGGCACTGAGCACTGGGAGAGCAGAGTGCTAAAACCTCCTCCCAATGCCGGTAACCCCACAATCAAGTTATCCCCAGATAGCTCAACCCTCAGCTACCCTTGGTCCAAAAAGCACTCTTATTGTCCATACCATGTTCATTTGCAACCCAAAGGTTTGGCCTGCCGCGACTTTGTTCCTATCCAATATATAGTTCCATGCAGCCGGTTCCATACCACCGAGTCACTTGCTGATCTTTAGTGGGTAAATTTGACTACTGGGTAGCTAAGGTCTTGGGTGTTCCAATAGACTGTGCCTGCTTAGAAGAAGATAGAGCCCTAGAGGGAATAAACAGTACTTTCTGTGCACACAAATGTGTCTTCAATGTTTAATTTGTTGGTCTGAAAGGATGTCACCATTCATGTTTTCTGCCCATAATATCATTTATAATGAGTGTTAGAGTAGTAAAGTTACCATGACCTATAGGGTGGTCTGTTAAATGTGCTATTTTTAGGAAACAGATGACATAATAGATCTGCTCTGCAATGTCCCCTACAGACTTCAACACATCCACTGTAATCTGAGGGAAATAACACTGGATTACACACTAAATAAACCTCACCAGAGTATCCGTGCATCCAACAGAGTCATTAAAAGTCATGTTGAAAGTAGAACTCCATCAGTTTTATTTTAAATAGGAACTCATTCAAAGTGGGCCAGTGGAACCTATGGTTGTATGAGGGTCACGGTCAGGCACATTCTAAATGGGTTGTTGGTTTTTTTTATCTGGGGGAAGGGACAGTTTGTTGATTCTCATATATGGTGCTTTGCGTAACACCCTGCAGAAACACTACCAGCAAGATAAAAAACACATGAAAGTTATGAAAGTTACAAAGCATTTTGCCCACTAACCTTCCACTACCAGAGACACTAAATCTCTTTAAAAAAAAAAAACATTATATATGTGTAAGATTCTGTGATGCATGCATCATAAATACGCATTCCATATTGCATTTACTTTTGCCTATACAAGTTGTTTTCAAATGCATTATAGAGGCATATGTAATGGAACACAGGTTTTATCCTCCTTAATTAACAGAAAACATCTTTATTTCCCAGAGTGAACCTTATCTGAACACTGCCTATGGCCACATGATCTGTTACTGGGATGGCACAGCCCACTACCTGATGTACTTACTCATGGTGGCGGCGATTGCCTGGGAGTAAGTGGATCTCATCATAAACAAAATTCTAAATTCCATGATAAAAGCAGAGTTGTTTCCTACCAAGATGTAGTATATGTTCATGTCATAAATAATAAACCGAAAAAATAACCAAATTTATGCTTCTCCAACAAACAATGTTCAATGTCACTTGATGATTACCGTTTTCATATTCTGTTGCCGTACTGGTAATAAGATATGCAGACCCTTCACAAATGTAATTTCAAACAAAATAGAAGTCAGCTTTCTACAAATTACAGATTTCTCTGTGTTTTGATTTTTCTCTTTATGCTTAAAGAAACTCCTATAAATTGGTATCTATTAAAAAAGTAATTAAGTCAGTGTAATGGCATTATATTAACACAAATAAAGTGTAATTACAGCTTGATGGTGCTGTTTAACTGTTTTAAAAAACAAACAAGCAGAAAAAACATGGTAACAATATATATATATTTTTTTTTTAATTTATAATTTTTATTGTAGCATAGCATGTGTATAGTTATCATCTCTCATAGTTTTGCTACATTGTAAATGCAACCTTTGCATACAGTGTCACAGGTAGCAGGTAATAACAGTCTAGGCAAAGCATAGGTACAGTGATATACAAATAGTTATACATAAGATTTCTAGTTGTGGTTGCATGGTATTAGTAAGAAAAATTAACATTTGCTTGTTGGAGATAGCTTCCTTTTGGGGGGGGTATGAGCGAACTGGGAGGTACATGGCAATGCGGTTCACGGGTGGTCTATTGGGCTGCGGGCCCGCTGGAGAAATATTGTTAAAGTGGGATCGGACATAGAGCAATGTCTGGGTATGATAGCCTAAGGGGCATACATCTGTGACACGCAGTCCAAGTTATAATGTACTTGCGATATTCAGGTTTTCGGCTGAGGGGTGGCCGCAGCACCGCTCGTTCTTGGGAAAAAGGGTTGGATTCTCTTGACGTCCCATATCCTGGATATGTTCACTGGTGTCTTTGCTGCGGAGGTAGTGCTTGTAGTGGCCTCCAGGGATATTCCCAAGGTTTGCAGAAATGCTACAGAGTCACTTGCTTGGGTGATGTGTACTCTTTTGCCTTCATTGCTGACAGAGAGCCTGCACCCTGGTCCCTATCTGTATTGTATCCCCTTGGCTCTCAGTAGTTGGGTGACTTCTTTCATGGAGTGTCGCCATGTGACTGTTGCCCTAGAGAGGTCATTATAGAAAGATAGCTCAGAACCTCCAAACTCATATGTGTTAGTTTCTCGGGCTGCTTCTTGTACTAGTAGTTTGCCCCGGAGAGATTGAAAGCAGATAAGTAGGTCCCGTGGGATGTCAGCTGGGGCTCTTGGTGGTTTAGGTATGCGAAAGTGAAACTCCAGCAGGATGGATTTTGCTTTAGCTTGTAGTAGCAGGGAGGCTAGTAATCTGCGTAAGTAGTGTGTGACCTCAGGGTCTTGCACAGCCTCTGGTATCCCCCTTATCCTGAGGTTTCGCTGGCGCTTAGCGTCTTCCAGTGCCGCCACTTTATTTTCTAATATAGTGCTGGTTTTCTTCATTTGGGCCATTTCCCTTTGCAGGGTTTCAATTTTGGCTGTTGTGGCAGCTTCATTCACCTCCACAGCCTGTATGCGGGCTGTCGTGGCACCCAGATCTTCCCTGATTAGAGCCACGTCTGCTGCTGATTGGGCTTTGAGCTCCTTGAGCAGATGGATGATGTCTGCTTTGCTTGCCGGCATTTGTTCAGGAGGTGGAGTACTCTCCCATCTAGTGCTCCTTGCTTCAGCGGCCTCCTCCATACTGTCATCTGAGGAGTGATCTTGGCAGGCCGCGGCCGTGGCATTGCTCTGAATAAATCGCCGATATTTTGAGAGGACAGCATCGCCTCGTTATGGAGCTGCTTGGATTTGCGTCCCATTGTGTTCTGACCTGCGTTGGTAGTGATTGGGCTTTACGGAACTGCCGATTTCGTCCTTTGTAAGTGGATTTCTCCCGGAGCTCAGTGCTCGTACGTCTGCTTGGGTAGCTCGCTAGCTCCGCCCCCCCAACAATCGTAACTATATTTTAATGTCCATACTAAAACCAGGGGTACTCAGAGGTTAGGGGAATAGTTAAGTGAGCAGTCAGTCATCAGTCGAACAAATTGTAGGGTCCACAGGGGTTAGCAGGGGTTTAGCTGTACAGCCACTCTCTGAGGTTACAGAGTATGACGAGTGTGACACCTTTATAGCATTTCTATAACAACGATCTGCACAATGACAGTTTAATGTTTAATACTTTAATATATAAAGCTGATCAGTAAAACCTTATCTCGTTGCTTTGCTGCGAACCATAGAATGCCAATGTCTGTTTAGAAACGTCTATAAAACTAAACAATGAATTGGATACTAAACAGAAAAATGTCTTACACACCTGTATATCAACTGGACAATAGCCACCATTTATAATTTAGGTATTCATTACAGAAATGTGGAAGTAAATACCTTGACCACAACCTTACAGGAATTTTTTTATCAATATGAAAATTGGATTTCTCAAGAGATAATTGGTTGCTAGTTTGGCAGATTTAGTGGACTGGTTATTTTGTTAACGTTAACCTTTGCTTTTTTTTTACATCAGTGGGTAATTGCTAAAATGTGCTGATGAGTAAAACAGAAAATCTGTACATTTTAAACAATACTGACTTATTTAAGGTTGGTTAATTTAATGTTTAATGTAATGTTAAATTGTATTAGATTATTTCTGATAAAAAAAAAAAACATAACAAAAAAAAAAAGAAAAAACTTCCCCTCTTTTTTTTCAGTCAAAACTACAGAACCATTGGACTTTACTGGTTTGGTTCGATTGTAATGAGCATGATTGTGTTTATTCCTGGAAATATCATTGGTAAGTAAATTACGTAACTGTTTTCTTTGTGATTGTTCATGTATTGTTTTACACTAAAAGGAGATGTACAGGGGATAATAAATCCCTTGGCTAGGTTTTCTTCAATATACATATGACCATAAGGTAATTGTTCAGTTGGGCAATCATATGGTCATCTGGGTTGTAGTTTGTCAGTTCTCATATTATATATGTAACGTTACAGCACCTAGGAAAATACTTTGTGCTAGAAGAAGCAATGAGCAGGTCTGGTGGCAAAATGAGAAGCTAGTCACTGAACTGGTAGCCCAGTTGATCATAAGGTTGAGGGTATTGACCCACGGGAGACCCCCAATGTAAATGGGAACAGAGGTGAGGGATACAGGTCCACGCTGATGGACTCAATGTGTTAAGTGCCAATGCTGAGACAGATGACAGGTCACAGGGCCTGTTTTGATAGAGTTAACATTCATTATGGATAGTGAGAGGGGTTGCATCTTGGGTTGCTGGGTTATTTATATAGATTCAGCCAGGGATTCATCCAAAAACACCCACTGGTGTCCTGGGAGTCAATTATGGCTGTAATCTGTTGTAGATTATTGACCCCTGAAGGGACATAGACATGGAAAGGTAAGTGAGGCTGGTGGAGAAGGTTAAATAATTCGAAAGAGAAGAAAGATTCACAGGTGTCCAAGATAGGACTGTTAGCATAAAGCTAATGGTGGGCCCCTGTTTAATGCAGACCGGATAACAGGAAGGTAACTGTTCTAACTCTGATAAAGTTTGTGGCGTATCCCATGTTATGGATAATTCCAATTCATCTTAAAACAATACCACTCCAGTCCCAGCTGATGTAGAGTTTGCATTTGCCAAATAGACCCGTCCTTTCCTCCTGCACTAATTATAGACTTTGGCTGCTGTATTTTTAGCTTTTGATTTTCCCTTTGGTATTATTAGGTGAAAGACAAACATACCGTATACAAAGCTGCAGCTCTACTAAAGAACAAACAGTTTCACTGTGTTATAAAAAAGGTTTATAAGGTGTCAAAGCAGTCAGCAGGATTGTTGACCCCTACATACTCCATTTGTTCAGCAGTGCCAAGTTGACTAGTTGTATATCTCTACTGTATAACTTGTTCAATATCTGGGGATCTCAAAAGAGACGTGGCTAGCCATTGCCATTAGTTGAATTCACTATGTAATACTTGTAGCCATTCCCAGACATTCCTACTATTAAACTGAATGTTTATGTAACATTACTAAACTTTCTGTTTGGCTTTGATTATATTTATATGGAATATCTACCCCTTTAATGCGAGACACTGTCTTTCTTTCATTATGTTATTTAAAGGAACACTATACTACATGTTTTCTAATGCTGTAGTGTTCCAGTAACTGTTTAGATTTTCAGACCCCCCCCCCACTTAAAAAAAAAGCTGATTTACTTGCCTTTATTCTTCCATTGCACTAGTCTTGCCCCCACCTCCTCCGTCAATCCAATGCTTCCCCATAGATAATCATTGGGTAACTAGTGTGTATGTGCGCAAATCGCCATTCTGAGACAAACAACATCTCAAGTCATGGACTCCCTGCTGGAACTGTGTGTATGAAAGTGCACCATATTTTCAATAAACCAGTTCTTATTCACCCTTCACTAAGTCTTGGCTAGTGTTTTGGTGAGGCAGCAATAACATCTATAATCACTCCAGGTGCCCAATGCTGAAAGAGAAAGACACTTGACAGAGAGGCTCAAGCTGAGTTAGTAACAATAGTATGTATATGTGCTTCCATCTCAGTATTCAAACTCCAACACTGTACACAAATATACCCCTGTATTCAAACGTAAACACTACCTACAGCCACAGCCCTACATTCAATACTACACACAAGATAACCCCTGCTTTCAGAATAGAAACAGTACATAAATACACACAACACTACATGCAAACACACCCCTACACATGTCCTTTATACAAAAACATTCGAACATACAAACACTGCTCAGTGCTAAATACAACCATGCAAGGATGTAGAGATGGTAGGTCCCTTGCTGGCAAATCATTGTGGTAGTTGTATGACAGATGGGGATCTACTTTTTGACCATCCTTCCATTCAGGAGGGGGCGGGGGGGGACAAAAAATTCTTGCACAAGGGTGCTCTCTACTTCAATTCCACCACTGAGACACATATAGGCCCACACAGATACAGACAGGTAAAGATGGGCATACAGGGACAGGTACAGAAAAGCACAAACAGATACAGACAGACACAGATAGGTGCACATAGGCACATACAGGCAGACACAGACATGTACACACATGCAGGCACAGACACAGACAGGCATACAGACACACCATTAGAAAGGTCCCGTACATTGCAGGGGATGGGGAGAGGCAAGGCAGCAAGTCACTGTTTCAGGGCCGGCAGCCGTAAGCCTCCAACTGCCGGCCCTGGGCCTTGTTGGGCAGCTGCCTGGTCTCCTCAGCAGCTACTGCCAGGCTGTTCTGCTCCTTCTGCTGGTCTCTTCAGTAACCCATAACTTGGGACATTTTTTTTTTTAAATAAGACCACCCCCAGTCTGAGCCACAGCTTGTCTCAGCTCGTTCAGCCCATCTCAGGCTTCGCCAACACCTAAGACCTAAGTAACAAACGTGCTAAAACTAGGGAATGACTGAGCATGAGTCATCTGTGAGCGGGAGTCGGGAGTGGTGATAGAGACACACAGGAAATATGACACTCTATCACTGCCCTCCTTCAGTACAAGAAGGTAAGCTAAACCTGTGCATGTTTAGGCTGAAAGCCATACAGGAGAAGAGGGTCAGCTTTAAGATGTATTTGGTTATAAATTACAGAGCACTAACGTGTATTTGGAGGCTAGATACATATACATGAGTCAAGAAGATAACGAGCCCCACATTCAGGGCCCCCCCTAGCAATTCCTCTGATCTCTTCGGTCTACTAGTCTGGACTTTCCTTTTTAGAGTTATAAGCTGTGATCTCCAGAAAGAAAGTGCTACAGAGGCTTTGAGTCCCTTGGGACATGGTGTTTCCTACTTAAATAGATATTAAATTCAGTTTTATGAATAGACTCTCCTATTTTATGTCAGATACAGTAAGTAGAAATAAATCATAACCCTTGCCTAGAAATGTAAGCAAAGTATTTAGAATTCCATTCTATTTCAACCTCTTAAAATCTGTCTTCGCCTTATTTAAATTTAGTCACTGTTGGAAGACTTGGAATGGAAAGAAGAACCTTGTGGGGTATTCTGGACTAACAGGCCCTAAACTTATTTTTATCTGCAAATCTGGTTTTATTTTTTTAAAAATCATTATTTTATTTACTTATTTTATATCACGCCGGCCATGTACAAAACAGAAGAAAAAAATAGCTTTACATCATCGTCCGAGTTAGCATTCTTGTAGTAAGATGTAATAAAATATTAAGAAGGCCAAATATCTTTCTCGTTTTATAGATATTTTGCATTCATTTCGGGTTAACAACAGAAAGCTTCTGAAAGCTCTACTAACCTATATAAAACAAAGGAAAATAATATTTTCAATGCTTGGTTTTTATCACTTGCAGGGTTAGTTACTAAAGGGAGAATTCAAAGTGAATTTGACATTTAAAGGACCACTATAGTGCCAGGAAAACATACTCTTTTTCCTGGCACGATAGTGCCCTGAGGTTGCCCCCACCCTCAGTGACCCTCTCCCGCCGGCCTCTAGGGGGTGGAAGGGGTTAAACTTACCTCTTTCTCTAGCGCCGGGCGGGGAGCTCTCCTCCTCCTCTACTCCTCTTCGGCTGAATGCGCATGCGCGGCAGGAGCCGCGCGCGCATTCAGCCAGTCCATAGGAAAGCATTCACAATGCTTTCCTATGGACGCTGGCAGTGATTTTCACAGTGAGAAGCACGCAAGCGCCTCTAGCGGCTGTCAATGAGACAGCCACTAGAGGCTGGATTAACCCTAACATAAACATAGCAGTTTCTCTGAAACTGCTATGTTTATAGAAGAAAGGGTTACTCCTAGCTGGACCTGGCACCCAGACCACTTCATTAAGCTGAAGTGGTCTGGGTGCCTATAGTGGTCCTTTAACCCCTTACGGACCAAACTTCTGAAATAAAAGGGAATCATGACATGTCACACATGTCATGTGTCCTTAAGGGGTTAAGGCCACAGTAGCTAAACTGAAAGGATAAGTGTTAACTAAATATTTTAAGTTAAGTGTAATTGATCTTATTTTAGAATTAGCACAAATGTATTAATGGAATGTTAAATAATCAATAACATTGTTTACGTAGCAGGTACATAGGAGAAAGGAGTAGAAAAGAAAGGACTGGTGGTGAGCCTCTCTGTTTTGGGGCCGACTGCAGGAAGACAGACTGGTCTTAAAACCTAAAGCCTGGCCTTTGAGTGGATGGTCGGGCCTGAGGATTCCTGTAGCCAATGAGATTGTGAGTGAGCAGAGACTGACAAACTCTGCCTCGTGATGCCCTGCATAATATCAAAGGCTGCCGGGATACCAAATGTCGCACCACTATACCATTGGCATACAGCCAAGTACAGCTTTTGCAAGAAACAGGAGCAAAAGGGGAACAGTCAACGACATAAATCACAATCCTGCTTCAGACTTTAGTGGGTGGAAATGAGCTCAAATGTGTTGCTGCAGTGTGTGTGTGTTTATATATCCAGAACAGTATGTATGTATAACAATGTGTAGTTTAGTGTATATGTGTAACAGTATGGGTGTATACATCAGTGTGGGTATCTGTGAGCGTATGAGTGTGTATGTGTGTATGTGGCAATATGTATGTATATATCTGTGTATTTGTGTTTCTATGAGTGTATGAGTGTGTGTATGTGTAATTCTGTGTATATGTAACTGAGTATATGTAACAGTGCATATGTGTATATGTGTGTGAGTCAGTGAGTGTGTGTGCAGGTTGAAACTTTGCCTTTCAGAAGCAAGAGTGGGGGGTGGTGGAGCCAACTATCGACTGAAGCAGACGCACTAGGCTCAAGCTCCTGAGAGAGTTCTGACAAATAGCATTAATGTTGCTACACAACCGGTCTGTAATAACCTCAACATTGTTCAGACAACATGGGAAAGAAAAGTAAGCCTTGCAGAAGGCAAACACCCGCCTCTTCAAAAAATATAGACACCTTGCTTCTGGGTTACTCCGCAGCCGTGGCCTTTCAAAATGGCCCCAAGCGGTAGGACTCAGACATTGCGTCGGAAGATAGCGACCATGATGACTCTCCATTCCCCAGCAGACACAGTACGTGGGCAAACCCTGATCTCCAGCTGAAGCACCTTCCTGCACCTAAACAGACAAACTCCAATACTCCCCTGAAGCAACAGCCTGCGAGTAAGTCAGACTTTCAGAACCTATTAAAAGAGATAAAGGCCCTATTTGCTGCCAACTGCCTTGGTCCAAGAGTATTTAGGGGCTATAACAGCCAGGCTGCAGACAGTGGAAGATGATGGTGACATGGCTAAAGGCAAATATGATTTCCTGCAGACCAAGGTGAAGAAGCTTAGGGACGCAAACCTAATCATGGAAGGCAAGATGGTCGCACTTGAGAATGCCAAACGTCAGCAGAATCTCAGAGTCTGAGGGGTTTCTGATGACATAACAGACACAGAAGTTTCCCAATTTCTCAGATGTATTCTGAGCTCCCTGCTCTCACCCTCTCAAGCTAAAGCCGCCTTGCTGGAGTACCACTTTCGAATTCCATAATCACTTACAGCCCCTGGACTTATTGCTGTGCTTTCAATCGCTCAAAAGTAAGCAACTCATACAAGCCGCTACTCGTGAAATGCCTACTTACCACTTTGAGGGATCTAACCTCTCCTTGTTCAATGGTCTTACTAGATCCACCATGCTGTGGCGCCAATCCCTTTGTCCCGTGACCCAGAAGCTAAGAGACCACAAAGTGATATACCGCTGGGGCCCAGGCCGAAAGCTATCAGTGCTCCATGATGGGAAATGGATTCAGCTTGTTGTCCTTGTACTTTATGATATGAATATGATGTCGCTGTCTACTAGTATTATGGAATGCACCTACAATGTAGCGGTAGCGTATTATGCTTCTTTATGTTTGGATGAATCTTTATAAGCTACAATAAAAATACAAATACATATTTTTAAGGCAAGAGCCGTTTTCTGTCCCATTTCCAAACCTTGAAAGGGCTGAAATATTGACAGCATTCGATTCATTTTAAGTCCTTGAAGTATGTTCCTTTATGATATCATTTTATATTTTTATATCTGTATACTATGTGACATTATGCATTATAGGGCTGATATTTTCAAATAAAGTGTTATTCCCTGGCTGGAGATTGGTGTGGTACACAGAGATTGGGACCTCTGATACTGAGGCTCAGCTCACCAAGCATATTTATTTTAGAGGGAAAAAAAGAGAAATGAAACAAAACAATTTTTTGTCTGAAAAAGTGTCAGAAACATTGCTAAATGTGTTGCCTAAAAAAAAAAATTATATTTAAAAATGAGAGTTAAGGAGCAAAATAAGCAAAAGATTTTTGCAGTCCAAAAAGCAGTCCAATCTCTATCTTATAGACTGATTCAAATGTTGCATCTTCCGGTTGGTAAGCACTGAAAATGTGTTGGAACATTAATACTAAGAACGTGTTAAGAATGAATGTACACTATATGAGTTAAACAGTATAAATGTACTTTATCAATAGCATTCTTTGTTGTGACAGGTAAATATGGAACAAGATTATGTCCTGCAGCCTTTTTAAGCTTACCGTATATATGTCTCCCTCTCTGGGCTGGATATAGGATCTACAAACAACCATCAAGCTTGCAAACCCCACCTTCCCAGGTAAAATGATTGTTTATAGTGGTTTATTTATAAATATATTGAGATTTTCTTGTTGTTCTCTTTTACAACTATACGAGCAGGATTTTGAATTAAATTAATTCTTTACCAGCATGCATAGGATTTCACAAAAATAAGAGAAAATTTAGAGAGAGTCATTGGGGGAGGTTTATCAAAGTGTCTTGTTCTGAAAAATGATCCAAAGTCGGCCAATCACTAAGGATATGAGTGGAACCAACAGGCACATTCAATTGGTGACTCAATGTTTCTGTGAGATTTACCAGAACAAGATTTACCAGAACATGATGATACACATCTTATAAGGGCTTCTTCTATGTCACTGGCCTCACGTGGAAAAGGGAATCTGTTGTGGAGATTAAGACCTGCTGTATGCAATCACTTTGTGTGAAAAGTTGAAATAGTCATGATTAAGTGCTCTCTGCTGTCATGTGAGGTTCTCGCACCTCACATATTGACCCTAAGTTTCCACCTCCGTGCAAATCGATGACAGATATTTATCATTTTACTCATTCAGAAAATTCCAAATTAAAATCCTTCAAATAAATGCCGCACATCCAGTGTCACACTTTCTTAATTTGGTTATTTATAGCCTTCTGGAAATGTAATGCTCACAAGGCTGTTGGCTAGCATGTGAGGACATTTGTTTGTCTCTAACAGGCTCACTTAGACTGACTATTAAAATGAAAATATTAAGATATTTTATAGTGAAACCTTTAACATTTCTCTGAAACCTTCGACACAACTGAATTTCTGAGTCCACTTTTCTTTCTTCTACAGATGGTAGAAAATATTCTGCAAAAAAACATATTGAGGAGACCGCTTGACTTGCTTTTTGCCCTTTACATTGTTGTGGCAACAGTTTTTAATTTATTCAGAGGAATGGTAAGTTGGACTTATTGTGCATCATTTGTAAACAAACCAGCCAGGCCACCTATTTATAAGTAAATAGGGATTTGGGCAAAATCAAATCACATGGTAGTCAAGTTAGCATAGAAGGCTCTGCAAACATCAGAAGTGTGCAAGTATTGATTAATGCAGAACTAGGGGAAAATGTGTTCTTTAAAGGAACACTATAGTGTCAGAAATACAAACATGTATTTCTAACACTATATTATTTAACTATTTAGGTGACCATCCCCCTTAGATCGCATTGGAAATGTGATGTTGCTTACCTTTTTTCCCACACTGCGCTGGTCTCATTGTGGCTGGCTCCACCTCCCTGGCTTAGATTATCAATCTTGATGATCTCAGGGAATCCAATGCTTTCCCACAGAAAAGCATTGGGATGCTTTTGCGCATATGCAGCAAATTGCTGTACCAATCAGCAACTCCTCATTAAGATACATTGAATAAATGCATCTCTATTGGGAAGGTTCAGTGCCTCCATGAAGAGCATACACACACACTGTGCAGCACTGCAATAGGAAGCACCTCTAGTGGTAAGCACCCCTAGTGGTGTTCCTAGACAGTAATGTAAGCACTGCCTTTTCTCAGCTCAGCCTGCAGGGACAAGCTATAGACACCAGAACCACTTAAATAAGCTGTAGTGGTTCTAGTGTCTATAGCGTCCCTTTAAGGTTGTTCATTACATTTTGAAATAGTTCACCTGAAATGAATAAAACATTATTGTTAAATTTATGTAAATGTGAAATGTATGTTTGGTTTGACCTACAGATTGCCTTAGAATGTCCTACTGAACTCTGTCGCTCTTACGCTCAATTTCAAGAACCGTACATTAAAGATCCCGCTGCTTACGCAAAGCTCCAGGTATTATTACTTTTGTAATAAATTACAAAAAAAAAAGTATTCCAGGTATTTTACTTTTGTAATAAAGCTCACAGTAATCTATAAATAAAATTGCGAACATGTCTTTCAGTTGTGGCCCATTGCTTTTTGCACTCTTTTTTTTTTTTTTACCTCAATAAGTGTATCTGTCCCGTATAAGTTTTGTTTAATTACATGAACCTTCAGAATCAGTTCTCAATTTGTGTTTTTATACTTTAAAAAGAATAGGTGTGAAGACATCATAGCATTGAATTCTTTGAAATATAGACAAGACTTTAGCACAGCTGCGTCTTGTTGTTCTTAGTGTAGCAGACCATGAACTCTCATTTGTCTTTTTCTTAATTTGCCTTTCGTGGCTTCCAGGATCTTTCCACTAAATGTGAAGTTTATGGTAAAAAAAAGTTTAATGCAAATTATTTCAAGGTGTGTGCTCCCTGACAGGTGATGATTTGGTCACACTAACACTATATGTGTCTGTGTTGCAGATGTTAGTTTTTCTGTTCTATTCTGTCCCGTGCAATTTAATCACTCTCTACGGACTTCTCGTTCCTGGGTGTGCTTGGATGCCTGATCTCACCCTTGTTCACGCTGGTGGATTAGCACAGGTACTGTATACAGTGGTGCAGTAATTCTTTGTTACACAATTCAAATGTGCTGAGTTGTGTGTGGTCTGTTTTTCTGTTGAGCTGCATGGTGTAATTTGCATATTACCAAAATATTGATAGCTGTCTCTTGCTTGTATTTTACAATACCAGGTTAACAGTTAACTGCCTTAACTGGCATAGTAGATCAAATAGTAAATGTGAGCATCACAGAATAGCCTTTATGAATAGCAATGCCAAAAGCTAATTATCAACTTTATGTGGCCAGTCATGTTTAAAAAAGAATTATTCTTAGACTGTCAAATAATGCATGATTATCGTCGTCTCGAGTGCAATATTGTAGTGTTATATAATGGTATAATTCTTAAGTTGAATATGCATGCAACATTGTCTTCTTCCAGTCAAAAAAGACTTGTTACATTCTAGGAATGAGCGTGAGGATTGTAAAAGAAGTGGTGTCATCCTATGTTTATGAAACAGTTGATATGGAGCCTCGATTTAATTAGCTTTCCAAATACTGTTAGAATAACTTTCCAAATGGTTTATCTACAGAAATCACCATTAAAGTATATCGGGAATTTTGTAGATAAATCATTTTGACATTTTTTCCAACAGTATTGAAGCAAGAAAACGTGGATTTGGAAAGGATACCAAGTTATATTTATATAGTTACTTTTCAGGAAATTACACAATTGAATGTAACATTAAAAATCACCTATAACCTGTTTTGACATGTGATGCTCCATTTTTTAAAAATTGTATATGAAATATCTGGCAAATTACATCACAATCCAGTTTAATCCTGGCACAGCCATGCCACTTATTTCAAACAAGGAGGAGAAACAACAACATTGGGGAGGATTTATCAAAGTGTTCTGTTGTTAAAAAGTGATGCAAAAAAAGTAAAAGGGAAGTATTCAATGAAATGTGGTACGAGTTGTTCCCATGATGACTGTCTTTACTTTTAGTACTTTAGAAAACCTTTTTAGAACATTTATTTCAGATATTATGATGATGTTTTAATTGAAGAAGGTTTTATAAATACAAAGTTACAAATCAATATTATAATGTTGAGCTGAGGATAGGATATATTGCATGCCGGTAACTAGTACCAATTTCCAATTTCAATGCATGACCGCTATTGATATATTTTCAATGCCCACAAGATACCTGATTGAGATATAATGTCTGATATTGGATTTGAGATCAGTGCACTTAGGTTCAAATGAGTTGGTGAGGTTGATTCTCAAATTCTCTCTCACAGATCAAATTCAGTATATCTATGTTAATATGTTCCTTACAATTTGCATTGAATTATGTGTTTGTTTTGCCTTCATGCAGGCACAGTTTTCTCATATTGGTGCTTCGCTTCATGCAAGGACACCTTATATCTACAGAGTTCCCAACATCTCCACAATTGTATTTTTGTTGACAAATGTACTTTATGGGACCATTCCACAGCTGTTGGCCTACAGATGTGTAAATAATCCAGAACTCTTCATAAAGACGAGTTCATTGGCCAAAGTTGAATAGCCACATCCAAGGTAGCAAGTAACACCTCGTGAAGTTTTCCAGGAAAAAGGACTGGTCATCAGTTTCAAGACTTTTTGTGTTGTGTTTTATTGTATCTGTTTGAGGTTAAACTGAGGCTCTCCAAAAATGCTCAAGAACACATGTGGAACTTTACATTCTTTTGGATCCAAAAGTATCAATGTTATCAGAGCAATTTTAAATTCATCTCTGTGTTAAGATGAATGTGTATAAATCAGGAACCAGGACTTTTCATACAGTGAAAGACAAATAAAGGTTTCTATTGACTAAAAGTATCAGTCACGTTCAGTATAACTGATTTACACAAAGCGTCTCTTTGTTACAAATACAAATCAGATTTTAAAAAATGTAAACGATATCTTTAGTAACTGCCAAGGATTCTGGGTTGTGCCAGACAAACCAGTTGTGGTTTATAAAAGACTGAAATAAATAGTAAATGTGAATGCAACTAAGGTAATATGTTTTAAAGGCAATGTTTGTTTTAAACACTGTTTTCATGTACTGTGCATTACAAAGCACATTTCACGATTCATGGCCGCATGGTCATTTAATGGCTGTAGACAATTTAATATGTAAGAATTCTGTGACTGTAAATAATAATTGCATCATTTTAATGATACATTAGTTCCTTATGCTGCTCAGGAACTAGTAGGCAGCTAATGTTGATTGCGTCCTATTAGCAGTGGAGTTAGATGCTGGAGCTTATTGTTCATGGGTTCCTAAATCAGTTTTAAAAGAAATACTGGTTCGATATGTCCATCTCTTAGTTTTAAGATGCAGTGACTTTGAATGTAGTGTAATTAGGAGATATCCAAAAAAAATCAGTATACAGATCTGTAACTTCATTTCATGAACTGTTTTTAAATATCTAGATTGCAAGAAAACGGCAGTTAGCATATTACCTGCCTAACGGCATATTTCTCTCAGTCATAACGATCGTGTTGTACTGTTCACTGTTCCTTTAAGTACAATATATTAATATGTAAATCATTTAAAGGGACACTCTGGTCTAAGGGTCTACGTTTGACCATTCCCAGTGGTTTTAGAGCATAGTGCCCTTTTTTTGTATTATAATATGTATTAAGAGTTTTTATATTTTCATCTTCAGTATTTTAGTTCCACCATTTCCGCAGAAACTCTCAACCAGCTTTTATTCTTGGAAGCTGGTTGAGGTCCAATTATCATGGGTAATGATTCTCAAAGAGACTGTTATTGTTACTGCTCTTTTCATTGCTAGGACCTGTGCTATTCTATGCTGCCCACAACGAAGCTTAATGTTGTATTTTACTTTGCAAAATGCACTGGTGGGGATAGTGAAAATATCAGACCACCATTTGCTTTATGCAGTCTGTACTATTTATAGCACAACATGCAAACTGAAATGGAATGAGAGAGATCAGCATTACAGATATACTTCTAAATCATAATTTCAATTTGTGGCCGGTACTGCAAATAATGGCAATCACATAAAACAAACTCAGAATGAGAGATTTCATTTTTGCACGATCCCTTGGAGCCCTAGCCCCTTCAAATGTGACCAAAAACTGTGATTTTTCTGTGATATCACTAAGCAGAGACTCTTACGCCTCCCTGAAAGGATCCCACATTATCCGATACAACTTGCCAGCTTCCATCTGCTATGTGTTTACACTGAAGAGGGTGGAAACATGTGCTTCTTGTCCTATTCAATAAATACCATAGCTCAAAGGAGGAGCCCGTGTGGAAGCCAATCGGAATTAGTGGCAGGTGCACTCTAGCAATGCACGCTTCCATTAGCTAAGTGGATATAACGAAAGGAGGAATAATATCCCCCTGACTGTTTGATATACAGCCAGGAATGTTAATTTATAAAGCTGATTTTTCATAGAAATAGGTGAAATAATTTAAATTAAGATGGGATACGTCTCACACATAAAGCACTTCAGCAAACTGAAGTACTTTATGGATGTGGAGTGATCCTTTAAATTGTGTTAATGCCTGGAATGTCACCTTAAGCAAATAATCTACTTTTCATTCCCTTATAATGAGTGTAGGTTTATCTGTATAGATTGCACAATCTTGAAAATGTATAACTATTTACATAAGCAGAAAACAAAGTTATTAAAACCTTCCAAGCAATTAAAAGGTCAGCGGACTGTTTACCTTTGTATAATCTATTGATCTGTTCACTAAAAGGCTACAAGCATAGTTAGTAATGTATGTGGTGTCTTTATTATTGAACTATAACATGGCCCTTTCAGGACAGAGAAAATGAATCTCATCTTTCCACAATGTATCCACAGAATAAAATGCCATCACTACAAATACTGATTGTAATTATTACCAAGTCTAACGTTTACAGAACTTTTTGCTTTAATATATGCGTTACATACATTATAAGTGAAATCAAATATGACCATTTTTTGTTCGTGGGAAAACTTGCAAACCAGTGGACAGTTTGCCTAGTTTGTCATTAAAATTGGTGAGAGAAAATAGCAGAAAATATCTGCAGTTTTGTAAAATGGCTAAAGAAATTTTCTCACAAAATGTACATTTTCCCTTTTTTACACAAACACGCCTGTGCTGGCACAATAATGGCTAAAATTGGCACTGCAGTTGTTTAAAAGTATATCTCCCATGGTGCTAAGGGCTGGCAGAGCTTCCTGGGAAATGTGATTCACAAACATCTACAATACCAAGTAACTGTAACTGTGCATCAGGCATACATGCGAGGTCTGTCCAGAAGGTAACCAGCCAAGTAATATGAAAAATAGACACATTTATTGAAAGAGATACAATACATATAATGACACCTCAGTCCCCTTCAAAGTAGGCCCCTTGGAACCTCACACAGTTCTCCCAGTGTCTTTTCCACTGTTCAAAACACTCTGCAACATCCTTTGTTGGAATCACCATCAGCTGCCTCATCGTATTTACCTGAATCTCATCGACGGTCTGAGATCTCTTCATTTTCAAAGGTGATTAGTTTTCAGAAAAGCCAGAAGTCGCAGGGCTCCAAATCGTTCAACAGATTCTCGACCATCTTTAAAGCATTTTTGCCACACTTTTATTCGCGCTGCACTTATTACATCTCCTTGGAAAGCCGTCTGAATCATCCGAATAGTTTCTGCGGAGGAATGTTCAACGCAAAATCTGATGCAGATTTGTTGCTCTACTCAGTCATTTTGAATTCGATGGCCCCACAGTACACATGCCCACTCAAAGGTATCTAGTGCCCACACTGACTAGTACAGTGAAATAGTCATTGTTCACACATGCGCATTCCAGTTCACTCTCCTTGGCTGCCTGGTTACATCGTTGGCGCGCAAACCGTCCGTTCTCATTATATTAACAATAGCTGGAGTTTTTTTCCGGACAGACCTCATACATGTGATTCAATGCATGAATACATTCTATATGGGCATGCACAATACATGCCATTAGGCATGTGTGCACATACTTTTTTATAAAAAAGGAGAAAATGACTATTTGCACAAGCATGGATTAGCCAGGGGAACCAACTCATTTTTATACCTTGCTTTGTTGAGTGAAATACATTTTCACACACCCCTACTTTCTGCTACACATTCAAATAATCCATTTAGTAAAAACAGCAAGATACGACTTTACACTCTACAGGTTTCAAATACAAACACTGCAAAAAATGCTTAAAAGTACACTGAGCAAAAATAATAGAAATAGAGAAAATAAATGTATTCACTAAAAAAGCTTGCATAAAAATAAATAAATCTATATTCACAATAGCTAATAGTACTGTTCACAGGAAAAAATGGAATGCTTATTCATTAATCTACATCTGTTTTAAGCCTTATCACTTCATCGACAGGTTATAAGTGTGTTCTGCAACACTTATAAAAAAAATTGTTACAGTTCACTACCTGAGGAAGTGGCATGACAGGCATTTATTTGGGAGCAATGCACTAAATATGGTGACAATATGGCATAAAGTGGACCTTTGTGATGTCAGTTTGCTTTGTTATTTTTTGTTTGGCACAGCACTGAGTTTTGTATTGAAATGAGTCTCATGTTGGTTTAGTATTGACAAGAAGAGACTCATTTGAATAAAAAAAAAGTCCTTTAAGTGACAGATGGAGACGCTACTGCCCAAAACGAGTTAGTCTTTCAGACCTAGTTAATTCACAACTATATGTCTTATACAGCAGACTGTATATATCTCCACCAAATTAATATTTAAGCTCCATTCCTGCAAGCGGATTAATATGTTTGATTAATTCCTCCTTTAAAAAAGATGTCTTTGGAGAGTTATTTTTGGTTTATTGAATGCTGCACTGCCAGAAACCAATCTATGTAGATTTTATTCATATTTGTAACTCTTTGCCCACTTTCTGCTAGTTTAGTGCACTCTCCTCGGCTTTCAACATTCCTATCAGATGTTAATATATTTAAATACAGATATAAAGACATGCTTAGTAAGCTATAATCGCTTTATAATCAATAAAACAAGAACAACCACCTTTTTATATTCTTACATTTTCCATTAACATATCAAATTCCCTTTTTGAGTTCCCCTTATTTAACATTTCTGTTGATAGTTATTTATTTTGGTTGTTTATTTCTAAATCCTATTGTTCACATACAATTAAAACCAGGCTTTCTGTCTTCTTTGCAGTTTAGCTGCCATATAATTTGGAGTGATAACTTATACTTCGATTTAAGCAGTGATTAGCACAGGATACCTAAGTTTCCTGAAGCACAACGTTCTAAAGAAAAACGTACACCATTACGTGCCAGGGAAATCCTTAAGATACAGGTTTAACAGTACCTGTAAACCATTGCAAACTCCAAAAGGAGATCGTAAGGAGATTAACAAGAAGAAATGGACTGACACAGCCAAGAATTAAGGACATTTTAACCTACAACCAAGTGTTCAAATGTAGTTTTGTGTTCTCAATTCTGATGAAAACGTTCTATTCTTTACATTGTAATTAGTTTTATAACCAAACCACAATTGAATTATATAAACACAGTTCATACAAGGAAGGAATGTGGAGTGGACAGTTATCTCGCTGTGATCCTGCAGTTTAACCCTTTCATTGTCGATGGCGTGCCGCAGAGAACGAGTTCCACACTGCCTTTTATGAAAATAGATTTTATAAGTCCAGGAGTGAATGTTCTTAGAGGTTTGGAGGAAAAATATGTACATGTTGAAGGCTGTAAACATGTATCGTTGTTTTAGACTGTTAGTAGGGAAGTATCATGCAACGGATCAATGTAAAATGAAAGACCAGCAAATACAACAGATAGGAACATGATCATATGAATACAAACTGACAAATTGCTAGGTAGTAACAATGAAATGCGTTGAATTATATCAAATCCAAGAATACTACACAGCGAATTATGGACCTCTTCCCACAGTATGCAGTACTTGGTTAAGTCTGTAAAAAATAAATGAACAAACATGTTAGTTAAAATACATATGTATAGAAAGATATATATATATATATATATAAATGCATCTGCAAATTGTGACTAGTGTGTTGCTAACATTAAAACAATGGATTTTGTACAGTCACTGTTTGTTCACTCAACAGTGGGTTAAGGTGAGATGACATACAAGGAGCAACGACTAAGACCATACAGGAGCTTGTGAAAAATATCCTACATGGTAGAGAATTCTTCCAACTCTGCTTATTCCATATTTTCATAATTGCTTGTAAACTCACCAAAACTCACTATTTAGTGAATAAAAGACTTTGTGTCCACATAACTTTTATTAATAGGAAAACATAACACTTGATCTATATGCTATTTGCCACACATACTGCAAATGAGTTGTATTAGAAATACAACTTATTAGGGGCCTCTCAGCACTCATGAATTTAGGCACAGTGTAATATTTCAATTAATATGAGACACTAAAAACCAAAGCAAAAAGCAGCAAGCTGATTTGTTAGTGTAGGACTCACCTAAGAGGTTTAGCCTTGACGTGGCAGGTGAGCTTACACTTAAATGGCCAGTGGAGTGATACTAAAAAATCTCCAGTTATTTAAATGTGTATAGGGACATGGGATAGTACGCAAGTAACTTTTTTCTTTGGTTTTTTTTTATTGTAGGTATTAGGGCTGATGTGTACTATAGTCATTGTTGCCACCAAGGAGTAGTGGGAGATTGAGCGCAGGGCCTAATTTTGTAATGTGAGACACTGCCTTTCTGTGATTTAAAAAAAAAATTCAGTATCAGTTAAATGTTTAGAAAGAATGCACAGATTTGTCATAAAATAATGCAATCAATATGCACACAGCAAAAGGGTTTTAAATAAAATACACTTAGATTTGGAAATATTTGGACACTATAACAATTTTCATAATTTTGGCTCTGATGAAATTGAATTGCAGACTTTCAGCTTTAATTCAAGGGGTTGAACAAAAATATTTTATGAAACATTTAGGAATTGTAACCGTTTTCATACACAGCCCCCTTATTTCATTGCCTCAAATGAAAAGCGAGAATCCTTTGCAGACAATGACTGCTTGAAGTCTGGAACGCTTCGACATCACCAAAAGGATTTTCTCCTTTGTGATCCTTTGCCAGGCCTTTACTGCAGCTGTCTCCAGTTGTGGTTGGTTTGTGGGTCTTCTGGCTTAAGTTTTGTATTCAGCAAGTGAAATGCATGCTTGATCAGGTGATTGCAGGATATTCCACTTCTTTGCCTTACAAAATTCCTGGGTTTGCTTTTGCAGTATGTTGGGTTATTGACCATTTGTAAAGTGAAGCACTGTCCAATCAACTTTGCTGAATTTGTCTAAATTTGAGCAACAATATATCCTTTTACACTTTAGAATTCATCCGGCTGCTTCTGGCCTCTATTACATCAAAAATAAACCCTGGTGTCCCAGTATCATTGGAAGCCATGCATGCCCATGCCATCACACACCCTCCACCATGTTTTACAGAGGATGCGGCATGTTTCGGGTAATAATTCCCTCTGTCCAAAATATGATGTTCCAGAACTAGGCTGGCTTTTTTAAGATGTTTTTGGCAAATCTGGCCTTCCTATTCTTGATGCTTATAAATGGTTTGTACGTTGTGGTTAACACGCTGTATTTGCTCTCAGTCTTCTCTTTATGGACTTGTATAATGATATGCCTACCTCCTGGAGAGTGTTATCCACTTGGCTGGATGTTGTAAAGGGATTTTTCTTTACCGTGGAAAGGATCCTACAATCATCCACCACTGTTGTTTTCCGTGGACGTCCAGGCCTTGTGTTGCGGAGCTCACCAATGCGTTCTTTTTTTCCTCAGATTCTACCAAACTGTTGATTTAGCCACTCCTAATGTTCCTGCTATCTCTCTGATGGATTTTTTTTGCAGCCTAAAGATGTCCTGTTTCAATTCCAAATGCAAATGCCACACCTGGAATCAACTCCAGACCTTTTTTCCTGTTTAATTGATGAAGAAATAACGAAGGAATAACCCACACCTGTCCATGAAACAGCTTTTGAGTCGATTCTCCAATTACTCATGGTCCCTTGAAAAAGAGGGGGCTTCATATTTCCTAAACCCTTCCTCCAATTTAAATCTGATTAAGCTCAAATTAAAGCGGAGAGACTGCACTTTAAGCCCATATTCAATATTTAACTGTAACTTTAATTTATTTTGTTAAACAGACAAAATAACAAAACTTGTGTTAGTGTCCATATATTTCCAGACCTAACTGTACATCTAGTTTTGCATTGAGACCACATGTAATAATCAACATATATATATATATAAAGATTCCATCAGAGTGTCGTGAGACAAAGCAAATGCATATGTTAATTATAGTTGTTCTATAACTAAATAGAACAAAATCCATGGACATTATTGTGATATTAAAAAAAGATAAATGGATACCTACATTATCATATAAGGAAAGAAAGCTCCATTAAGTCTTTCAGAAGCATAGCCACTTTGTCCTATGGTTATTATTCTGTGGCTTACCATTACACACACACCGACAGATTCTAGGAAGGATGAACATGGTGGCTGCTTGGGTGCTAGTTGTATTCTTTTTTTTTTTTGAGTAATAAGCAAGTATGCATAAGATTAGAGGGGGTAAAGCCAACTATGATATAAAGGACCATCGTTGCCTTAAAACAATACTGGCATTGATCTAGCACCAAATGCATTGGCAACTGCAAACAGTAATAAAGGTGGGCACAAAGACAAATTCAAAGAGATATGGCTGGTATGACTTTTCATCACAGGAACCCCTAGATATTTGTACTATAGGGGTCCACTGCTTGATTCTGCACCTCCAGCCGAGATTCCAATGGGTATTTGAGCATTTATTGTGAATGAGTGCAAGGTTTTCCACCATTTCTGGAAGGAGGTGGCTCTAATCTTTGAACTCCCACGCACAGAGGATTATTAAAAGTGCATCGTGGAGCAATCTTGATAATAAAATAAATACGATCCATTATGATTTATCTGCGGTGTAAATCTAGAGTGTTGAGGAAATATAAAATCTGGGGTAATTAAACACATCATTAAAATTATAACTTAGTTCACGTTCTTAACGTTTTATACAGAAAAAATATATATAAATGTCTGCTCACGGCCAGTCGGTGGAACCCTACTCACAATGCGGTATATTAGAAATCAATTTGACACATCACAGATGACATTGTCTGCAGAAGAATGAGCTCCAGTGTCTTCATTCACTTTACACTGACATTTTACTCATAGCTGTATGCTCACCAAATCTTGCCTGTGTGCCACTAAGATTTATAATTTCTCTTTAGGATCTGTGCATTTCTTACGGGCCCCACCTCTTGAATAAACATTCTGCAGGAAAATCACAGAACACCTGTGTCAAACTTTCTGATTCTTGAAGGTTTTGTTTTAATAAGGACAAACATGTCATAATCTTTATTTGTTCAACATTCTGTAATCAGCCACCTTTGAAAGACATTTGAAAAAATGTGTACACTAAGTAACATTTAATAAACAAATACCATTGTTTGCCCTTACTAAGTTGGACTTTTAATGCGATGAGTTGCCACCTTCTGGATTTTCTTGCATTTTATGGCAAATGGATTAACCGTAATGTGCTGGCAACATTGCAAATCAGCGGGAAATCAAGGCAGAAGGTCTGTGACTATTTATGTTACTTATTATACAAATGCATAACAGACCGTCCCTTCAGTGCTGGTGTGAAATGTATACAATGATCACAAGGGTGTTTATACATGTGAATTAAGTTAGGAATAATTATGATATATTATATTGCAATGTTTCACGTTTGAGACTTGTAGACAGCACAGCTAACACCAGAATGTTGCATCCCTGCTGCACAAAATATCAAATAATTTGATCATATTTATTCTTTGGTGCAGTTGCCTTGCCAGTGCTTTGTTCTGGTAGTAATTATCTATAAATGTGAAAAAATAACTGTGTCACAAATGAATTACTCTGATCACAGAGTAATTAGACATTTCAGTATAGCCCATGTGAATGCTTATTTATAAGCATGTGTGAACAAAAATAAAACCAGGTAAAGGAAATTGTATGTGTAATCAAATATCTTATTTTTAACGAATCTTGAATTTATATCCTCCTAAGAAACTACGCCAATAAAACGGAGCAGATTTTACTGGTCAAGGATCTATGTATTTGTAGCCTCTGTCATATGCGATAACAGATTTTAAGGCAACTCATATATCTAAAAATGAAAAGGTTCAGGGGCTTGCACACAGATTGTAGATTCATTGCCAAATATTAAGGAGAAGAGCTGGAAATTATGTATTTTCACCTACAAATCCTTTACAAATTACTGGTTTATACAGAAACAATCTCTGCTGTAGTAACAGTTTATAATGTAAAACTAAAGTATGGTGTGTTCATAACTGTGCTTAGAAACCAAATTCTATACATGAAATGGCACATATTAATGGTAACAGTTTACCCAGTATTAGCAACATAAACTTTTCTAAGCCACATTTTATCAAATGTTAAATAGGACTAGATTGGCCAATTACTCCTTGTTTTCCAGCAAATTGAATGTATTAATATAGTGTTGGTCCAAGTGCTACGTTATCCCACCAGTTGTGTTGGTACTAAACATCTTTCATTGTTTGCAACATGGGATCACATTTTTTACAAGTATAATTAATAGATTTATGGAAATTTTTAACTGATACTTCATCAAAATAAATAATTATATTTAATAAGTGAAACTGATTTAGTGGCCTGGTTAGTGTTAAAGTTTATGATACTCTCTTTTGAGTTGAGATTATGATTACAGTATACTCAGTTCATACCAAAATAAGTCCAAAAGCCATTAACATTACTTTGTAATATGCAATATAACTTTGTAATATGCAATATAGCGTATATATATGAAATATGTAAAATATATGCAAATGGTGGCTAACCTTGGCACATATGTTCATGAACTAGATTTCCAATAATGTACATATAAGCATATATCATGGGAAACGTAGTCCACAAATATCACCAGTGTCAGGTAGTCTGCATTGTAGCACATGTTTTTCCAACCAACCTCCTGAACTAGATCTATCACTGCAGGCAGAATCTGGTTTATAAAAGGACTATCATTAAGGCCATTAAAAGTTAATATGTGCACATTTGCCATTCGTACCCCTGCATTGCTTTTCTGCACTTCTGAAGCATTTCTTATGTCGTTGTCTGCATCACCAGCCTCTGAACCACTCTTATTCCCTTCGTCTTTGTTATCTTTCTCCCCTTCATCTCCCGAAGCTTTCCGAGACTGCTTGGACGGTTTCTAAAAGAGATGAACATGTATAAAACTATAACATGGTCCTTTTTTTCTCAGAAAACTTAGCTTATCGCCTATTATGTTTTCTAGAATCTTTTGTTTTTTTACACAAGCTTGTTTTTTTTAATTTGTAGTTTTATTGATTTTCAACGATAAAAGAGAATGTGGGTACACAAGGAAGAAGGGGGGTAGGTTAATGGGGTACAATATTTCCATCAAAATATACATGACAGCACATAAGCATTTGTGGACATCATACATCAACAATAGCTTCACTCATCTGCCTACATGTACACCTCACAGTTTGAGATTTGTCTACCTGAACCCTTTATGGAGACTGAACCTGAGTCGCCTGCTTAGTCATACAAAGGAACATTTGTGGTAACAATCATAGGTTGGCATAAAAGCCTGAGTGTGTTACCATCTGTCGCTAGCGTAAACAGTGGATGCAAGAAATAACTGGGATAAGGACACTGTCTTCTGTCAAGTATTTGTACAACGTGCATTGTTAATGAACAGGGTACTTGCCCCTAAGAAATATACAGGAAAAGCAGGAAAAACAGAGAAAAACAGGATTAGCTAAAAATTACAAAAATATACAATGATTGGGGTTGGAGAGTATGTTAAGCTAGATCAATGTCTATCGTTGCCAATAGCATTGCCAGTGGTGCCTGTGGACAGTCGACTGTACTATCATGATAGTGAAATTCTAAAAAAGCTCAGATATACCGGCGTCTAGAGTGTGTCAATGAGACCTGGCTGGGCAGGCAGGGCCTAGGATTAACATGCTGTGCCTGTGTCAACAACACCCCGACTATATTTCCTCTCCCATGCGTTCCATCATTAAACATTTGTGTTTTCTTGCTAGAGGTGAGCGCTATGTGTAGAATTGAGATATCTTGTCAATTAGCTGGGACAAGGAAGAGCATGTTGGAAATTTCCAATGGTTGTAATGAGATTACGTGCTGGCAATATCACAAGAACAGTCAATTGCTTTTGGCCATATGACAAGGATTGTGGAAATAACAGCAATAGGCATGTGGACGCAGTCAACGTGAAGGTGGGTACATCTAAGTTGTCCAGGACAGAGCGGACCATTTACCAGAGTGGTTGGATGCCGCCACAAGACCACTATGTACGTATAAAGGTGCCGCTGTTTGAAGTGCACCTCCAACACAACGGATATGAGTTAGGGAAGTCGGTGGAAGGGTCAAATACCAATGATATAGGAGTTTCCTGTGCGCCTCTATGTGAGAGAAGCATTTTGTCCATTGGTATAGGTCAGGGCCATGTCACAGTCCAATTCCCACTGCGTTCTGCATTGTTGGGATTTAGACGGCGAGAGCTCCTGTCAGGATCTATAGCAAAGAGTAAGGGCCTTCAGTTTAGTAGGCAAAGACCAACATCTCTTTATAAGTATCTGGGGGGTAACATAACTGGGATGTGGTGTAGGGTGTAGTGACGCAGCATGGGTATTCAAAATGCTTTTTAACTGCAAGTAAGAGAAAACTGCATGGTTGGGTATCCGCTTTTGCGTCTGTAGCACTGGGAATGGTATAACCTCTATGAGGAAAACATGGGATCTGGTTCATTCTTCCTTAGCCGGTGCTGCGTCCCATTTTAAGCAGCATGCTGATAAGAGATGTAGTGCAGCACCTTCTTATCAAGTAGGGGACAAGGTTTGGCTGTCCACTAGACACATTAGACTCAGGGTACCCTCTATGAAGTTCGCTCCTAGATACATTGGTCCTTTCCGTGTTTCATGTTCTTACGTGGTTCTTTGCAGTATTTGGTGGATTGGAAGGGTTATGGTCCTGAGGAACGCTCATGAGTTCCTGCAGTTGGCATTCATGCTGGATGCCTTCTTCATTCTTTCCACGCCCGGTACCTTGATAAGCCTGGTCCTGGCCACCCGGTGGGCGGTCTTTTTGTGGGGGGTACTGTCACGGTGCCTGATCGGCACAATGGTGTGGCCGCGCCTGATTGGCCTGGTCGCACTAAAGGAGGGAGAGGTTACTCACCTCAGCCCCAGAGCCTCCCCCTCCATGCTGTTTGTGGATTGGCGGCCAGGTCCAGCCTTGGGAGGGCCGCTGGCCGCTGCAGAACGGTCCCAATTAATAACGCCACCCACAATGACATGACTAGTGACATGAACGTGCGTGCAGCATCATGTTTTCGCTGTGCATGCATGTTCTGGGGTCATGGGACCCAACTCAGCCAATAGCAGAATTCACTGAGTTATTTAAACCCAAACCTGCAGTTGTTCAGTGCCCTGTCGTGGTTTCCATCCTGCTGGTTATCCGAGAGCGCGTTCCTGATTCTGATTATTGTTTTTTGATCTTGGCTTGACATGACTGCCCGTATTTCTGGTATCCCTGACCCTTTGGCTTTGTTCTTTCCGTATTTGTTCCTTTCTGTATTCCTGGCCTCGACTCGTGACTGTTTATTCTATTATGTTAATTCTGGCAATTCTAAGGCCCGGTAATACATTGTTACTGTTTGTATTTGTTACCTGTTTTTCTTAATTCTGCGTGTTGGGCCACTGGTTCATCCTGACAGTCATCTTTTAAGTTATACAAACCAATGTAATAAGTAATAAACGGATTAACAATAGCTTGAGGATCTAGTGTTTTTTTACCGTTTCCATTGACTAGGAACGCAATCCTGGAAGCAACAGATCGTGTTTTAAATTGTGAAGCTAGTTTGGCCCCCAACCTATTCCCGTTAGCAAAAAACCTATGTTTGGAATTAAGAAGCAAAAAAGACATTTTGGTGAGCTCCATGTCTCAAAGTTGAGATTGTAGATCAAGCAATTTGGTGTATGTAGTAGAATTGGGATCATGTTTGTTTGAGTGTGTTAGTGTTGTAATTTCGGCAATAAGTGAGGTGTATTTAGTTAGCCTTAGTTTTTTGGCGTAGCTAGCATGTTTTATAAAGCTGCCTCTAATAAACGCTTTGTTCGCTAGCCAAATTTGCTCAATGAGGGTATCAGGGACCTTATTTTCTAAAAAATAGTGTTGAAGTTCTGTGGAGATTTGGGAAACTATGGAGAGATAAGTGAGAAGGAAGTCACTGAGCCTCCATGTACTTTGCCCCCTGTTAGAAAAGTTTTCTGCTAAATTTAGGGTGTTCGGAGCATGGTCCGACCACAAGATAAGAAAATGTGATTCTTTAATTTTGGGCAGCATAGTGGTGGTGATGAGGAAGCGGTCTATTCGGGAATAACTATTATGCGCTGCCGTGTGGCACGTATAATCAATTTCTGTTGGATGTTGTATGCGCCATGGGTCCACTAGGTGGTGAGATGAGAGTGTGGCACAGACACGTGCTGATAGCATTGATCTCTACCGTAGAGTGTGGGAGTGTAGGAGTTTCTCTGAAACTGCTATGTTTATAAAAAAAAGGGTTATCCCTAGCTGGACCAGGCACCCAGACCACTTCATTAAGCTGAAGTGGTCTGGGTGCCTATAGTGGTCCTTTAAGAAGAAATACACGCTGATTGTCGTTGGGACCATAAATGTTAACTAGGGTATATGGGATGTTATTAAGAAGGCATTAGGTGGCGCCCCTTTTTGTCACAATTTTTTCTTATCAAAGAAAATGCACTATCTCTAATGTAGTACTAATTAAAATAGAAACACCACGTGATAGTCATGTGGGAACCAAGGAGAAATAAACCTATGCCTGCTACCCCATTTAAATTGCGTCTCTTGGAAGAACACGACATGGGCTCCACTGCGTTTAGCATCTTTCATAGCCATTCTGTGCTTATTAGGAGAATTGAGCCATTTAGCATGTAATGAGAAGATCTTCAGTACCATCTTACAATATAAGGTGATTTAGCCTGCTAAGCACCCTGGCCAAGGAACACCACATGGCATTCATGGCCTTAGACATAACACTAGATGACAGATGCAGCTTAATAAGAACATACTCAATGAGGTAATAAGGGAATTGTGTCGGAACCCGCCTCGCCACCTGGCATTGGAGAGGCCTGGCTGCCCACCTCCTACCTGCTGACTATGGCCCCTGGTAAAGTTGTAATTTTGAATGCAATATTTGGGCATATTGTATTTTATTGTGCGGCTACTGGCCCTTTAAGCACAGTGAATGGACTTACTGAAACTTTTTGGACACTTCCTCTTCCCCACCCCCGGATCCATTGTTCTCCAGGGTGTTGTCCCAGGGACACTGCCAAACCAGTGGGAACTGGTTTGCCAGGAAAAATCATGCTTGCAAGTGAAAACAAAGGACTTCGACCTAACCGTTAAACCCCTGAACCTATTCAAGTGAATTTTGGATATGTTTGTCCCCAAGTTATACTGGTTAAAATAATATAAGTTTTATGTATGTGCGATGTTAACTCACAAAGTTATAAAAATGTACAAAAAGTAACTTTTCAGCTTGGAGATAATTGAGTAGATACAGTAATTGACTCAATTATCTCCTAAGCAGAAGGGAGGAATATGCTGGGTGTGTTTCTATTTTCCCATTGTGTCTGATTGGCTGCTGTACTTGCATTGTATGTGTTGTAATGTGTTTATTGGTGGTTCTGCAAAACCCTGTGGGCAGTACTATGTTTTGTGGATTGTGAATAAAAGAGGCTGTATGTGCCAGTACTGGAGTTCCTGTTTTAACCCTCAAAGTGAAGTGTCGTCTCATTATTGGGGAAGGATTTATTGTATGCTGTTCCAGTTTGACTGCTAGGAGAGTAAACCTATTCGTATGGTTCCTATTCAACTGTCTACAGCATTCATATGCTTGAGAGCATTCATATGCTCCTACGGTTCGGTGGTTTTGGTGTCTGCTGCAGTGCTTGGAGTCCTCAGGAAACGCTAGGAGCATCCTTTAACGGAGGTACCCAGTCGGGGTGCCAGGTGATCCGTTACAGGAATCAACAAACAAATAACTATATACAGATTTCCGTTTACCATACAAGTATGGCATAGATGGGTTAAAGAACAACGGACAAAGTAGGCTACAATTAGAGCCTTGGGAGTAGCCCTGGTGAGTGGCAATGCTAAGATCTAAGAGATCTTAAAAATAATCTTCAGCATGGGTCAAACTTTAAAATCATAAACATAACATGTGGGCACTGAAGCACCCGACCACGGTGGAAGCTGTGAATCACTGAGTACGGTGACAACAGCCTTAACTAACCATAATGTAAACGGATAATAAAACAACAGTACTGAACTTTAGAGACAAACCATCCCAATGAGGACTGGAACAACAATATGGTGTGGTAAGTCCCTCAGGTCTTGGAGGCTCCGCGGTCCGCTAATAAATAGGAAGAACAACGCATCTGGAGCCAGTCTTTAGGTAGCGCTTTAGGTGTAAGTGTTGCCGAGGAATTTTGGGTTACTTCAGGACATACCGGAATATTCCACTATTGAAGCAGTTTTCTCCCGTCCTCCGGTGTGAATATTGGCTTATCAACTCCGTTTCACTTCACCATGCGCCTTTTAAACATTGTGGCACAGGAGAGATCAGTAAACAACTGAATATGGGAGTATGGGTCCGGTCACGAGGTATGCAGTCTGGAGGCTTGCATCAAGCGGTCTTGAAACCGTGAAATAATGGACCCTCGTAATTATATCTCTTGCTGTATTAGGAGGTAGGTGTTTAGGCGTAGGGAGGCTGTGTGTGCGGTCTAGTATCAATTCAGAGTCACTCAAAGTTGGTATGAGGGTTTTAAACAAATCTTGAACAAGCCGGCAGAAGTCAGGCTGCTGACTGATTCCGGGATTCCGCGTATGCGGATGTGTTTCCTCCTATTCTTGTCCTCGTGGTCCAAAGTTTTTAGCTTTTGGGCGAGCAAGTTGTAGGCCTCAGCCATTGAATTGTGTGCATCCACAAGTTCCTCTGTGCGGTCTTCCAGACGCGTTGAGCGCTCACAGATATGTTGGATGTCGGCCGGATGTCTGAAGCCATTTGCTGTAAGTCAGACTTAAACAATGCTTTCAGCAACCTCATGGACGTATCTGTTGCTGGGCTTGGGGGTGTCACGGCTTAACTTATTTGGAGTCTGAAGTGCAGAGATGTTTGCACACCCTTGCATTTAAACACAGCCCACGGTAACCAGATAAGGAGCTACCTGGGCTGTGAATCTGTGTGCGGGGGTTTAGGCAGGAATAGTAACGGGTACATGGAAACAGACAAGGGCAAATCCAGAAGAGTAGTCAAACATGGTTCCAAAAGTCAGGGCAGGCAGCGAACAGGCAATAACCAATAATCCAAACAGAAAAGGTCAAGTCAGTCTTAGGAAACAAGATACAAGAATCAACAAACTGACAATGTTCTCAGGGAGGGGCAGCTAATGAGTGAACTAACTCAGGTGAACTTAGATGGACAGGTAGGAGCCACTGGTGATGTCCAGCCCTCTAGTGCTGCAGGAAATGCCAGGAAAACAAGGTTAGAACCAAAGTTCACAAGTGGCTCAGAGACAGGAACTCAGGTGTAGGATGCAGAAGTCCCCAGGTTCAAATCCCCTGTTAGGCAGTTCTGGGGCAACCACGCCTGGCTGTCTGGATGGCACGGTGAGAACCGTGACAGGAGGTTGGGTAAAGCCTTCAGCTATCACCTGCATCAGAGCCTTGATGGTTTGAAAACTTTCACCTGCATGATGAATTAGGACTGTCTGCGCTATCTTGGTCTCCAAGATCCAAGGCCTGTGGCAAGGTAAGATGTAAATGTAGCGTTTTCTGCTTCAATTTTTTTTCAAGCGATTTTGTCGCCATCTGGTACAGAAACTCTTTCCTCAAGTAGGTAGGTTGTCTGGCAAGGTTGTCGGCTGAGTAACACGCTGTTATTATCCGCTGGTCGGGAGAGCTTCCTGCTCACATGTTCACTTCCATGCACCTTTAGGACAATCCCCCCCCGAACAACTGTTTTTAATCTTCCAGGATTCTTTTCCCTCAGGAATTGTACCGGAGGATTGAAGAAAGAGAGATGTGTGTTTCCTATATTAAAAAAGGGTTGTTGCAGTGAATGTGATCTACCTGGATTTTGCCAAGGCATTCAATAGGGTTCCCCACAATAGGTTCGTGTTCAAACAAAAATAAATTGGTCTAAATGAAAATTCTTGTCCTTGGGTAAAATATCGGCTTAAAGAAAGAATACAAGCGAATTGTCTTTAAAGGTAAATTTTCAAGTGGGACAAATGGGTAAATGGTTTTCATCTGGTTTCTGTTCTGGGTCTGCTTGTAATCAACTTATTTAGAACTGATTTTGAAATAGGCATTAGAAGTCATGTTTCAGTGTTTGCGGGTGACAAAGCTCTGTAAAGTTATAGGATGCCGCTCTGATAGTATCAATCAGACAGCTTGCTGTCTCCCTGTTGTTCAGGTCCGTGATCTTGCTGACAGTGTGAAGGGATTATTGTGAGGGGCTGGGGATGGACCAGCTGCCATGGTCCATATTGTTATCAATGACAAAGTTGGAGGAAGATGGAGGACCTTAAAGAGTATGTTCGGGGGCGGGGCCTGACCGCCATGCTGTCCGGTCGCATGCTACAGAGGCTCCTGCTGATTCTAACCTAAAACGGAAGAAATAATGGCCTCACCACAGACAACTGGGAGAAGAAAACCACTAATGTGCACGGGAACTGGCGGGCGCCGCAGCGGACTCCGAGATCGGGAGTTTCGGGTCCACGTGGCACGAGACTTCGGGACCTGCGCCCTGCCGGCAAACCTGATCACCGAGCCAAGACCCTGTGACGTGCCTCACAGGCCCCGCTCCCCCCCCTTGGACCGGGGGGGTTATCCCGGTCTCCACTGGCGGGAGCCGACCCTCCACAAACTCCCCAGCGAAACACGAGGCGCCGGAACAAGTGAGCCCTGCCTGCAAGATGGCGGCCTCAAAGCCCAACTACACTCTCCATCTCTGGGCAGCACTGCGACTGGAAGCATTCGCCCCCGACTCGGGACAACACTGGAGGGCACCCCCATCACACCTCACCCCAGGCTTGGATCTGGCCTCCACGACGGCCTTCCTGGGCCTTGAGCCCCTGAGGGCACTCCTCATACCGAAGCCCAACACCTGGACTCACCACACTTACCAGTCATCCCGTTACCGGCCAGCCATGGAACCGGAACCGTGGGCACAGATGGTCGGCTCATGTGGAGCCCGGGGCCGGCGGCGTGGTATATGCCAGATCCTCCCTCACTAACTCTCCACCCGGGTCGGAGGCGAGGAAACCACAGGCCCGGAAGACTCAGCATGCCTGACAGTCTATTGCCTCCGGCGGGCAGGACCCGTGGAACGTGAGGGACTACCGGCGGAACCCGAGCGGAGTTCACCAGCTTGGTTTTTCAATCCACATAAATATTGCTACGCCTACCCCCTTGTTAGCAGTTCCTAATACTTGCAAAGTGCAGGGTTATGTTTAACCTAGTTAGTGAAGTACAAATGTTTATTATTTAGAGCAAAGCCATACAGCTTGAAACTTAAGTACAACCCCCACTGTGATATACACGTCTAGCCTAGTCTTCACTATTACTCACTGCTAGTGCATCATAGCCTACTGCTCTATTAACTACAAATCACAATGGGATGTGTTTGATATAAATTAGCTTCTCTGCCCACTATGTTGAAGCATGCTATTCCTATCACTTAAACATACCAATTGTGCAAGTACTTAAAGCATGTATCCAGTAAAAAGCGAAAACTGAATATAGTGCCTTCATATAGCCTTATCTATATACCTATTTTATAAAAATGTGCATTGCCTAGCGAATACCCTACCTGATATCTATCTATGGTTTAAGCTTGTTAATATAATATAAAATGAGGTTGACAATCCTAGGAGAATTCTGTAATCTGTTACGATGACCCTAATCTGTACAACTCTTGCAAGTCTCCCTCTCTTTTTTCTGTACCACCATAATCACATGCCTCAAAAAAAAAAAGAATTAAAAAAACAAAAAAAAAACTAAGAAAAAGAGAGTTAACTGCGCACTAGCCCAAATCCCTGTGCATATTTAAATAAATGGAGGTTATTTAGTAACTCCAATGGCCATTAGGTATAAGCCCACCTGCCACGTCAAGGCAAATCTATTAGGTGGGTCTTAACAATTCCCCTTGCTTCCTTCAGCTTTAGGCATCTCTGAGATAGAGAGGGGTATTTTTCTAAACCCCTACATACTTATTAACCCTTAATCGGGAACACATGGAGTGTATGTATTGGGGCTGATGTGTGCTATGGTCGTTGTTGACGCCCAGGAGTAGTGGAAGTTTTAGTGCGGGACTTATTTTTGTGTATTTATTTAAAAAACAAACAGTGTAAAATACATGTAGACAAGCAACATGTTTGTATGGGCTTTTTAAAGTGCTAATTACAGACACTAGGCATGAATGGCACAAGCTGTTTAAATAGCAGGGATATCTGTCTCATTTTCAATCAAGGGTCTTGCAGTATTTTTACCATGTATAGATAATATAAACGTTATAAAAATACAATGTGAATCAGAATTATAGGCAATGTATGTAAAAAAAAAGAATATGTTCAGGGAATTAGGTAAAAAAAAGAAAGATAAAAGCTATTTTCTGAGATATTAACTTGTGCCGTACTACAGTGGAAAGGCAGCGGGACATCAGAGAGGTCAATGCATGGCTGATGTCTTGGTGTAGGAAGGAGGGTTTTGGGTTTTTAGATCACAGAGTCAATTTTGCACTTGGGTACAATCTTTATAGCCATGATGGATTGCATCTGAATGGAAGAAGGTCATTTGTGCTGGGGAACATGATGGCTAGAATGCTTTAAACTAGGAGTAGTAGGAAGGGTTAAGAAAGGGTAAATGTGGTAGTATAGAAAAGAGAGGGAATTCAGATATAGTCAAGGAGGGTGGATATGGAGATTGTAGTAATGTTAGCAGACAGAGCAAGAAGGTATTACTTACATGTTGTTCAAATAAAGTTTAAGAAACAAATGGTAACGTTAAATGTCTGCTTTCTAATGCAAGAAACTTGTGTAGGAAAATGGGGGAGCTTGAGATATTGGCATTCGAGGAGCAGTATGACATATTTGGGATAATAAGACTTGACGGGATTAAATGCACTATTGCGCGACAAATTTAAATGGATATACAGGATCTAAAAGGATAGAAAATATAGAAACGACGGTGGAGTATGTCTTTATATTAAACCTGATTTGAAGCCAGGTGTTAAATAAATTGTATGCAATGATATAGGTGATGTTGAACCCTTATTAGAAGCCTTATGTAGAAGCCTTATTTATTAGTAGAAATATGCATTGGAGGAAACAGGGGATATCCATTAATAGTAGGAATATGTTGCAAATCCCAAAACATTAATAATGATGCGAAGAGCAACTGCTGTCTCAAATTAATATGGTTGCACAATTGGATAATTTGCTAATCATGGGAGATTTTAATTATCCGGACAATGATTGGGTCAGAGGGAATAGTAACACAGTTAAGGGAAATGGGCTTTTTAACCTGATAAAGGACAATTTTGTGTCTCAATTAGTAGAAACACCAACTAGAAGAGATATTTTTCTGAATCTTGTCATAACTAATAATGTTGACATATTTTTCAAACATTTAAGTTAGGGAGCACAAATAGCGACTATAATATTGTGTCATTTGAGATTAGCTCAAAAAATATATGAGCTACACAAAATCACTTCATTTTAAATTCAATAGGATAAGGGCATCTGTACAAATAATTGACTGGCAAGAAATATTCACTGGCAAAAACACAGAGGATAAATGGAAGATCTTTAAACAAATTCTACAAAAGTATATTTCTTAATAGACATCATTGGGAAACAAATATAAAAGTTGCAAATTAAAACCAATGTGGCTTAATACAAAGGTCAGTAAAATGATAAAAGATAAGAAAGGGGCATTCAAAACATTTAAATCAGAGGGGTTTGATTGTATCCTATAACATATATAAAAGAACGATTAGATGGGCTAAACTTGAAAATGAAACGCTCGTAGACAAAGAGAGCAAGACCACCCCTAAAAGGGATTTTAAGTATGTTATTGTCAAAAAGGTTAAGAGTGAAATTGTTCGTCCACTGAAAAGTGAGATGGGTGAGTTAATCAAGGAGGATCAGGAGAAGGCAGAAATTCTAAATAATTATTTTCCTTCAGTATGTAGGGAACACAGATCTATGGCTTTCGATTTCAAAATCCCTGTTACAAAAGCTTTACAGCAAACAGGTGATTGGATAACACAGGATAAAGTGATTCAAAAATTAAATAAAGTTAATGTAAACAAAGCACAATGGACAGATGGTATTCACCCATCTGTGCTTAGGGAGCTTAGTGTAGAAATAGCCATATCACTGTTTTTAATTTTTCAGGATTCTTTACTTTCAGGAATTGTACCAGAGGATTAGCGAAAAGTAGATGCAGTGCCTATATTTAAATGACAAACTAGAAACCTGTGAGCTTAACATCTGTGGTTGGAAACTATTTGAAGGACTGTTATTGTATATTATTCAAGACTTAATTTTGAACAAAAATATACTTAGCAGGAATCAACATGGTGTATGAAAGACATTCTGAAAAAGTTAGGAGAATATAGATCTGGCACTGGGTGATCCAGTAGATGTGATCTACTTGGATTACGCTAAAGCATTTAATACAGTTCCAAAAGGTTTTTAGTAGAACTGAAATTAGTTGGTTTAGATGAACAATCATGTTTTTGGATAGAACACTGGCTTAAGGATAGAGTGCAGAGAATAGTTGTAAATGGAATATTTCAAACTGGACAAAAAAAAATCAAACGTCCTCTTAGGAGTTGGTACAATTATATCTCTACGTAGTAATTTTTTTATTTCTCTCTAACTCAAACTACAGTCCGTGCCTAACGTTCCTTTACTCTGTCACATTGTATCACACTAAAACATTCTTCTCTTCTCGCTGTAAACATATCTGGAGTGAACTCCCTGAGGAAAATAAAAACTTGCAGAACACAAAGAGAATGCTTGTAAAATGATAATGCAAATGCACACCCATCCGCAGATGCAATGTATGAGTATGACATCCCTGTGTGTACAGGCCATTGCAGTGACCGTATTGTGTAATAAACACATTTTCCAGTATCGTTGTCATCACAGTCTTTTACAGTTATCACATCTTTTTCTGAGCGGTGCATGACAGTGCGTTTAATTCACAAACCTCTTGAAAATGGAGATAAAATTACTTCCTTAAAATATACACTCCGCAACTGGAAAAACCCACTTATGTGCCAGAAAACAAGTATCTGACCTGCTGATGTATCTGACCATATGTTGTGCATAGTGAATAACATTGCAATGTATTAACCTTTGAAGTATAGGATTTCTTCCGCTTAGAACCCGCTTTCTCATTCTTTCGTTTCCCCTTGCCATCTTCTTCTACTCTTTCTCCCTCTTCTTCACTGCTGCCGTCAGCTGCATTACCACCTTCTCCCTCGGTTTCTGAAGAGCTTTGCTGCTGAATGGCCTTGAAAAAAAAACATTCTACCTGTCAATAATCTTTTTGCTGGAAAAAACTACTTTCACATGCATGAAGACTTGTTCTATTTTCCCACCCTTAAAGGACAACTGTCACCTTTATTATAAAAATCCTTTCACCCTGTTTAGAAAGGAAATTGATTTTTTAGATTAAGTAAATGGTTAAAAAAAATGGGAAAACGCATCCGTATATATTCAGGATCCTTTAGCATCTTTAGTTGGACAGTGTTTGTAAATAAAATTAAGGAACAGCCCCCAATTTGTCCTTTTTTCTGAGTTTGAAAACTGTGAGGTAGTCTCTATTGGCTTCCCAGCTTCAGTTCCTACAAAGAAGCAGGGAAGACTATAGAGACTAACCGTCAGTCTTCAAACACTGCCTGACCCAAGGTGCGTTGGTGTTGGTGTATATGGCTATACTTTGTTTATTTAAAAAAAAAAAAATCCAACTGATTCTTAGATGTACCAGTACATGCTGATGACTGCAAATGAAAAAGCTACATGTATCAGACATAACTGCCCTAGAGAACTGTTTATGTAGAAGAATGGATTTATAGTCCTAACCAGGAATTGTGTAAAAATAATCTCATCTAATGTAAGCTATTCATGTTTCCATTCTCTACCCTTCCCAGGTAAAGGGATAAAGGGATAAGACCTCAAGAGTTTTTAAAGCATCAGTTGATACAGGTGTTTCATTCACTGGGCACTCTTCTTCTAAAGTGTCTCTTGTCATTGGCTTACTAGAGCAGATAATTATTACTTTCTTTCGGACTATGAGACAGCTAATGTGATGATCAAAGGTAAGTCTTATACGTGGTATGTGTGCATGGTTGGTACAATTCACTGAACGGCAACTGAAACATTTTTGGAAGGTAGGAGTGGCTTGTAGCCTTGACTACTCCTGACGTGATTCTGTTCCCAAATTGATCATTTTTACCCATTTGAAGACACAGTCAACATAAAGAACATTAAAGCTCCCAGATATGACAATGACCTTTACCTCCAACATGACTACTATGTATACCAAGTGCCATGTAATAAACGTCTTTCCGATACATTTTCATTTACATTGCTCCGAGGAAATAAACATTGCAATAAAATTAGCCATGTTACCTATTCAAGGCTGCCATGCTGATGAAGAAGAGTTATTCATTGGACAACCAGCCTAATAATCAAACTAACAATTACTGTGAATGAAAGGGTTCCTATTTTGAGTTACAACGTGATAAATGTAGTTTACTACTGCACATTACCCCAGGGAAAACATTTCCAAGGTGAATAACAGAACACTGAGAATACCAGTGACTCTTCATGTCAAGCACTTGAAATGTTTGAGCCCACTGTGGTGGTGTAGTATGTCCCACATTAATACCATGAGGATTTGCTTGGGATACAGCAAGGGAAGAAGATCTGTAACATTAAAGGCCCACACAGTCCTGACTTCACATAAGCTATTATTAAATGGACTGTGCTCCCTTTATAATTGGCTCTGGTTGTACATATTAATCAGCATTTTAAGGTAAAATTAATTTAATGTTGTTTTCCAAACTTTGAAGGTGAGACAAGAGGCTCTTTTGGTATTCTTATCAGCGTGTACCCACCCATACCTGGATTTGTATTAAACTTTGAAGGTTGGGCTTGACAAATTTGCAGGTAGTCCTCATGATGCAGACATGAGAACCCAGAGATCAAAGGTCATCCCCTGGAGGTCCGTCAAAGTCTAGAGGGGTGTAATCAGCATGCAATGACAATTGTCCAGGAACCTGCTGACGTCTGTGCGGCATCCCAGCTCACAGCAGTGGGAGAGGGTGGTCACATACTCCACAGGCTCTCGACCATGCAGCTGGAAGAGCCAGCTACAATAAAAATCTTGTTACCGCAGCAGTAAATGCAAGGGATAAATACTGTATATCTTCTGACCACCTCACTCCTGACAAAGAAGAGCCAACCAGGGAAAATTAGATCATAATCGAGTGTGTGTGTCTGTATGTGTCTGTATGTATGTAAGTAAATAATTTGTGAGTGGACAGTTATGTATGCGAGTGAACAGTTAGTTGTGTGTGTGCATGTGAGAGTATGCAGACAAAGTATAAGTAGTTTGGTACATGTGAGAATGTTAATCAGGTATACATAAGGGGGAGAGTATGTGAGGTGTGTGTATGGCTAAATGTGCATGTGAGTGTGTGTGGTACTAAATTACACTTTTCCAGGCTCATTGGAAACGTGGAAAATCTTGTACAAAAATGTTGCTTCCAGCAGTAAAAACATGTTGAAAACAAATACTCTGTTCTACAGTAATTGGCATGGAGTGAAAGATTTGATTTGCCACATTTCTCTTTCTATGTTATACTCTCTTGCATTAGTCCTGAAAAGCATTCAGATTTGAATGAAGTCTGCCACTTGATATCAGCAGAGGCATGCAAAGATAATGAAACATGCATTTCTATAGCAATGTCAATATAATTACCTGGTATCCAGTAAATTTTACACCAGGATTGTTTTCTATTTCCCATAAGCCTTCATTGAATCCCTTCCGCTTGTTTGATTTCCCAAACTTTTCTTTATATTCCTTATATGGAAAAAGATCCTTTGGACCTAAAAATGCACTGAAAATTAAAGATGGAAGTTTATTCACATAGTTATACTTATAAGTGTAATAAAACAGAATTAAATCAATTTCTTGACAAATATCCAATGCACTCAGTCCTTACAAAGTGGAGCTTAGTTAATTCCCTTTTCCTCTTCTGTCACTCAATGATTTACTCTCCTTTGCCTGTTCATTCAATTTGCACCCTGCAGAAAATAATCCCAACCCACCCATAGCTCAAGTTTACCATCCTTTTACCATCCTTCATTAGTCCCTGGCCTTATCTTATAGTTAGGATAGCCTTATGCCTATCCCACGCATGCTTAAACTCCTTCACTGTGTTAACCTCTACCACTTCAGCTGGAAGGCTATTCCATGCATCCACTACCCTCTCAATAACTCACCAGCACCATTCCACCAACTTTTTGGATGATGTCAAATGTTGTGCAGTCTTCAATCACCACCAAGCTTACTATTCACTTCACATCTTCCTTATCATACAACCACTCCATTTGAAATTACTTGGAGCAAAGGCTCACCCTAGAACAGGGGTCGGCAACCTTCGGCACCCCAGATGTTGATGACTACATTTCCCCTGATGCTCTGCCAGCAATATGTCTGTAAGAGCATTACGGGAGATGTAGTCCATAACATTTGGAGTGTTGAAGGTTGCCTACTCCTGCCCTAGAACTCTGTATTTTTATATTCTATATGCCATTTGCTTTTTGGTGACTCTTTCCCAATTCTCTCATCTATTGCCAAATTGGATAAATCTCCATATGTAATTCACACAGTGAGAAAATAATGTAGACTTGTTTAGTACAGTATCCCTACCCGCATGCATAGAATACTTGAAATGGTACTGAACCATTGTTGACGGTGCCTACCTCAAAGAGGGCCATCTTATATATCTGGTAGGAGTGCCCTCTCATTATTTCCATATTTGTGTAGGATATATTTCATTACCAGCAAACAGATTGCACCTTTCATTTCCACCTAAAAACCCTTATTCATTACAACACCTCAATTTCTAAAAACAATAAAATTGTCTGTAAGTCACCAGATTAGTGGAGCTAAAACCTTCGTATGGCTCTAAGGACGACAGCCTCTTAATGTCCATATATGGAGTGGGTGGCACATGTAAACTGGTGTCCAAGTTATACAGAAACAGATTTACATTAAAAAAAATACTTGTCCATTTAAGCCAACATGGCTATAAATTAATCTTGATGGTGACAGAATGGCAATTTCTCTAAATAAATGGTGAAAGACTGAAATGACTGCAAAGGACTGTGTGGCTGCATCTGTTAGCATCTTACATTACAAGATGTAAGATAACAAAAGTAAAGATACTACTGATTATTGGACATGAAACTCTGGTGATTATCTATATAAATTATTCAAGCTATAAACAACATTAGAAATTTAACCATTTCACCAGTTCATCAAAGCACTGTGTAAACTTTGATATTTATTTCAAATATGAAATCAATAAAAAAAAACACAATACTTACGTCTCATGAGTACCAAAAAAGAAGATTGGGAACTTGTTAGCTGGGGGCTTCACGGCACCTTCTGGTAGTTCATCAATCTGTCAAGAGAGACACTAGTTCTCAGCATGGCAAAGAGATGATCAGAGCACATTATATTATAGTTACAGTCATAACTAACAAAGCAAAGTCAGCGTGTTTTCACTGAAGCAGAACATCAAAGATATTGTTTCACCCATTATATAACGTGTACGTATAATGTCTTGGCATTCTAAATTAGCCCAAAAGAGCCAATGCTGCTTTAAGGTAGACTTGTCACTTATAAGCATCAGTGTCACCAATGAAATGAAATCTGTACACAAGAGCTATTTATTCACTAAATCCTTAATCCACCAAATGCAATAATTAAAGTAGGATCACTCCAAAATGCAATAGTCTTTCTAATATTAAAAGTGCCATATAAATAGGCTTTGATGAGCAATCTATAGACAGATAACACTAAATAGGATGACAATACACAGTAAAATGTAAAACTGGATCAGTCAACGCTAAAAATAATTCAAAGTTAATCAACATAGCACAACAATAATACCTATATATATTATTTTTAAAACAGCATTTTCTATTGAGAAAAGTAATAATATATTTCATACAATACAACCATAGCAGTAAGTATGTTAATGGGATTTAAGCTAAGCATTAAAGGGACACTACAAGCAAACAGGGTGCAATCGTACATCTGATATTGTTGAGCAAATAGAATTCGGAACCTTACTCGCTTTCCTTTTTCCACAGTTATCAGACAGATGGGTTGTTTTTTCTCCCATTCAAACTCTAAGTGTTGATTTAATGGAGCTGTAAACAGTATGCATCACCATGTGTGCTTTATGTGTGGATTTGTTAGACGCTTCTATTAATTTGCAGGCAACCTGCTTTCTTGCTTGCTGGATTGTATTAGCGTTGAGGAGGGAAGGGAGCTTTTATACAATCGGAAAACGTCTCCATGATGGTAAAATAAAAAATACATGTGAGCATCACCACTGAGTTATTAGGAAAATAATTTCAAAGACTTGTTTTAGTTAAAAAGATAAATGACGGGGGGCGGGGCCTGACTGTCGAACGGATCAGACGCATCTCGTCTGAGCTCCCGCGTCTGTCCCCTACAATTCCGGGCTACTGGCGAGTATTGCACTAATCCTGACCCTACCTCGTACTTACCTTAAGCAGCAGAAGCCAGTGAACCCAGAGATACCTCACACAAGCCTGTACGACACCGGATTGCCTGGACACATAGATGGAGGCCTACTATAACTTGAGCCGGGATGAGACGGCCGTTCTCCCGGTTCTCCGACCGGCACCTAGCTATCCCTCCCCCCTTTGGACCGGCGGGGGTTATCCTGGTCCCCACTAGCGTACACCACTACCGTCTGCAGACTTCCCACAGCTGTCCTGATGCAGGCATCAAATGGAGCAGACTGACCCAAGATGGCAGACACGCTGCAACCACACATGCTGGAAACTACCACGATCACACGAGACACCGTGGAGCAGGCACAGCAGTGCCTGACCGAAATATTTGAGAGATTCTGGACCAAGCTCCTAACACACATCAGGGAAGAGGGGAGAGAGCGGAGACAGGAGAAGAGCAGGCCCCTCCAGGGCACACCCTCCACAGTGGCAGCACATTCACCCCCACAGGGAAACGATCCCAGTGCTTCACCCACACACACGGAGGGCCCATCGCCGAAGACGGCGGTGGTTTATCAAGATCCACTGCTGTCCCCCCACAGGGTAGAACTTGGTCTCCAGTGAGAGCTCCCAGGCTCGTAGACGGCGGATGTAGGCTTCCGGGATGGCCTAGGGCTTTGAGCGGGTCCTGTCCAGACATTCTTCATGCAGCTTGACCCCCCTCACCTACCACTTAGCAAGGGCATCGGCTGACTCGAGTCTGCGTACCCTAGAGTCCACGAATGGATAGTAACAGGACTTCCTTAATGAACTGCCCTAATGCCTACCGGCCTTCCCAAGTTCCCCCTCAATCTGATATCCATCTTTTCGGACTCACCTTACTCTCTCCGCAAATATGACATGCCGAAATTTGTACCCAAAGTCAGGTAACCGGGAGTGGTAGACGGAAGTCAACACTCATGCTTATGCCTCCCAGTGACTCTGAAAGGGCACCCAACTCGCTGGACAGATTGACAACTACCCTCATGACCATCTACGGGTACCAGGAAATAAATCCAGCATACCGACTTCGGGTTTGGGGAGCCTGAAATTCATTACTATTTAGTCTGTTATTATTTAAATCCAGCATACCGACTTCGGGTTTGGGGAGCCTGAAATTCATTACTATTTAGTCTGTTATTATTTAATGAAAAAACAGGAAGGGATGAAATGCAGTGGATCTTCGAATTAAATACTATGATTCCACATGGCCTGAATAATGATTTTGAAATTTGTCATTTTTTAAAGAAATTAGTTAACATATTATATTAAGTTATTATTTTAGAATTCATAATATAAAAAAACAAAAAACTGTATATGTTTCATTTACTCCACCTCTCCATGCCTTCTTTCTTCCTATGTCTTTTTTCTTCTTTTTTGAAAATATGGTCTTTTTTAGTATATGATCTTTTTATATAACTGTATACGATTTAAAAAAAAAATTAAAAAATTAAAAAATGCTTTTTAAAATGTTTTTTCATATATGTATTTTTTAGATCAAGCAAAGCCTTTTCCATTTAAAATACATATTTTATACATACATTTTTTAAAAGGGCACAGATTTGAATACATTTTCTATATGGATATATATATATTTTTTAACTATTTATTCGAAACATTAGGATGTATTTATCATATGCTAATCATTTGTCCTTCTTTCTCCTTCCTTTTCTTTTCATTTAAGCCAATATTGTTTTAATTTGCTTTTAGGATGTGGTATACTCTTAGATATGCTGTCAACTTCGACATATAAATGTTTCTTATAGTCTATTTACATGTAATTTGCAATTTTGATATATACTTGTTGTGGTAATACTCCAAGATTGTCATATGCTACTGTCATTTTAATATTATTAATGAAAAGTTATGTCCCGAACGGTTTGCCGAACGGTTCGCCAAGGACGGCGAACATAAACATAAACTTTGACCCTGTACCTCACAGTCAGCAGACACATTCCAGCCAATCAGCAGCAGACCCTCCCTCCCAGACCCTCCCACCTCCTGGACAGCATCCATTTTACATTCATTGTGAAGCTGATTCTTAGTGAGCTGTCCAGGAGGTGGGAGGGTCTGGGAGGGAGGGTCTGCTGCTGATTGGCTGGAATGTATCTGCTAACTGTGAGGTACAGGGTCAAAGTTTATGTTTATGTTCGCCATCCACGGCGAACTGTTCGGGACATCACTATTAACGAACAATCCTTATTTTGGATATATTAAAATTTTGATATATGCATTTAGTAATATATTTTATCTCTGTTTTTAACTGCTAACATAATATAAGTTAGTCATTCATTGGTTAATATATGTAAGTGCATAATTGTGTGTCATTTATTTGCATTATTGAACAACCTATCATAAGTAACTTATGCCCTATATATGCCCACAACCAATATGGTGGTTGTGAGCACGTCCTGAGGAAGACGTCCGGCAAAACGCGTTGACGTCACGAAGGGGGAGAAGCCTACAGACCACGGAGTTTGAAGCAGTTGCCTCTGGAGATCGGTGTAAAGTGATATTGTGTTCTCAGGCGCTTAAGAAGAGAAATGTATATATAAATTAGTGTGAGCTGCTACCACCTATGTGCAATTCTTCCACTGATTGACACAAAAATACAAAATATGGCAATAGACTGTGTGGTAAAAACCAACACCGGTCAAAAGGTGGAGTGCTAAGGAGATGCTTGTGAATAACTCACCTCCCCCTCTCTTTTTTGGGTGTATTAAAACCTAGAGGTAGGGATATAAAATGGAACTACAATAGTGAAGTGCTGTAAGATAATTCAATAATGTGAAGGTGTTTAGAACCACTCACTTGGTGCTGAGCCTCAACAGGACAGGCTCAGATCACTTGGTCAGGTGTGTTTTGGTAGGTAACACAAACCAAACAATGGATGGAAACACTTCTGGGTCCTTTAAAAATAGAAGAAGCCAAGCATAGTGTAGTATGCAGATGAATATTGGTGAAGTGATGAAATATATAGAACTGCTCACCTGATTCAGAGCCTGTATCTCTGGCTCTGAGTAAGATAGTATGAGTACCACTGGGGGGGTACCAAACCCTATGGATAAGGTAAGGAACACTACTTACGTCCAGATGTAAAGTATAAAAATAAAATTTATTTTACAATATAAAAATAACTATGTTAAAACAAAAGTTGAAATTAAAAAGTTAAATCCTCCTGGACGTCCGGTATCATACAGCAACATCTAGCCAAACAAGGAGAACGCTCAAGAGTGCTGCCGGCCACCCTGCTATTTTTTAAGCGTTATAGTGAGTAGACAGAAGTCTGTCATACTCACCATCAAATCCAGTAAGGGGCCAACCACCCTTTTCTTTCACCACTTTTTATTCTTGTTTATGTATTTATGTATTTTAATCCTGCATGTGGCAGACAATAAATCATTGTCATTTTTCCTATTGGAGCCTCTCAAACCAATCATTGCAGAGATGACTCTCAATTTATAAATAGTTGTATACTTATATATTTGTATTTTTATACAAACAATCTGCACTATTATTGTGTTTTCCCTTCTCTTTTATATATACCATCCTTTATTAGAAGAACCTCCATTCATCAGAATAGTTTGTATATATTTTCTATTTACTGTCTCCTAGTGGTACTTTGCTCCACTCACTATCACACATCATTTCTTCCTTTGGTGAATTTGGGGATTGCACCAGAGTGTGAAGCAATTTGCCTGTATTAATGTAGCACCCAGATTTTCTTTCTTTTTTATTTAGTCTGTTATCCGTTTGTTTTTCATCACGTATAGCTAGGTGCAGCCATTTACAACTGAAGCTTAGTCCAGTGGTTTTCAACTTAACTGCATATTCTGCACATGTCTAGTCCTTGCAATTCCAGATAACGTGTCCAACTAGTCAGACAAGTGCTATGCTTAAAGGACCACTCTAGGCACCCAGACCACTTCAGCTTTATGAAGTGGTCTGGGTGCCAGGTCGCTCTAGGATTAACCCTTTTTTTTTATAAACATAGCAGTTTCAGAGAAACTTCTGTTTATACTGAGGGTTAATCCAGCCTCCAGAGCCTCTAGTGGCTGTCTCATTGACAGCCGCTAGAGGCGCTTGCGTGCTTCTCACTGTGAAAATCACAGTGAGAGCACGCAAGCGTCCATAGGAAAGCATTGTAAATGCTTTCCTATGCGACCGGCTTAATGCGCGCGCGGCTCCTGCCGCGCATGAGCATTCAGCCGATGACGTCGCGAGCAAGGTAGAGAGGAGGAGTACAGCTCCACGCCCGGTGCCGGAGAAAGGTAAGTGTTTAACCCCTTCCTCTCTCCAGAGCCCGGCGGGAGGGGGTCCTTGAGGGTGGGGGCACCCTCAGGGCACTATAGTGCCAGGAAAACGAGTATGTTTTCCTGGCACTATAGTGGTCCTTTAAACATGTTTACTGCTCAGATCAGCATGTACTAAATCATGTTTTCTAGTATTCTTTAATTACTCTAATGCAACACTTATTTCTAACCTGCTTTACTATGTATACTTATTTACTATAGTTTACTCAAGTATTACTAGCCTGTTATATCTAACAAATATAAAATGTGCTATTTTCTCTGCCATGCCATTGATTATTATAGAATTGCTCGCATCTGCTGTTGTGGCGCTGCAAGCTTGTCTGTTATCTTATGCACAAGAAAAATAAAGAATTTAAAAAAATATAAATGACAACTATTTACATATAAAATAGTGTTTACATTGCTGCATAGGGAATACTATGTATGATGTGGAGTAGTAATGTTTGTTTATTTATTTATATTTATTTATAAAATATTTTACCAGGAAAGATACATTGAGATTTCTCTAGTTTTCAAGTATGTCCTGAGTCCACATAACATTGCATTGTTACAATAGGGTACAATAAAATACAAAAACAATATTAATACACAATATATACAACATTTAACATAGAACAGGTATGAAATGTATAATCAACCATGACAGGTGCATTCTGTTTTGAGGTATGTAGAGAGGGATCTCTTAAAGGATTTTAGGCCCGGGGAAGATTTGAAAGTGTGCGGGAGGTCGTTCCAGAATTGCGGTGCTCTGTAGGAGAAGGAGGATCGGGCTACTTTCTTTTTGTATTGAGGTAGACTAAATAAAGTGCTGGTACTGGACCAGAGGTTTTAGGAGATGGGAGCAGCTGGGGAGAGCATTCTGTGCAGGTAGGGAGGGAGCTTCCCAGAAAAGCTCTTAAACACAAGGCTGGAAAGAAGAAGGGTGCATCTGGATTCCAGCGACAGCCAGTTTAGTTATTTTAGCATGTCACAATGGTGGGTCCTGTAATTACATTGTAGCACAAATCGGCAGAACGAGTTATACAATGTGTTGAGTTTATTAATTTGGGATTGTGATGCAGATGCATATACTACATCCCCATAATCAATGATTGGCATCAGCATTTGCTGTACAATCTTTTCCTTTACTGTAGGGCTTAGGCAGGATTTGTTTCTGTACAGGGCACCTAGTTTTGGATAAAGTTTAGATGCAAGCTTTTCTATGTGCAGGCCAAAAGATAGATTGGGGTTTAACAACATACCCGAGTATTTGAAAGAGTGGACTGCGGTCAGTGTGCCATTTGAATTTGCTTTGATGGATAGGTGGGAATTGTGTAATTTGTGTAATTTAGGAACTATTCCTAAAATCATTGTGACAGTTGTGTCAGTGTTTAGGAAGAGTTTGTGATCCACTTTTCTACCTCTGTGAACTGGTCCTGGAGCACAGCCCAAGATGCGGTAGAACTTTATGCTAAAACATTAAATATAACTGTGTTTGGCTCCCCATAGCTACATGACACAGACTCATTAGCAGAGAGACAGTGCTGGCTGTGACATGTAAATAAAATAGTCATGCACACATTTTGTTTCCAGGAAAAGCAGAATTAGGAGGGTAAATCAAATTATCTATTAAGTGAATGACTCATATTTGTTTTGGGCCCAAAATATCCTAGTGAAAATTAAAGGGACTCTATAGTCACCAGAACAACTTAACTTTTTTGTTATGGTGATGATAATCAGTCCTTTCAGGCATTTTCATGCAAACACTGTCTTTTCAGAGAAAAGGCAGTGTATACATTTCCCCATAGGGACACCTCGGATGGCCACTAGAGGTGCTTCCTGGGGCAGTGCTGCACAGTGAGCAGCACTACCGTTCAGCGTCTCCATGCAGCTGAATTTTCCTTATAGAGATGCAATGATTCAATGCATCTCTAGGAGGAGGCGCTGATTAGCCAAACCAGCATTTTTTTGCCCTTTCTCCTTGTAATTTCAGCCAATCCAATGCTTTAACATAGGGGAAGCATTGGATTGGCTAAAAATCGTAAATTTTGATGATGTCACTAAGGAGGCAGATCAAGGCGGGGCTAGCGCCGGCGGACCCACACGGCGCTGGAAATAAGGTAGATTTAATGGCAAGACAGCCTAAATGGTGATTTTAACACAATAGGGTCAGGAATACATATTTGTTTTCCTGACCCTATAGTGTTCCTTTACCTATAGTTCTGGCAAAACATAAATAACAACAAAAAGTAAAGTTAATACAGTAACTGGAATATAAGCCCCATAACATCTAACAAAATACTGAGTTGATAAAAAAAAAAAAGAGAAATTTCATAGCTCAAAATGTAGCAAAAATCGCTAAAAATGAAATAGTAATCAAACCACTGATGTGGACAAGCTCTAAGTACATAGCATCAGGGAGATGTTATGCTTAGCATTTCTGCTAAACTGTGTCTTATTTGGTTGCGGTAACCTAAGGTGCCCTGTTTCTACATTGCCTTGATGGTGGCAGCATTTATTGTGTTTTGGAGGTGTTTTTTAGTTTTTTTATCCTTATTTTCAGTGTAGTGCAGACAAAAAGTTATTTTTAACCCTTTCTCCCCTTGAAACAAGTCGAGTGCCTGTCTGGGAATGGTAGGCTTTTGACAAAGCGTACTGATCTGAAAAATTGTACTCATGACAGCAGAAACAGAACAGAACAGAAATTTAGGTTCCTTAGTAAACCACTGCCCCTCCCAAGTTATTCTTTTGCAGACACATGTATAAATACATCCACACAAATACAAAGTACAGAGACAAACAAAATCCAAAACACACACACATGTATACACCAATACATATTTCCAAACATAATTTCAAGCAGATAAGCCCACTCCCAGATATACATAAACACACACACTCCCTAACATATACAGACTTTGTAATCTATCCTTGTTTCTAGCCACCCTTATGCTTGTCTACCTTTTGGATGTAAAACATGGCTTCCTTGGTGTCTAGTGGGGCTCCCATGAGGCTTCTTATGTGCTGGGGGAAAGTGATAGTATATTATTACATCCTCACTGCAGTGCCGCACAATACATGGGGAACCAGCAGGTACACACAGGTACAGGTACTGTAATCTCCCTTTGTCAAGATTGCTTGATGATGTCAGCCAAGAAGGCGAAGCCAGCGCCAGCGGACCCACGTGGCGCTGGAATAAAGGTGAGTAAAATAACTTTTTAAGGGGAATAAAGGGGGAGACAACTATTTAAATAGTTAGTTTAACACTAAGGCGTCAGGAATATTTGTTTGTGTTACTGACCCTATAGTGTTCCTAAAAGTAATACGGTTAAATTTGTATAGTATGTGTTCGTTATTAAAAATACCGAATTGGTGGTTTTAAAATACCGAATTCGTGGTTGTAACAGTTTATATGCATGTTGATTTTATATTCCCAAATTACTTGTTTCGTTCTATATGTATGCTTTTAAAAAAAAACAACTACCGAACAATTTGTGCTTTCGTTTGGGACTGCTTTGTTTAGTACCAATAAAGTTTTATGCTTTCCAGCATGGTGGAATGCATGCGTCCGTACACTGGCCGGGCATCATGGCGTATGACGGGATCATGACGGGTCATGTCGGGATGTTTCAGCGCATGCATGGCAGCCATCAAGAGGGGTATTTAAAATCTGAAGAACACAGGGAACAGCAAACTCCTGAGACGAAGCGCATCGAGCAGAAGAAAGGCGAGGTGAAGAAGTGGAGGTCCAGTAGCAGCAGTGGAGTTCCGAGTTTGGGCCCAAAGAACACCTTTTATGGCGGACTGAGCTGCAGCTAAAGTACTTTGTCGAACTGTGCATTTGGCACCATGTGTTTTTGCACATTAATTTAATTATTATGTGCCACTTCTCCATGTGAGTGTGTTTGTTTCTGTTTATATAATTTTATGTTTATTAAAGGTTATACAATGTTTTTTGTATTCTTTTATCTTTTTATGAGGTTTTAACATTCCAGCTGCTAAGTATATAGTTGTAATTGTGGCACCCTGGTCTTCTTTGTTTTTTTCTCTTTTCTAAAATTAAATGGGTGCCTTTATTTTAGCTTCCTGTCCTTTGTTCCTGGCAGTCAGCATAGAGAAAACATACAGAGGCACAGAGAAACTACATATTTGATATGTTTTTCAAAGTGTTCTGAAAAATGATGGCTAAATTCCATCATTATTTTAGTCATATTTATTAAAGTGATCTAAAAAGTGATGGCTTGCATTATAGTAAATTCCACCAATTTTCACAGACATTTCCATTTCAGAAGACTGACAAATATAGAGTCACAGATAAAAGAGAAGTGAAACTGAACACTTTTCTTTCGTAAAAAGGGAAAATTCATAAAATGCATATATTCAAAATCAGTAAATCCAACAGATGTAATAAATTGTACCAAAAATTAGATAGAAAAGTATTAGCAATATTTTGATAAATATTCCAGATGTTTTTAGTTTTCTTCTTCGTTCGTAATGTGTGCCCTGACAGTATCTAGATCATAGACTGAACTGGATTTTGATATATATATACAGTTACTGGTAAACCTTTAATAAAACATAAGAAGAAAATGGAGCATCACATAAAAAAAAAAAAATTAAACACAAATTAAAGATGATTTTTTAAAGTTTTCTTCAAAGGTGTAATTTCCAAAGTAGTGATAATTTATCTTTAAATGTTTTATTCAATGGTGAAATTCCTCTTTTCAGACAAGGTTTCTGAAACCCTGAACAATGTTGATTTACACTGTAAAGGCCTACCCCCGGACTGCCTAAGGAGGAGGAAACATGACTGCTGGCCAGAGTAGTTGGCATTACCTTAACTTAATAAAGGCTGGAGTAGCTGACATGACTAGGGAAGCCCTACTTACCCTGTTGCAGTCCTTCTATAGGACCCATGGAGCGGACTCTTATGCCTCCTTGTTGCAGTGTGTCGTGCCTGATCCTCAGCCTGTTGTACTGGTTTCTGATGTGGCTTCCCCTTGGCCTGGAAGATAGGCTCATCGCTCCAGGCCTCTATCCAGGCTGTCAACTAGTACTGTTAGGTGTCCAAGGGCAGGACCGGAGGCTTCTTCAAGTCCAGGACCGAGCACTGCCGGTTTGCAACACAAAACGTCCAATTCTGGTATGAAAAAGAGGTCAGGAAGAAGTTCCAGGCTTCAGGGTTCCAGGTTTGGGCCTTGCCCTCAAGATGGCGGCTCAAGTCGGCAAGATAGCACTGGATGGTCGGTTAGGTCTCGCAGCCCGCGCTCGTCTCTTCCGGATCCACAAGAAATGACGGAGGTGCGTGCTAGCGCACGCTCTGATCGACGAACTGACATTCGTCAGTCTCAACAGAGCGCCTACGTGACATCCATTCGGTTCAAACATGACCAACAATTTAGACAAATGTATATAGAATATAGAATGCACACTATAACAATCTCAAGTGACAGAAGCAAGGGCAAATACAATAAAATAATAATAGTAAATTACCACAAAAATTCTAACAAGCCTCAAGACAGAAACACGAGTCACCAAACCCCCCAACGTTTCGGCACCAATTGGCTGCCTTTATCAAGGGTACCTGTGATAAAGGCACCCTGTGATAAAGGCACCCGTCAGCATTCCTGTCGGATGGTCGGAGGGTCACAAAAAAGGCATTTGTTGTCCCTTCAATGACAGCCATTGCAGATGGTAAAGTAGCTGCCGTTTCAAACATGACTGGTCCCATTGTGGAGGAGCCCACCTGGTGGTGCGCTGATTTAAGTGGGGAAAACCTTACCTACATCGGCATCCAAGGATGATGTTCCTAGGAATGAGGAAAGGCGGAAAGGCTCCGTAAATGGCTTGTATGGTATCCTAAACGTCGAGCGGCGGAAATTCTTTGGGAAGGTTTCACGGAAGGTTTTATTATTCCATTTCAAGCATCTTCAGAGGTGTTGTTTGCTACGAATTTATCGTTGGTTCAAGGAAAGGAGGGTATATTAGCAGATAAGTTGAGTAAGCTTTGGTCGTATGGCTGTCCCCTTTTCCCACCCGTCATTTGAAGACTTATGGGTTAATTCTCCACCTTTCCTTCCCCATTGGTTAATGATGGCATATCAAAGGGTTCGATATGCATCCTTTGATAGGGCATTGGAGTTGGTTCACAATGTAGGGCAAGGGGTCCTGCTAGCAAATCCGATATCCAATTTGGTACTTGGATATCATCATGATGAGGAATGATGGAGTTTACCTCAATCCCATTGGACTGGATATTTTTAATATGGGTGTGGCGAAACCGACCTCGCCACTGGGCATTGGAGAAGACTGATTGCCAGCCTCCTGCCATGTGACTATGGCCCCTGGGATGTATTGCCCTTTAAAGACATGATTTGAGCATAATGGATTTGTGTTGTGCTGCTGCTAGCCCTTTAAGAACCATCTGGGGACATACTGTGGAGTTACTGGGTGGCCACCATTTCCTGTATCAGAAGCACATGGTGAGAACAATGGATGGTGGCCATTTTAACTCACAGACACTGTGTGGACTTTTCAACACGGTGCCATCTCGCCAGTATTTGTTGCACAGAGACATCGTGCGGTGGTTTTGGACTATACAGCAGGGGACACATTATACAGTGATTGTTTTTTATTTAGCCTGTACATGTTCTGCAGAATCTGCATTAAACTGTATTTTCCAAAGTACTGAACGGATCTGGGTGAATTTTGGATATGTGGTTCACCCAGATCCCCCAGCTCCAAGGATATACTTTTATGGGGTTATTGCATGTTTTGGGGTCCCTGTGATGTGTTTTATGAAACTGTATTTCTCTGGCTGTGATAATTAGATTACCCATTGTGTTCAGTAACCATATCACAGCCAGAGGGGAGGATTTTGTGTGGGAGTGTCTGGGTGTATTGTATGGATTGATTGGCTGTTTTGTAACGCCCTGTGGGCTGTACTATGTTTGTGGATTGGGAATAAAAGAGACTGTATGTGACAGTACAGGGAGTTCCTGCTTAACCCTCAAAGTGAAGTGTCGTCTCATTATTGGGGGAAGGATTTATTGTATGCTGTTCCAGTTTGACTGCTAGGAGAGTAAACCTATTCGTATGGTCCCTATTCAACTGTCTACAGCATTCATATGCTTGAGAGGAAGGTATACGCTTCTCTGGTTCGGTGATTGTGGTGTCTGCTGCAGTGCTTGGAGTCCTCAGGAAGCGCTGGGAGCATCCTTCAACGGAGGTACCCAGTCGGGGTGCCAGGTGATCCGTTACAATGGGTTTCCAAACGGTTGTTGAAAAAGCGTTGTCTTCAGGGGGACGCAGCCTTTCCTTAGTTTAGGGTTCAGGCTGCGATGGCGGGTTTTCCTGCGCCCGCAAGTTATGAAAGGACACTGCCCGGACGGGCTTGGGGAGTCGCAGCCTGATTTGGTGGATCACGAATGACAGGCTGAAGAGGCTCTTGTTATAAAGTTATGTTATCTGTTTGCTGGGTTAAACCAGCAGCTGACAGTGGTTGTTTGCTGGTTGTCAGAAAATAAAGCTGTGGCCGTTAGCCTTACCCACTAATATGGTGTTGTGTTATTTATTGGTGGGAGGAAACAAAGGGAACATTTTACGGAGGTATCAGGAGTCATGAGCCTAAATAATAAATACTACACTGTCCATACTTTTGTAGAGAGCATTGTAGTGCAGGTCACACATAGTAAATAATAGGTATTGTACCTGTCAACTTTTTGTCTCTGTTAGCAAGAAGATGGTGGGTGGGTGTATAAGGGGGCAGACCAGTGACATTAATTGAATCACTGACACCGCCCAAAGGGGGTGGACCCATCGGGAAAGGATCCACTTAAAGAATTGACAGATAACAGGCCAGCCCACTAGAGGCCAGCAGTGTTTCAGTGCTTTCTGCTGGGTATCAGTGCCTTAATCATAGGGCAAGCACTTCTAATGATGTGCTCGCATTACACTTTTTGGGGACAGTTCCCTGGTGTCCCCAACAGTGGAACACCAGAAGATAATCGGGATGGTGGGATTAGACCTGAATATCGGGACTGTCCAGCCTAAATCGGAATGGTGGGAGGAATACGTTCTGGGCGACTTAGTGGTTAACATTCTCATCCCAGAGTGTAAGTGATTATGCAGAGGGAATATAGAAATAGGTAAATCATATGCCTAGTTCCTCATTGTTAGGGCCTCAGGTGACTCATGCTTGCTTGTTTAGTTGTCTGTAACAGGCATAAGTAAAAGGGAATCAAGCAGCTACCTTACAATTTAAAGTGACCCTGACACTTTGCAAGTTTTGCTTTTAAATTTACAGATTTTACTATTAACATGACGTAAAGTCATGATTTTATTAATGACACGGAGGCGAGTATTATGCTGCACTCTTTCTTTATTTACCTCAGCAGCAAAGAAAAATAACATTAAATCAGTATAAAAGAAACCAGTAAATAACATGAGGTATATCTTCCTAGCAACAGCAACAGCCAATCAGCATCCTCTTTATAGCATAATAGGCAGTGTCCAGTATACTACTTCCTCTTTCTTGCGATCCCGAACAAGGACAACAAATCCAAATAAAAAGTGGGCTCCAATTAGAGGGTATACGAGCCTTAAACTGGATCTAGAAGTCAAGCTGGAAGAGAAAAGAGAATATGGTAATATCCAAGTATAAAACTGGATTTATGCATAAATTCGCATTACATGAAATATCAGATATATATATACACATAACATGAAATTCAGTTTAGTCAAACCTTAAGCTCTTGACAGTCATTAACAAGGATAAAACCCAGTATTCAAAAAAGACTTACCGTGAAGTCAACTTACCCAGAGAAGACCAAATCTCCAGGGATGGGAGGGAGGGATAATACTCGCCTCCATGTCATTAATAAAATCATGACTTTACGTCATGTTAATAGTAAAATCTGTAAATTTTATTAAGACACGGAGGCTCCTATTATGCTAGTTCAAAGCTGTGAAATTATGTCTCCTGTGAAGTGTTGAATAGGTCTAAAGTAGAAATCATGGAATGTAGACTCTGAAGACCAGCCGCTCTCATAATATCCTCCAAGCGACAACCAATCGAGGAAGCCTTAGAAGCCATTGCCCTACGAACCGAATGAGGCACTGACACATAGGTATCAATACCTGCTAGAGACATAACGTATTTGACCCACCAGGCTAGAGTAGACACCGGAAGATGCGACTTTTGGAAGAGTTCTGTTTCAAAGGATTCTGTAACGTAGTAGAACGATGTTCACACACCCATTAGTATGCAACAGGGCAAAGGAGAGATGTATCAGGGAAAACTGGGTAAGATAGATTTTAGAGGAGGTTTTTGTCCTCCGTGAAATGTCAAAGAGGACACCTTCTGGAGTAAAGGAACAAGCAACCACCTCACGAGCTCGTACGTCAGAAAAACCTCTTGCAAGAAAAATAAAAAAAAATTCAAGACAATAGAGACGTCCCACAAGACAGAGTATCGTGGTAAGGGTGAATGAGCAAACCATATTCCTCAGAGAAGTCAATATATGACAGGATGTCAACCGACAGGCGTCCAATCAAAACTTTGATGGCCAGCAGAAATGGACGATCGTTAAGGTCCACAGTGCGATAGGCTTTACCTTCATCATAGAAGTCAGAAAAATGGAGGACAGACATAAAAGGAGCCGATATGGGATTTAAATTTATTTTCATGCACCAACTATGCCATCTGCTCCAAGCTGATTTATAAGCCTGTCTCGTGTTGGGTGCACCCTTGATAAGTTGGGGAGTTGATTGCGAAACTCCCTTGACCGACCAAGGTTCCCTGAAATAGACTACACTATGAGATGCAAGAGACCTTGGAGAACAAGAGGATGAGGTACACCATCTGGATCCTGAAGAAGGCACTCGAGAGATGGAAGGTTAATAACCATCTCCTGAAGAAAAGAGAACTATGGTTGGGATGGCGATAGAGGAGCCACGATCAACAGGTGCCAGACTGGCGATGTAGATGGAAAGGCAAAAAATCATAATTCCTTGGAGAAAACATTCATAGCCAATGCTATCGGATCTGGTCTCCAACTGAAAAAACGGGGAAGTTGAGCATTCAAACGAGAAGCGAAAAGATCTATTTCCAATAGACCCCATAGGTTCCAGATGTCTTGGAAGACCATGGAATCCAAGTGCCAGTCGCTGGAATCTCAGAGTTGGCGTGAATACCAGTCCGTCGTAGTGTTGGAGAGACCTTGAATATATTCTGCCGTGACTGACATGCCGTGTCTCAGGCAAAATTGCCAGCAATCACGAGGCATGTAGGTCAGAATTTTGTATTTTGTGTCTCCAAGTGATTAATGTAGCGGACTGCTGACACGTTGTCCATCTTCAGAAGGATAGCGTATTGGGCTTGAGTTGGGGAGAAACTATGGACTGCAAAGGAACCGGGTGTTCCAAACAATTGATGTGGAGTGTTGATTCCAGGTTTGATTATCTGCCCTTGGTGGAAATAGTTCTGCATTGAGCACCCCAACCGTGCAAACTTGTGTCGGATTTGATTATCAAATCTGGAGCTGTACAAAATATGGTGTGCTTATTCCAAGCTTCCATGTGAAGAAGCCACCATTGGCGTTCATTCTCTGCTTCTGAGTCCAGAGTTACCATATCTGTGTATGATGTGCTGCCCTTGAGATGAAGTTTGTAATCGTTGTAGGGCTCGATAGCCAAGAAGACCTGTAGAAATGGCCTGTATAGATGCCGCTAGAAGGCCTAACATTCTCAACAGTTGTTTGAGAGAGAGAGTTGAGAGGTTGCTAGTGTTCGCCTATCTCCTTCTTTATATTGGCTAATTTTGCCACCGGAGGGTGTAGAGTTTGAAGGGTAGAATCTACAATAATCCAATATAACCCAGAAATTGTATTTGTTGCGTGGGAACGATAATGGATTTCTCCCAATTGGTCAGGAAACCTAGGTTCTCTAACAGAGTCAAAGTCCATGCAAGGTATGTCCGGATTAATTGAATAGACTGAGCCAGAATGAAAATGCCATCTAAATATATTATAAGATGTGAGCTTGGTGAAGCACCATGGAGCCGAAGACAGTCCGAATGGGAGGCACCTGAACCTCTATTTACTGCCCTACCATGTAAATTGCAGGAAGTTCTCGATCTTGATGTTGTACTGGGATAGGCACTGTGAGATATGCATCCTGCAGATCCAATTTGGCCATCCAATCTGCTGGTTGGAGAAGATCCCTTAAACAATGCTCTCCTTCCATCTTGGAAGTGCTGATATGCTCATAACTATTGAGCAGTCTCAAATTTATTACTGGACGGATACCTTTGCCTTTTTTGGGAAACAAGAAAAGGTTGCTCACGTAACCCAGGGTATGCGCCAGAATCTCTACAATTGATTGTCCACAGAGACAAGGTCTGTGTCTCATTGGGAAAAAACAATTTCCCTTGATGGGGAACATTGAACAAGTAGAGAAAGGAAGTCTATGCAATACCCTTTCACAGTGTGAAGAACCTAAGCATCTGATGAAATGAGGGATCATACATGGGAAAAATGTGTGAGCCTGCCCCCCACTATCAGTAAGAAAGAATGGAAATTGTGAAGACGTCTTAGGAGCACCTCTTAGGCCACTAACAATCCAGGGTCGGCCACTTTGTGAGAAGGAGGTTGGTATAGTACATTGTTCAAAGAAATCGGCTCGGCAAGTATAAGAGCCTTGGTTCTGTCTAAAAGAACTTCTGTTTGTTTAGCAGGACAAAGGAGCCCAATTCTTTTACAAAGTTGTCCCCAAAGAGAAAACCTTTTGCCTGTGTTATCTGGCTCGTTTGGGCTCAATCTTGAGCAAGATCGATTTGTGGTGTTCTGTGACAACCGCATTGTTGGCGTTGCCAACTTAAATTACTCTCTGGATCTAACCACTTAAGATGGCGCAATCTAATTCTAGATCATCCTCCACTGCTTCAAAGATCTTGGCTGCTGAGCCCAAGATGCCCAGGATTTTATCCTGACAGTTTTGCAATGAAAATCTAAGCCTTTAGATGGCTTCCATCCTGTCTTACTCAGGAATTGAATGCTTTTAGGATTGACTGATAGCGTTTAACATGAGTCATCAGGGACTGTTCGGCGTGGCCATTCAGCCCGCAATTTATTTCACTTTGCCTTCTCAAAAGGCTTGCGTACTCTGGATGCCAATATACTTGGCTACATGGTCTGAGGAGACCACTGGATGACATAGGTCGTCAGGTTCGAATAGGGGTTCACATTGAGTGTCCAAGATCCTATCGGTGTCCCTGAGTCTGCATAATCTACCTAAATCTTGGTAGGTTTAACAGGACGTGTATCCCAAATGGGATTAGCATCCTCTTCATCAGTAATTTCATAATCAGGATCAGAAATATCCTCTGAATCCTTCATATAGGACCCAGGGAACTCCTCCTCAATATCCCTGAGCTCAGATTTAGAGTTCAATTGGGCTTTTGCCCTTTTTCAAAGTCTAGTCGATTTTGCCCGACTAGTAGCTCTTTTGCGTGGTGGTAAATTAATCACGCCATCCGTGACAGGTTTGGTACTGTCCATCTCTATTGTTTTGGAGGAGTGTTTAGCCTTATATGAGGCCTTGCGGCCAGGCTGAAGCAGCGCAGTTGTGAGTACAGGTACACCTCCATATAGAACTCGGTGAACTTCTCCTCAATATCACTGAACTTGGATTCAGAGTTTAATTGGGCTTTTGCCCTTTTCCAAAGTCTAGTCGATTTTGCCCGACTAGTAGCTCTTTTGCGCGGTGGTAAATTAATCGCGCCATCCATGACAGGTATGGTACTGTCCATCTCTATTGTTTTGGAGGAGTGTTTAGCCTTATATGAGGCCTTGCGGCCTGACACCAGGGCCTTGTCATTGCTTTTGCCATGGAAGTGTCAATTAAAGCCTGCATGTCAGCAGGATCAGTAAAGCAGAAATTCAGCCTCATCTCCAGAGATACCTGGAGAGGCTTCTACATTAATCTGCATGTTTGCTGTAGACCCAGAAGGCACAGAAAGATCCTGGCAGACTGCATCATAAATATACAAACAAACCTAAGGGGCTGAATAAAGCAAAATAATACCAAAAGTAAAGGGTTGAGTAACCCTCAAGTAAAAATAAATAACTAAACAGGATAAAGAAATGAAAGTACTCACAATAGTGAAAAAAAATAGCAATTGTAATATAAAAACAAAGGAGCTGCCCGGCTGCCACTACAACTAAACCCCAACTTGGATTTCTGGCAGTTGGTGGCAGAGCAGCAGCCAGACAGATAAATTAAGGGAAAAAACAGCACAATAGCACTATTCAGGGGATAAAGATCCTCAAAGACGTCCCTGAGCCCCAATTGATGGTAATCTTGGGCCCAGGGAGGTCAGAGGGGAAATACATTATCAAAGGATATATAATAAAGCATATAACAGACGCAAATGAAGTAAATAAATCAAATTACGTTAAAATGAAGTAACTAAATATATGTATAAACATGAAAATATTATAATTAAAATGTAATAACTATAATAACTATATTAATCACAGTAATGATATGAATAAAGTAAAGTAAAAGATCCCACAGTTAAGAACCATGGGACCCAGTGTCACTTAACTGAGGTAGCAGCAAAGAAAGAGGAAGTAGTATACTGGACACTGCCTATTATGCTATAAAGAGGATGCTGATTGGCTGTTCTGTTGCTAGGAAGATATACCTCATGTTATTTACTGGTTTCTTTTATACTGATTTAATGTTATTTTTCTTTGCTGCTGAGGTAAATAAAGAAAGAGTGCAGCATAATAGGAGCCTCCGTGTCTTAATAAAATTATTATTTTTGCCTCTCTAGTTCATCTTGTCAATTCACCTTAGATTTTTAGTTATACATGAGAATTCCATTTCAGTTTCTAAGCTAATTTATCCACAACTTAGCAATCAAAAGAACAGAAGGGCAAACTGCAAACATCACAGGCAGAGGAGAACAAAAGGAAGTAACCAGGTATTGAGATCGGGTGCAAGGAAGAAAATAAATGAATTGAAAAAAAGGCACATAGCGAAGAGGGGAGTATAGTCATTAGGATACAAGGGGAATAAGGGAAGGAAAACTGAAAGAGGAAAAAGAAAAACATGACAGAGCTGCTTTACCTGTGATCACAGGTACCCTCGCTCATTTTACATTAATTTAAAAGGACACTATGTGTAACAATATAAAATGTAATGCACTTGAAAGTTGTTTTGCCTCCATATGCTATATTTGTTTGCATATTGAAATCTTTGTAAAAACATTTTTTTGAAAGAATGAAAAAACATTTTTTTTTGCAAAATTGTGCTTCATAACCCTGCCTTTAGCCACTCGCTCAATTCTAGCATACTGTCTTCCTTAGCCCCATATGTACACAGCTCAGACACTGATATCACTGGTCAGCGAGCTGAGCTACAGGAAGACCAGCAGGCAGCAGTACAAAGACAAGACACACAGGGAGACGTATCTACTACAAGTCCCACTTCCCTGTGTGTAGTGGACCTGTGCAGGGAGAGATTTCTAGTTGTGACTGGCATTTCAGTTTGCAATCTCTTCAGCAGCCATAAGCAGGAGTGGGTTTAAATGCTCAGCCCAACTGCCCCTGACAATTTCGCAATTCTCAATGGGAAACCAGGTTTGTGGGACCAACAATATTATCTATCATCATATCAGTGCTGCTGTTTGCGGGCTCCCCATCAAGCAGAATGAAATTGGTGTTGGAGGAATCATGTACTTTTTGCCAATTTATGTTCAGTCAGCTTCCTAAAAGAAAACATGGTTTAAAATTTCACATGGCTAGCTGCAGGAATGCTACTATACTAATTCAGAGGGAAAAAGGTTAAACATATTGTTTTTGTTTTTTTTAATATGGTATACAGAATTATTATTTGCAAATCTTATTTAACGCTCTTTATCAACAAAAATGCACCTTATGTATTCAGAAAAGAGTTCTTAATTTGAATGCATAGTGTTCTTTTAATTTTATTTTGGGTTTAGCTCTTTTACTTGAGGACCACTAAATGCTGCTACATAAATCATTACATGGATTTTGTGACTTGCAATTTACAATCTGACAAAATCAAACAGACCTGGTTTTATGTGTTGGGTAGAAGTATCAGCTTTGCATAGCAAGTCAACAACTTCTTTTTTTTTTTTTTTGCTGTAAACACTTAAAGTGACACTATAGTCACCAGAACAACTAAAGCTTATTGAATTTGTTCTGGTGAGTAGAATCATTATCTTCAGGCTTTTTGCTGTAAACAGTTTCTTTTCAGAGAAAATGCAGTGTTTACATTACAGCCTAGTGATAACTTCACTGGCCACTCCTCAGATAGCTGTTAGAGATCCTTCCTGGGTCATGGCTGCCTAAAATGCGTCCAAACATTCAAGATCTCCTCCCTCTGCATGCAGACACTGAACTTTCCTCATAGAGATTCATTGATTCAATTCATCTCTATGAGGAGATGCTGATTGGCCAGGGCTGTGTTTGAATCATGCTGGCTCTGCTCCGATCAGCCTCTTTGTCAGTCTCAGCCAATCCAATGGGTAAGCATTGTGATTGGATCAGGCTACCACTTTGGATGATGTCAGCACACTGCTTGTTTTTCTCAGTCTAACAGCATGCAGAGTTACAGCTTCAAGCTTGAACACAGAAAGATTTTTACTATATTTAAGGAGGCATGAGGAGCCCAGGGCGGCTATATGGTGGTTTTAACACTATATGGTCAGGAATACATGTCCATATAGTGTTTTTAACACTATATGGTCAGGAATACATGTTTGTGTTCCTGACCCTATAGTGATCCTTTAAACAGATTAAACACATTGGATAGTGCAAGTTTTTTGCAACTATGTTACTTTTGCAATCAATTCTACATTACTGAGTAGGAGAATTGGAGGGTTTCGTTGTTCCAAATGGCCATCTCACCCAAATCAATGTCAAGAAAGTTAGAACATTTTGGATAGACCCATAGGCATTAAATACCATCTTGACTGTCCGGTTAAGAAAAACAAAAAACTATAAAAGAAGTACCTTAAGTACCACCTCATCAAAGTAAATAGCAAAATGCTTGCCTATGACTGACAGCTTACTTTTTCTATTAGAGACGGAAGCTCTCTGCATTGAGCTAACGCTGGTGGTGCATATATAAGCTAAAATCTTAAAATGAAAAGACACCATGTCAGAAAATAAAAAAGCAGAAAAGACTGATATTCACCCTACTGTAGATGATTCTCATGTGTTGCTATCTGGGGCTACCATGTAGGTGGGGTTTGCTGGGGGAGAATTGTATATTTGAGGATATTTTGTTAAGGTGCCCTGTTGTCAGGAGGTTAATTAGATTAGTGGCACTCTATCTAGTTATCTCCCACACACAGAGGCGCCTATGTGGGATCTTCATTGTTTTAGATATCGACCTCCTGTAAGGGGTCTTTGGATAAATGTGTGCACTTTAACCCCATAAAGCATTCCTGTTTTTACCCTTCATTAAGTTTCAACTGATGTTTGAGTGTGCAGCTATATCATTGAACACTCTGCCGGAAAAGAAGGGAGACTTTGGCAGAGATACTCTAGTCAAGTATCGGAGCTCCTCCACAGTAATATTTGCTACCAAGAAGACTGAAAAGGTTACTCAAACCCCAAAAAGTGCTTTCATAAACCACTATTTTTGGATAGAGTAACCCTTGTTGTGTTGGTACAACACCCAATTGAGAACATTTATAAAACTTACCTCTGTCCCAACTTAAGTCCAAGTTCTCCATGCAGCCAATCATCCTCCACTGAAATCACCCCCCCTCACTAATGGGGAGTGAAGTCAAAGAGGACAGGGCCTCAGAGCTGGAACAGAGTTTAGTTTTACCTTTACTTTGTTTACTTTGTTTTTTGTGGGGGGCATGCCACCATTGGATGCCTGTTGACGTCAGACATTCAGTATGCATAGAATTAACACTGGCAACCTGGAACTCTAGGGCTGGCTAATGACGGCCCAATGACGCTTCCAGAGATGGAGCTACACCTCCAGAAGCAGAGGAGTTACACCATGTATGTACAGCGTGTCATAGCGGAACCTTGCACATAGAGACTCCAGGCACCATAACCACTTAAAATCACTAAACTTGTCATGGTGCTGACAGCAACCTTTCACAGAGATTACAGAAACCACCAATATATACTAGGTTTCACCATAAAGGAATGACAAAATAAGAGAGGTGAGATACATAAGATGGATTATTCATTAAACTACGAATTATCTCAAATTGATCAGGGAATTTAAAATTTGAAAATTTATCCACTTCAACTATTTTTCCAACTCTGTTAATTTAGACTGAAATGTGCAGTTTCCTGGACAATTCCAAACAATTCCCAGTTTCGTGAATATCTCTAAACACTAAAAAAACATCTTATATAATATAACTACATCAGCAGCAAAAAAATAAAAAAAATATAGAGAACGAGGTTAGAATAAGTATGAATACAGTCTTTGCCAAAAAAAACATGAAAGAATCTGACCATGACATTTTACTTAAAATGGATCTGGAATAAAGTCAAAATGGTGTTTCCTTAAAAGATGCAGCGTTTGAAAGAGAGGGCAAAGCATGAAGATCATTTTTCTGTCTACAACCGACTGAGGCGGTTATTGTAAAAAAACCACAGCTAGTGAGCAGTGTCTGATAGCATTATCTAACTATCACAAACAGCATAATCAAGAGGACACAGTATCAGCCTTGCTTTGCTTTTATACCCATCTCTCATTAGCTTCTACATTTTACTGGAGGAAACACAAACACACACACCTACATACATACACAAACAAGCATGAACAGCCCAGCTCTCAGCTCCCTACCAGACTGCTTCTCCTAGAAACCTTTTTTTCCCCCTCGTGCTACAAGATGCCATTCCCTTCTGCCTGTGATTGATTAAGCCAATGCTTCTACATGAACTGCATTACATTAGCACGCAGCATACTATATAAAATAAAGGTAAAGGCTATAGCTGTGTGTAGACAAACCAGTCATATATTGCTGTTGTTCAGGTGAATAAGCAAGATGGCTGGAGCAGAACAGATCAGACAATACCATGTAAAGAATAATGGAAATCACACAGGCACCTGGCTGTCTGTCCGAGCAACGCTATCACAGTGTGAGCTCTGCATGGGGAGTGGAATCAGGATCAAATAGAAACTACAGCGTGAAATCATGGTATTTAGGAAGGGAACCAATTCTTAATCTCTGGTGGATTTTTTTTTGTTTCATAAGAAATCCCCCCTGTTTGCTGTATCTGCTTGTGTATGTGCAATAGCCGTGTTTGTGTCTGCTTAGTGGAGGTGATGGAGAGCACACACTTAAAGGCAATGTAAACAGGAATCCATCACATAAACACATTTAGGTTAAATTGCAAACGTGCAATCTGAACTGTTAATCCGACTCAATAGATAGCTTTACAGCCATTTTAATAAGTATAAAATATAGCTCAAATACACCTGTATACAGTGCTGTTTTTTAAATTTTATTTTAGTCAATATTCACAAACCATTCTAATTTTAGCTTTTATTTCAGTAATTTCCCAGATCCAGCTTTGAGATGTCACTAGTAAATCGCAATACATAGTATCACAGAATAGTTAGGAATGAAAATAAAAGGAGTAGTTTAGCATGTTTAACCCTTTGCTACTGAGGGACATCCACAAAATTAAATAAATGTGAACAATTATTTGATACAAAATACGGATCAATATCCATGAAATGAGGACCAAGCAGTCATTGTATTACAAGATTGCCGTTAAAGGATAAAATTACAGATTTTCAGATACATTTAGAAAACGTGCTACAATGGGTTTGCTCTTGCATTGTCTAAAAACTGGAGGAGCTAAATAATTAGAGATGATTTAGTATAGCTTTTTTTTTCTCTTGCAATATGCCTGACAAGTTTAGAATAATGTATAGAGAATGACAAATAATTTTAGAACATATAATGGAAATGCCCTTACATGGATTTCAAAAACATCCCAAAATGCCTCCCTGAATACAGTAAATACATGTCACAGCTAAAACCAGGCACCTGTATTTAACTTATATTTCAAATGGCATTGTAAGCTGCTATTTCATTCTGCATATTTAACCTGTGGACCCAGCACACTCCATTTACCTTACTTGTAGCTTTAGCATTATACATGACGTTTTGCAGGCATTTTTAAAAAGGGAAGGGGTGGGTTAACACTATACTGACCAGAGCATTAGCTAAGAACTGGGTTTCCAAGAAGGATGAGTGTTAGAAAAGAAGACCATTTTTTTGTTTGTTAATGTTGTGTTATATGTTACTGTTTTTCTTCTACTGCTTGTAAAGGGTTACTCCAGGAATCATAACCATAAATTGTGTGGCTGCCATCCATTTATTGGCTGAGAGTGTCAGCTGACCGCTCTCAGCCAATGAATGACATTGTGTACTATGAAAGTTGCACAGAATTGACATTAGCCAGCCTGGAACTCAAAAGTCAACTCAAAAGTAGTATGAATAAAGCTCATAATTCTTTAATTATTAAAAATGTCATATAGACTAGAAAAAAAGATAACAGCTCTAACAGTTGTATGATCAGGGTTTAAAATTTGTAGTCCAATACTACTAACCCTGCCTTTAAAGTTACTCGCCACTGCAAGCCACAGTACACCCTCCAGGGGTGATTTTTATTCACCAATAGTTAGTGGAAATTTTAAGCCCTGGACTATGATTATCTATATCCCTCTAGGGGTGCTACAAAGAAGGATGGCTGGGTTACCTCACAATATTTGCTGCATCTTTCTTTCTATCACTCAAATAATCACAGAACATCTAAAACAACCCTGTTATGTTTCTGTTTTTCTTTTGTGTTTTCGTTTCCTTAAGTCTCATGCATCTTAATGAATATACCCTTGTCTTTCCACTTGCTTTTATTTGTGGGCAAGGCTTCCTTGATAAATGCTTTCCGCCGAAAGTTGGGGGCATTATCTTGGATATTCCCCTTTTCTCACAACTCTTTTGTGTTTCAGTTTATCAGTGGTATGTATTTTGTAGTTGTTTTAGTATATCTGCCTTGATATCATCTACTTTATCATTTTTTGTGGTTGTGGTTTTCTATTATTAATTTTTTATTTCTTATTTTTTGTGTTTTACTTTGCATTCTTTGTATTGATATATGTTATTCACGTACATGTTCTTTCTGTTATGTACAGATAATTAGCACTGTATCGTCATTTTTGTTTTTGAAGTTGTTCATGGATACAATGTAAGTTTGGTTTATATAATGAAGTTGATTGATTTTTTACTTGTTCTGTATACAATGTATTATGTTTCATAGTCCAATGGGGAATAGGGCTGTTGACTGAGCACCCTGATTCTCTACTTAATTTTGCAGAGGTATTCTGTTGTTTATTTTGTATAGTGTGCCTGCTTTGGTAATTTTGTTTGTATATTTGTTCCCAGGAACCAACATTAAACCAAGTATACAAGACACTATGATTATTCTGATTTATTACATACAGAACTTCTAAAGTTTATCTTGTACGCTATTTTCAAATAGTGTCAGAATGTATTATTTTTAGTCTAGCATTATTAAATAAAAATTACATTAAAAAATATTTTTTTTCTGTGTTGTTTTGAATATTCACTAAAATAATTATTTCATTTCTAGACTTTTATTTCCATACCAGAGAATGTATGATGCAAAACGGCTGAACAATTTGGAAGTTTGAACTCTAATCTATATAGTGTCATCAAATGATTTGGAAATTGCCAAAGACTTTAAAATAGGTATTCAAAGAGAATAAAAAGGTGTCTCTTATCCACATTGAATAGAAACATAAGGTAGCTGATATTTTTTAGTGCTGCAAATATATATTGATGTTTATTTTTTATTTTACAAATTTGGGATGTGGTATAAAACAAAAACTTAAGGCAAATATATGAGCATCATATTTCTAAATGGGCTAAAATACAAAATGCTAGTTTTAATTAAGACTGGATTTGTTAAGCTCTTACATACATATTGACACTGAGGGTTATGGCAATGACAATATAATACAAATTATTTTAGTATTCTAAAAAACAACATTATGGCATCTATAATTTAAAGTCCTAACACAACAACCAAATGTGAGATGTGTAACCTCCATCACTTTATAACTTATTACTAAGTGAAGTTTGCACTACCACCAGTAAACAAATATAAAACTCTATTACATGCAGGTACAGATTCCTCTGTGCACAGACCAACTGCAGGGTTAGGGTTAGTAAAATGAACTCTTGGTATATAATATATTGGGTGAGTGGTCCCCATGTGAGCAGTGATGCTGAATGAAGATGCCATGGAGTACTGAATGAGGATGCATGGAGTGAGTGATGACAGTAAGGCTGGCATGATGTGAGTGATGCAGAAATAAGTTTGCACTGGGTGAGTGATCATGAATAAGGATGTCATAGAGTGAGTGATACTGAATGATGTCATAGAGTGAGTGATGCTGAATGATACCTTGGAGTGAGTGATGCCGATTGATGATGTTATACAGTGAGTGATGCTGAATGAGGGTGTTATACAGTGAGTGATGCTGAATGAGGGTGTTATACAGTGACTGTCTGATGCTAAAAGAGGATGTTATACAGTGAGTGATGCGGAGTGAGGATGCCATGTAGTGAGTGATGCTAAATTAGGATGCCATTCAGTGAGTGATGCTAAGTGAGGATGTTATGTAGTGAGTGATGCTGAGTGAGGATGCCATGTAGTGAGTGATGCTAAGTGAGGATGCCAATTAGTGAGTGATGCTGAGTTAGGATGCCATTCAGTGAGTGATGCTGCCATGTAGTGAGTGATGCTAAGTGAGGATGCCATGTAGTGGGTGATGCTGAGTGAGGATGCCATACAGTGAGTGATGCTGAGTGAGGACGCCATGTAGTGAGTGATGCTAAGTGAGGATGCCATACGGTGAGTGATGCTCAGTGAGGATGCTATACAGTGAGTGATGCTGAGTGAGGATGCTATACAGTGAGTGATGCTCAGTGAGGATACCATACGGTGAGTGATGCTCAGTGAGGATGTTATACAGTGAGTGATGCTCAGTGAGGATGTTATACAGTGAGTGATGCTCAGTGAGGATGCCATACGGTGAGTGATGCTCAGTGAGGATGTTATACGGTGAGTGATGCTCAGTGAGGATGTTATACGGTGAGTGATGCTCAGTGAGGATGTTATACGGTGAGTGATGCTCAGTGAGGATGTTATACAGTGAGTGATGCTCAGTGAGGATGTTATACGGTGAGTGATGCTCAGTGAGGATGTCATACAGTGAGTGATGCTGAGTGAGGATGCTATACAGTGAGTGATGCTCAGTGAGGATGTCATACAGTGAGTGATGCTCAGTGAGGATGTTATACGGTGAGTGATGCTCAGTGAGGATGTTATACAGTGAGTGATGCTCAGTGAGGATGTTATACAGTGAGTGATGCTCAGTGAGGATGCCATACGGTGAGTGATGCTCAGTGAGGATGTTATACGGTGAGTGATGCTCAGTGAGGATGTTATACGGTGAGTGATGCTCAGTGAGGATGTTATACGGTGAGTGATGCTCAGTGAGGATGTTATACAGTGAGTGATGCTCAGTGAGGATGTTATACGGTGAGTGATGCTCAGTGAGGATGTCATACAGTGAGTGATGCTGAGTGAGGATGCTATACAGTGAGTGATGCTCAGTGAGGATGTCATACAGTGAGTGATGCTCAGTGAGGATGTTATACGGTGAGTGATGCTCAGTGAGGATGTCATACAGTGAGTGATGCTCAGTGAGGATGTTATACAGTGAGTGATGCTCCATTCAGGCCTCACTCACCTGGTGTATACACTGAGTGCCTCATACCATCCCCCTATAGTGTGAGTGTGTGCATTCAGTTAGCTCCATTTCCCTCTTCCCCTGAGATCTGCCCATTAATGGGGTACCTGCCCATCACCCCAGGGTCCATCTCTCTCCTGCCCCCCCCCTGTACCCCCCCTGCCTGGCCCCTGTGCACCCCCCGAGCTGCCCACTCGCTCACCCTGGCTGGCCAGTGCGGGTAGCCCTTCATCTTGGCGAAGACCAGCTCTCCTGCCTTGTAGTCCCGGGGCCTGGGCCGAGCCATCTTGTCCTCTCCCAGAATCAGCCTCTGTCCTCCGCCCCCTCCGCTCTGCGGCAGCCGGGGATACAGGGGGTGTGTTACAGCCTCCCCTCCAACACAGCTCCCTCAGACAGGAGGCCCTTCCCCTGAGTCTCCGAGCACGGGGGACCAGGTTACCCTCTCTGGCTCACTGACTTGTACAGTCAGCCCTGTCTGCGATACGAGATGGATTCTGCACAGATTTCAGTGTGGGCGGCGACGATACACGAATTATACACTGAGCCACCGTGTTTTGCTGTTTGCTACATCTCGGTGGCTCACTGTTGTTTCTGTAGGTTCACGGATATGTGATGGCTGCAAAGGGACGGAGGACATTTTTTATTTTTTTTAATGTTTACCTGATGTGTTTTCATCAGATTTAGCGTTCAAACCCAGATGCAAACGCTATTATCAATTGAAAATGTTATTTATGTTTCACTTTACCCGCTTTATTTATTGTGGCAAAACTGCTGCTGTTGAGGAGCAGGGTGCTAAATAAAGAGAAATCACCATGAAAACCAATAGATTGCAGGCAAATGTAAATTAGTTATTAGAAAATAAAAAAATAATAAATTCTCACATACAGCAGATGTGACAAAATGAGATAAATACAAATGGTAAAATAACTCGCTTATAGGGATTTGCAATACCCCTGAAGGCATTGTTTGCAGAGGAGTTTACTGAAAATGGCAAAAGAATGTAAAAAGAATGTATTCGTTTGAGTATATAGCCACCATACAGTAAATACAGTTAAATCATATATTTATAAGATATAGGTATTTAAAACTGATATAGCAATCATTATCAGTCTATGTAATGCTAACAGTGAAATGGGCCATTCATTCCTCTACCCTCCCTGACTGGAGGAACAGTATGACCCATGAGAACTTCCTGTACTGTTTAGCATGGGGCAAACTTACATGTCCCTCAAATTCACAGTGACTAGTGGCTTTTGGCAGAGAAATGTGTTCATCTGCAGTCTAGTAAGTATAAATGAGGGTTAGTGTGGCTTTATGGTCTCGATGTCATTCTGCAAAATACATGAATATAAAAATGTTTACTATATTTAGGTAGTGAATTGGTTAAATGTTATCAACTAAAATTGATTTTAATTTTAATAAAGGAAACAATGTGAATTATTAATTTTTAAAATTGTATTTATTGTTTTTGTGAGTGAGTCACAAGATAAACAATCACAGGGTATGAGCTATCTATAGAAATAGAAAACTGCATTTTTTGTAAATTGTAAATCCCAGGTAAAAAGAACCGTCCATAAATATAGGGGAAGAAAAAAAAAACAAAGAAAAATAATCGTTGTGAAACCAGCTGGTGAATAAAAGTCTCGATAGATATACTCTTGAGAGACTTCTCATTCAGGAGCATTTGCGTTTGTTGGAACAAAGACAGTAATGATGTCAATATCCCAGGTATGGGAAGGTCAGGTGTCCTTCTGTAGTGAAATAGGAACAAAGAATCTGCTTCCAACACAAATTGTTATGGCAGTCAACATTGTCAAATAATAGTGCCCAGGGAGTTCCCCATTCATAGCGACTTACAGCTCTATCAACTGCTAGGTCACCATCTTTAGCAATGCATACCAGTGTAGCATTGAGTGACAAATGTCATGAAAGAAGTAGAGGGAACGTTGCTCAAAAATAAAAGGTGTGTGACCATTGACTGCATTCAAAAAGGTTTCTTTGTCACTGTCTGTTTTGAAGCACATGATGACATTGAGTGGTACTGACCTTTGGCCATTAGGAGGTCTTGGAAGGTGATACAGTGCATCTAGAGATAGACCTTCAGCTTGTTTAAGCAACAAGGTGGTAAAGAACAAGCATCAGATAAACTGGGGAAGTTCTCTTGAGTTTAGAAGTCATGTATGTCCTATACTTTCAGATTAAAGATCAGATGTTGCCTTACTATATCCTCAAGTTGCTCCACTTTTGTAGTCTAAAAAGATATAAGAGAAAAGGAAAGAAAGAAAGAGACAAAAGAAGAGAGAAGAAAAACAAAAACAAAAAGAAGAAACATGCCATCCCCAGGAGATGCCCACTCAAGGAATATTGAAACCAGATCAACTAGGAGCATATAAAAAAACCAAAACAGAATTATACCAAATTGGCTGGAATTGGGAGTAACCAACATAGACACACACAGTTTCACTGGTGGCAATTTTTTCCCATTTTTTTAAATTGATGTCTAAGGTAAAAAGCACATTAGCTAGAGATGGGATAAAATCTGACATTCTGTAACAAGACACATTTTGCTTAATTGTTAACAAAATCACAACAAAATAAAAGTACAGATCTGGATAAAGTAAGTGGGAAAATCTGCGACAAGGCCATTATCTGGGAAGGGGGAAAATGTGTTTGTATGACTGCAAAGAAGAGAAAAATCATGGTATACACAAATGGAGCACTTTAGAGCATTCCCACCAGATGTGGCAATATGTACCATTAAAGGACCACCCAGACCACTTCAGCTCAATGAAGTGGTCTGGGTGCCAGGTCCCTCTAGTTTTAACCCTGCAGCTGAAAACATAGCAGTTTCAGTGAGGGTTAATCCAGCCTATAGTGGCTGTCTCACTGACAGCCGCTAGAGACGCTTCTGTGATTCTCGCTGGACGTCCATAGAAAAGCATTGAGTAATGCTTTCCTATGGACTGATTGAATGCGTGCGCGGCTCTTGCCACGCATGTGCATTCGGATCTGATGACGGCAGAGGGAGGAGAGTCCCCAGCAAAGAGGGAGCCCAGCGCTGGAGAAAGGTAAGTGTCTGAAAGGGGTTTTAACCCATTCAGCCCAGCGGGAGGGGGGCCCTGAGGGTGGCAGGGACCTAATGACCCTATAGTGCCAGCAAAACAAGTTTGTTTTCCTGGCACTATAGTGCTCCTTTAAATCCATAGGTTCTTGAAGGATGGACTTTCCAGTATTTTTAATATTATGTTTACCTGGTATGACGATACAGACTAATATCGTCCGTGGGTACTTCCACTAACTAGCACAGCTGATCACTATACTAAGTGTTATGACCTGGGCCTGGAGTCCCTTTATCCACCAGAATTCACATTAAAGCAGATCTTGGATAGTTAAAGCAAGGAAAGAGACAACTAGCTTATTTCTTGGTACAAACAGCAACAACCTTTATTTTTAAACAGCAACTGACAGGCAGATATCTCAGCATGGGGGGAGGCTCTGCATCTTGTGCCATGTGACATATTAAAGTCTCTTTTTGTCACACCTGGCTATACCTGTACTAACAAATATGTATTTGTGAAATGAGAGAAATAAAAGTAAACAAGTAAATTTACCTTCATTAGTCTGTAACGGTGCCTCTCCATGTTAGCTCCCTGCCGATCATTGTTATACATCCCGGCCTTTTTTCTTGGCAGTCAGATTGAGAAAGCATAGAAGAAGTTGCTAAATAAAACAATGTTTCTATGTCTCCTCTTAATTTGCAACATTTGCCCTGGCTATGCTTTGTCTCAACTGGAATGTGACATCATTTGCAAGATCTTTAGAATTAAAAGAAAAGTGAGCATCTCGTGAAAAAGGTTAACACATGTTAAAGGTGTTTTTAATTTTTATGCAGTGGCCAGAAGTAATCGGTAATAATCCAGAAATATAGCGGATGTAATTCACATCTAAACCATGCACGTAGAATAGAATATAACTGTTATACAAATAATAGAACAATATGCGCTAATCTGCTGTCTGTGAATATTGATTACTTAATGCCAGAGTTGGACTAAGTATTTGGACAAACCTGTTTTGAACATAGGGCTTCGGTGGCCTGACACTGAGTGTGCAGCCATGGCTCGTTGCGGACAACAGAGGATCTCCATGTCATGGTGGCCATAGGTGTGCACCTTCTTTTGCAAGTACTCACCACGTGATGTCCAGAACTGGAGCAGCAGTGTGTGAGATACAAGTTATTATATAATATCTTCAATCTATCACTACACACTACAACAACAGCAATGTTGCACAGTGTGTGAGATACAGGTTATTATATAATATCTTCAATCTATCACTACACATTACAACAACAGCAATGTTGCACACCTGAACACTGATGAAGCCTAGTTGAGAAGGGGGCTACCCAGGATTTCTCACCATCATGTTTCTGCAGGTAGGATAGGAGGTAGAGATTGTAGAGACACAGGGGTCAGGATGAGTGATACATTGTAGCAGTGGCGTACACACAACCCATGGGGCCCTGGTGCGAAAACTGAAAATCACAGTGAGAAGACGCTGAATGTCCATAGGAAAGGATTGAGTAATGCTTTCCTATGGGTGGTTTGAATGCGCGCGCGGCTCTTGCCGCGCATTCGGAGATGAGAGGCGGATCGGGGTGGAGGGATCCCCAGCGCCAAGGGAGTCCGGCGCTGGAGAAAGGTAAGTGCTGAAGACACACACACACACTCTCACGAACAGACGCATACACACTAGCTAACAGACACACACATTTACTGACAGACACCAAACACACTCACTAACAGACACACACAAAGTAACACACAAACTAACACACACTGACACAAAAACTAACACACACACATACACTAACACACACACACTCTAACACACACACACACACACTAACACACACACTCCCCGAGTGCTTCCTCTTCAGCTCCCTCGCGCGCCGTGTACTGATGCCGGAGCCGGAATATGACATCATATTCATATTCCTGCTCTGGTATCAGTGCTCCCTCGCGCGAGCGCCAGTCCTTCCACCGGGTGACACCAGGGCCAGCCTCGGGGGGCCCTGAGGTGGCCGGCTCCTGGGGCCCCCAGGAGAAGAGGCTGGCCACACTGGTCACAGTGCGGCCGGGCCCCCTGGTGGGCCGGGCCCGGTCGCAGCCGCGACCCCAGTATGAACGCCACTGCATTGTAGACATACAGGATTCAGAATGAGAGGGAGGGAGAGGAGGAGAGAGGGAGACTCGTGAATTATGTATGCATGTTGGCAGAAGAGAGCTGGCAATGGTGCAGACCATCCAATCTTTATAAAGAATATAGTGATATGAAAAGTGTATGTCTGGGAGTCCAACTCCCATTTTCCAGAGCCTTGTATTGCAGAGGTAGAGAGGATATGCACACACTATCCGGGGAGTACTCCCATCAGGGTGCTCCAGACAGGCAGGGCCACAAACCCACAAGATTCAATATAATCTTGTGGGTATAACTATAAATGATAAACTGCAGAACAAAAACAACGTTACGGCTTCTTGGAGCCTTTGTCAAGTTTGTAA